TGGCAGACCCGAACTTGATGGTTTTAACAGTTCTGGATTTGTAATAAAAAGTTACACTAGTAATGTTAAAGGATACAAGTAAAACGATGAATACAAATATTTTATAATTTAATTTGTGCAACTGTCCCAACTTGGCGTAGCAGGGCTGTACAAAAAATCATGTTCGATTTAAAACGGGTGGGGTGAGGTATCCTCGCGCATCCGCGCACGGCATTTAAGTAATGGAGAGTACTACTGACTGTATTTTCGAGAGGTCGCGGCGTTTTGAAGATCTACCGCTTACCCGATTCTAGTTTTAAATGCTCTTCATGCTCGTTATCGATTCGATAAGCGGGGAAACGGATTCTGGAAAAATCAGACAGAGTCATTAAAAATATATAAAGGATTAAAGAGACCCTTCGATATGTTCAGAACATGTGTTTATAGAGAACAGGTAGGTAAAGATTCTTTATTGTTTTGGAAAGCTATATATCGAAATGTACGTTGATTCTGCAGTTTGATTTCAAAGCCTCACTCACACCTTTCTATAGGTAGCTCCTATTACAGTATTATTACCATTTTAGTAATATATGTTAAATACCGCTTTCTCAGTGCTTACAGTCATTATAACCCAGGACTTTAATTCTGCGTTCTTCATTTACTATACTTAAGACATTAAAAACTATTTAATGTTCGGTTAGACTATTCTAGCGATTTTATTCACTGGACCGTGGTTGTACCTCGGTCACTAACCCATCTAGCAATTTTATTCACTGGTCAGTCGTGGTCGCTCGGTTAAGCCTCCAGCGGGCGGTACCCAAAGGAGTGCGAATTTCCTTTTGAAAATCGGGATTTTCCGATGAAAAAAGTCATTAAGAAAGGAAATTTTTTGTGAGCTTGTGCGGACCATAGGTCAGTGGTGGTGAGTATGTCGTTTGCCAACGGCAATGCCCATGGACAGTCTACGGCATAAAAACGTTTACTTCTGCAAAATTAAGCAAACAAGAATTATGTCAACGCAATAACTTCATTAAACAATACAAAAAAGTACTTTAAAACAAGGGTACAGAAGTGGTCAACAAATTGACCACTGGTCAGCAAAAAACTAAAAACGCCCAAAACCCGTTCTCAAGCATTTTGAACAATAATACAGGTAAAAAAACACAAAATAAACGATAGTAGCAATAGTAGTTTTAAAACTTTCGTTATTCTCGCGTATGGTACTTCACGAAGCAGTCCTGGTGTAATTTAACATTGCACTTGCTGCATTTCTGACACACTGAGTTGCGTTTACACTGCTTGCATCGTCCGGGCTTGCATTTTTTCTGGATGTGGCCACAACTGTCGTAGCGGGCCGCATCAGAAATTGGAGTGGACGGTCCAGTTGCAGTAGTGATCGGCGGCGCATCACACATCAGCAATTCTTCAACCAGCTGCGAAAGAAACTCAATTTGTGTGAGTTTGCCTCCTACCTTACCATGAACTCGCCATGCCGCAACCGCGATCATGGCAATGGAGTTTGAAAAAAAAGGCCACCACCACTTTTTGAAACTCAGCATCAGCCGGAAGTTACCGGTCACAAAGGTCAACACCTCCCATATGTTTATTATAGTTGGCAATCATCCGCGGCTGGTCAATTAAAATCTTCTTCGCGGCGCGACTCCATCGCTTTGCCTTTCCAAGAGGTGTAACGGTATCGTAGTTGGACGCGAGGCATACTGCGGTGTTGTCATGCCACTTCACAGCAATCACATTGGCCGTACAATAGGCAGCGTGGCTACCACGTTCAGTTTTTTTAAATTTCTTGTTGTCCGGAAACCGAGCGCTCAAAATTCTAAAACCGAGCGCTCGAAATTCCTCCAAAAGCGCATAGGACGTAAAGAAATTAGCGAAAAACACGCAGTGTGCAACTGGACACTTGACCACAGACAACAATTTCAAAACGACTCGAAATCCAAGCGGCTTCGTTAGTTCGGCAACATTCTTGCCCGTAGCGTCTTTTCCGGTGTACGCGAAAAATGTGTACGGATATCCCCGTGATCCACACAGCACCCAAAGCATGTACTCGAACCGGCATGGTTTGCCTCTCATGAACATTTTGCAAGAATTGTGCCCGAAATAAGAAATCATTTGTTCATCAGCGCTAAGAAATGGATCAAAAATCCCGAACTGAAGAAGTCTTTCCTTCAGAAGAGTGAAAAATGGGTTAACTTTGGCCATTTTATCCTCCGGATCCAAGTGGTCGTTGTCGGCCAGATGGAAATATTTTTTAATTTTCTAAAAATGAAATAAAATTATTAATGCCAACCGCTCAGGGTGTCGATGAACAAATGCGTTTTTTGATGGGTTCCTGCAACCGGAAGTACGTGCCGTATGTTTTATGTCCAAAGCGACAAGACCTTATCCTGATTCCGCAATAAAAAAATACTACTTATATTGCACCCGCCTTAGGTGACGGCAAAACTGCACCAAAACATAATTTATTTGCACTTGCTCACCTCGAATCGTTTACATGACATCTTCGATGAAAGGGCAGGAAAGCTGAACAATACGGAGCGCATCCAGAAGTGTCTCGTAGTAGGCAGCTACACAATTCCGCTGCACAAGAGTATCTCGATGAACAAAAAAAGATCAGGCATGGGAAGCTGGAAATCAGCGTTGTGCTTTCTGGCATATCGTTCGGATTCCGTAATAATATGAGTCGCTACAATATCATCAAAATACATCTTATAAAGTTCCAAAGGTGTCTTGCTGATCAGCTCTGGATGTTCGTTTGCGAGCTTCCTCGGCATTTTCCAGTGTGCTCTGGAAATGACACGAAAGCGCTCTCGTCAGGCTTCCAGTCTACTTCCGGCAGGAGGAGGACGCCTTCCTTTCGCTTTGGAGCTGGACGGTCTTCGGCCTCTGAATCGGTCTCGTAGCAAACGTCGAGATCTCCAGCCACATCTTTGGGCATTTGCGGTCTCAGATCATTTTCATCAATATCCTCTGTATCCGAGCACACACCAGGTTCCGGTGGAAGACAAACGATGTCAATCTCCCGGTGTGGTCTGTTTGTCAATTGTTCAAAATATCCTTCGCCTCTTTAAGCGTTTTTGCCCGTGTTTGAGGCATTTTTAAAAAGTACGCAACGAATAAAGAAATTAATATTTTGCAGAATTTTCACGCGGGAAGAAACGCAAATAAAAAAGTGGGAAATCGTAGTGATGGATGGTACACTAAGCAGTCACAGCTGTGCATGCGTTACCGGCTTTGTTGCTGCAAGTTGGTTTTTTTCAAGCGCCAAATTATTAGTTGTCATACCACCACTGCAATTGTTCAACAAAGACACTGCAAAGAGCTCTTCTGCTTCACGGCGGTGATTTTTTAATTTTCGAGTGTTTTTAGTAGATTTACTTTGTTCGCACTTTAAATTTTAACTATTATGGAGATTATGGAATTATTATTAATTATGGAACATGATTTAGTTATGCCGCAATGGTTGAAAGCCGTTGTACAGAAGCAGATTGATTGTGGGAATACTGGCAAGAAAGCGCGGAGCAAGATTTATAGTGCTGTGTACTGGAAACTGAAGGTGTCTGTTTCCAGCTAGCTCAAGCTGGATACAAATTTGAGAGTGACTTATTTATGAGTACTTTTGAGGTTCTGTGATTGTATCTAGTGCTTTTAAGAACGGTTTTGCAGCAACCTTTAGAATTTTTTTTCGTGATAACAGAATGGCAAAATGCTGGAAGCCATCAAAACTTCTTTTTTTCCCGCTTGTCTGGTGGATGGATTAAGTGAAATGTTCCCAGATGAGAACAAACACCAAGATGTAAGCGCGGTGTACACTAATTATTTAAAATTTTAAATTAGCAGTTAGAATAAAAGCTATTTGACTGCTCGTTTTCTAACATTCGCAGCACGGCCCGTCGAACGTGACGTTAAAAGACATTGCAGGTTTACGATGAATGGATTACAGCGCACGTGGCCAATTCCATGTTCTTTTAGACCCTTCATGGGCAATGGCGTTAGCAAGTAACACGTTTGTTTGACGGACAATGGCCTTGCAATGTTTGACTTTTGGATAGCATCGTGGACATTTCTGAATAAAGCATTATCACTTGTACCTTGCTGATTTATCTCGAATTTATTGAATCATCGACTAGAAAGTTATTGACCAAGGCATCAGAGAGCTCAGACAAGTCTAAATTAGCGATTTTCGCGCACCTGTAGCTTTTAATTAACTTGAGACATAAGGTTGAATAATGTTTTTATAGTTGCTTTGAAGTCCCTTATTGCTTATTACGTTATGGGATATCGATTAACTATTGCCGCTCGCTGGGGAAAAATTCTCAAACGCCTTGTCGTTTCCTAACACCAATGCCCGTCAACGGGTTAAGTCGGAGTAACCGTGTCGCGAAAAATCCGTGACCACGGAAACTCCGTCAGTACCGTCCCTTCGAGAAACCTTTTCTCCGTATCAAAAAACGGTTGACTATGGGAGCGCCTTTACTCGCTCAGTTCTGTTTATTTACTGGAAAACAGAAAAAAATGACAGTCCCTCCTGCCTGAAGCTGTTTGCCTTTGCCCCAACAGCGCTTCGACTGCCTGCCAAAACGAAATCCGAGCGCACCAGCACTTTGGCCACTGCAGTGAAAAAGAATCTAGATCTGTTCGACCGTGACACTGAGATCCCACCCGCGCAGTCTGCCAAAACCAAGAGGAAACGCAGCACGGACGAAGACATAGCTCGTCGTGTCGGCGAAAAGATTGATGACGGGTCCGTTTCTGGTGCGATGCGCATTGTGATGTCTACGGATTCCGTCGCGGACATCACCTCTGACACTCTGAAGGAGCTTAGAGCGAAGCACCCAGAATGTGCGCCTCCGCCCGTGTCAGTCCTCAATGCTGATACACATGTAGCGCCTCCCGTAACCGCCGCAGATGTTTTTGCAGCCATCCGCAGCTTTCCACGGGGCTCTGCTGCAGGACCAGACGGGTTGCGCCCTCAACATCTAATCGACATAGTCGGTGGGAAAATGGACGATCACAGTGGACAATTTTGCGAGAGCCTAGCTGCTGTTCTCAACGTTGTCTTGGAAGGAAAAGTGCCAGCTGATATCCGTCCTGCTTTCTTCGGTGGAAAGCTGCTGGCCTCGCGGAAGAAGGACGGCGGGCTGCGCCCCATTGCGTTCGGAATGACATTGCGCCGTGTCATTGCCAAAATTGTTTGCAGTAAAGTAGCGGAACGGGCGGTTGCTGTTCTTTCTCCTGGACAAGTTGGCTTTAACGTACGTGGTGGGGCTGAAGCAATAGTACACGGAACCAGACAATTTATCAACGAGAATCCCGAAATCACAAAAGCCATCGTCAAAGTGGATTTCCGTAATGCGTTCAATACAGTTTCGCGAGAAGTAGTGCTCGACGCTGTGAAATCGCACTTCCCGGAATATTTTGCCTTTTTCCAGTCAGCTTACGGACATCATTCTTCACTGTTCATTGGTGAACATGTTATGTCATCCGAATCAGGACTGCAACAGGGTGATCCGTTGGGCCCGCTATTGTTCTGTCTAGCATTGCAAGCCGTAATTCTCACCCTTAATACCGAGTTAAACGCTTGGTACCTTGACGACGGGACGCTTGGCGGTCTCCCAGAAAGTGTACAGGAGAATTTTGCTCGAGTTATTGAAGGTGCTCGGAGAATTGGATTGGAAATAAACGTCACAAAGTGGGAACGATACGTTTCTGGCGGGTCGGAGACAGCTCAGCAGAAAGCAGTAGATGATTTTCTTGCCCAACACCCCGGTGTCCGTGTAATGTCCAGCTCCAGTCTGACTTTGCTTGGAGCTCCTATCTTGGACGCCGCGATCGCCCCCCTGTTTGCCGAGAAAGCGCAATCGTTGGCCACGGTGTGTGAGCGGATGCAGCTGCTCCCACGTCACCACGCGCTTTTCTTTCTGCGCCACTGCCTCGGGGCACCAAAGATCGTATACATGCTGAGATGTAGTAATGCCTGGAAATACTCAGAGCAATTGTATAAAATCGACGAAGTCTTGCGTTCCTGCTTCCAACAGTTGTGCAACGTCCGAACCAATCACGATGACTATCCCAGCTGGCGACAGGCGAGCCTCCCGGTTAGCAGAGGTGGTATTAGCTTACGTCGCTCGGAGGAATTAGCACTCCCAGCCTTTCTGGCTTCGATTCACTCCGTTGCCGACCTGGTGTCTTTACTGCTCCCAAATCGACCGGCCGTCGATGTCTCTACAGCGCTAAAAATTTGGAAAGCGGAGCGGGTACAGCGGGGTCTCTAAAGTGAACGGTCGGGATACATAAAGGTCGCTTACGGGATGCAGGTGGAATACGTACGCATACTGTGGGATACGGATCGGGTACAGCGGGGTCTCTAAAGTGAACGGTCGGGATACATAAAGGTCGCTTAAGGAATACAGGTGGCATACGTACGCATACTGTGGGATACGCAGCGGGTACAGCGGGGTCTCTAAAGTGAACGGTCGGGATACATAAAGGTCGCTTACGAGATACAGGTGGCATACGTACGCATTCTGTGGGATACGGAGCGGGTACAGCGGGGTCTCTAAAGTGAACGGTCGGGATACATAAAGGTCGCTTACGGGATACAGGTGGCATACGTACGCATACTGTGGGATACGGAGCGGGTACAGCGGGGTCTCTAAAGTGAACGGTCGGGATACATAAAGGTCGCTTACGGAATACAGGTGGCATACGTACGCATACTGTGGGATACGGAGCGGGTACAGCGGGGTCTCTAAAGTGAACGGTCGGGATACATAAAGGTCGCTTACGGAATACAGGTGGCATACGTACGCATACTGTGGGATACGGAGAGTGTACAGCGGGGTCTCTAACGTTAACGGTCGGGATACAGAAAAGTCGCTTACGGGATACAGGTGGCATACGTACGCATACTGTGGGATACTATGGGTACATCCGCTAGAGAGTGTCCTGAAAAATTTGCCGTGTACTAACCGTGCCATAGGTGTCCAGGTAGGCGTAGTCATTCAAGGCAAAACCGAAAAATCCATAGTGAGTATGGTGTCTGGATATTACTTCCACCCGGTCCACGGGCGGTTGGAATGGGTGCGCAGAAGCTATCCTGCCTATCCGAGCCATACCGCAGTTTGGTAACGTAACAGCTACCCTGCTTCGAAGAACTCCTATAACGAGATCTTTTTGCGTGTAAATCTTTTGGCATCTGATCTCGTGCAACTTCCCGAAGCCACTTTATGCATAATCTGACTGTAAATTTGCCGCTCACGGTAGTAATTCACTTTTACTGCGGCATGGCTGCATATGCTGTATGTTAGGTCGCTTTTGGAAAAGGGATTTCCTTAAATGAGTATTTTAGAAACGTTATCAGTTTCCCATTCAAAGCTTGCTTGATCGTTATTCGTTCATAATCGCGAAATGTTTTTGCTGTTTATGATAAGGTTGGACTGCTGTCTTTTTGCGGCGAACAGTATTAAATGGGAATAGTAGACGATCAACTGCGCAGCAGTTTTACAACCAAAACAATGCCGAATAAACAGTAAAATTCATAAAGGTGACCACACATACCCAAGCGTATGCATGGCATTATCGGCTGTCTGGGTTAGCATCATCACCATTATGAAGTGCAGTGTACGGGTAAAGGGTCGTTAACATTTAACGCAAATACGTTTACAGAAACACGTTTATTCTTATACAGTGCACAACGGATGACCGCTTGTTGGGCTATGCAGCCGCCGGACAGACCGGCATTTATGGAAAGCGCTTGGAAACCCTGGCGCCGTTGAGCGAAAGAATCGCGTAGAATCGTAGCCGGATAATCGTAGAGCGGCTGACCAGTAGGTTACAAATATGTACTCTGTATATTTATTCCCCATACAGTCTGTACTCGTACGTAAATTTCGTTCCTTCTGAACAAGATTTCTCTAGCCGGATGACATTCGGCATTTCCTATTGATCTTTGAAACAGTCGATACGGGAAACGGATAGGCAAGGTAAGTATTGATTTTCAAATACTAATTACAGCATGCAAGATATACAGAGTAGCCCAAACCCGGCAGTGGATGACAGCTTATTTCTACTCCATTCTGTTTACTTACACAATGGAGTAGAGTACAGGTAAGGTTATATCGAGTATTTTCCACCATGTAGATTCAGAATACCCAATGCCATAACGTTTAAGAATTTAAAATTTAATCATTTTTGCTGCAATAAGAGGATAAACCTGTGCCTAAACCCGGCCGGCACCGACCTATAGCTAATTGCCTTGTAACAGGCAAGCGCGAGGAGCTCACAAGATGTCTTTATTGACAGATAAAGTGCTGACAATACTGCGTAATAGCAGGAAGAAAGAACAAAGCCAGTATGGCTGAATCTAGAAACGGTTGCTAGATGCGTCCGTGAGCGTGTCCACGTGCGTGATGCGGCCATATCAGCCGTGCGCTGTGTGATGCTGAGCGCAGACTGGACTCTATTCAGCGCGAGCGTATAAGCGCTGAGTCATACGGCGAGAGAGGGACGAGAGAGCAAGTATGCTCAGTGTGTGCGCACGCGGTATATCCACTTCAGTGGATGAGTGCAGTGCAGCGTCACACGTACGTACAAGAGAGAGGCGAATACGGCATGTAAGTGAGTGCAAGTACGCCACTTGTGGGCGTAGCACCACGCACAGGATCGTACGCCTGATATCCTCTAATGGGTGTTGGTTTATACTGCACAAGACTGCTGACATCGCCAGGTGGTATAGATTTTTTTGAATCTAGTCAAAGATTCTTCAGCATGCCCAGTGCGATAGATAGTGTTTACAGAAACTGAGGTGAGCTTGAAAATGCCTCCAGCATTTTCAACGGCAGATCATCACTGTACGAGTTGAGACAGCATCACACACAATACCTGATTTGCGATAAGCCGCCGATCAAGAGAGCAGGCGCACAAGCCGGGCGCAGGGGCCACAAAAAGTAATTAAAAAGTAATTAAGACGCTGCTCTCTAAGACATGGCCTGCTCCCACAGGCACGGGCCCGACTCACAAAAGTGACTATGCGGAGTCCGGTAGTGGTCATGCGCATACGCGATGTAAAACAATGGAGGAGACACAGGAGGAGGGAGAAATTGGTCTGCCCTGTGTCTGCCCGTGGTGGGTTCATTGCGCGTGCAGTTTTTCGCAAGGCGAAAGAGGCAAGCATTCCTTTCAGACGCGGGACGCGGTGCCTCCAAGTCATGTTATCTATACCATGGGTACTGGCCGCTTGCTTATCGCAAATTCGAAATATTTCCGCTCCGCTGTTCATTTGTGTAAGGTAAGTTGTTAATGCTGCGATATGCCTCGGCGCATGGTAGCAGTCTCTTCTGATTCCACCGAAATCCTTCGACTATGATGTATATTTTTGTATCACTTCCTTTTTAAGTCAGGTTATTAACACAATCTTGTTGCAACTTCGTAGGCCTTTGTTACAAAAGGATGCGTTTTAACGCTCATCAATTTTAACTCTTTACATCTTAACAACCGGATCCCGCGTGCGCAAACAGATTTCACATCAACGTGTACAAATCGTTTTGGTGATGAATGGCAAAACAGAAAGCAAAAATTTGTTTTGGAACGCGGGAGAGCAGACTTTACCTAGGATGCAGCCAATTTAGATAGCGGCATGCAATGATATTACCGAAATGGAGCATTTGAAAGGACATGGCGACAGGAAGCGTTCCAAGCGATGTGTTTCTAGGAGGACACAGGATGAGCTCAATACGCGTCAAATTCATCGGAGGCGAAGCCGGGCCGAGCAGAAACGCAAATTCCTTTGCGTGGACATTTTAACGAAGATTTTTGACCCAGCTAGACGACTTCCGTCCGGTTTCCGCAAAGCAGTCCGTCCAAGCGGTCAGTGTCCGTAAACGGCATTCCTCGTGTTTGCCGTGATATCTTGCCTAGATTGCCAATACAGTAAAACAGAGTAAATATAATCCCGGCCATCTAATACGGCACACCCGTATCTCTTGCCGGTCACCGCAAAGCCGCCGAGTACAGGTACTGCATAGCAGTGAGTGAGGAAGTGCCGTATATCCATTACACAGCCGCGCACGCGGTTTTTTTGCGTTTTAAAATCGGTTTGGTGGTGGCTCACGCACTGCAATAAAGCATACATGTTGATGTATTTGCCGGCTTTGTGGTGGCCGGCCATAGATACAAGTGTGTTAGATGGCCGGGATAGTCAATAAAAAATTCGAAATACTCGTATTCTTTGGAGATCATCGGGATACTATGAGTGTCGCAGCGACATTCCGCCCCGCTTTATCGTCCAATTTTATTGCGCTGAGTTCTCGGATGTGAGCAATACCTGCGAATCGCGATGTGATGCTGCAGAAAGCCGGTGGCCCAGTATGTGCGGCGTACGAAATCGCCTGCGGAGACTAGATTGCGGTGTTTCTGCGTTTATGGCGTCCGCCCTCGAAGCCCAAGTTCCCAACAGCTACCGGTACGGTTACCGCCTACGGCAGGCAACAATCCGTGCTTCGGTTTGTTATTCTGCAGAAGTAACGGTTGTTTACCAGTTTTCACGTTTCTTTTTACAGACATCACGTGAACATGTGTAGCCGGCAGAAAGGTGGACGGGTGGATGGTGGATGTTCAATGAAATCGCATCCACCAATCTGCCGAAGGTCGGCAGATTGGTGGATGAAATTTCATTGAACATCCACCATCCACCCGTCCGTCTTTCTGCCGGCTACAAACGTGCGCAACTAAGAATGTACGAGATGCGTCTAGATGATGCCGCTCGTCTGGCGCAGTTTGTCACCATGCTGCTCGGATTTGAGGACGTGAGCCCGGTCGATCGCGCTACTTTACTGGCGGAAAAATCTTTTGTCATTATTAGGTATGGTACGCATGCTGTGGGCGGCAATCGGCGTCTACAAAACTGTTGCTGTTGTTCGTAGCTGCATCGCATCATTTAAAGTATACCCGGCATGTTGTCATTAAATTCGCCCTTGTAAATTACAAGGTCTGGTTTTATGGCAACATGACGGATCCCGAGCAGATCCACACCGGCGACTACTGGTTGGAGATTCTGGGCGTTAATTTTGAAGTACGCCGGTTCTGCTTTTGATTCAGCGCTGCATTCAACAGGGTCGTGGTCAGGTGACCACGTCTCATGTGTCAAAAATGATACACATACCCTAAAACTTTCGCTTTCGCGCACTCCGAATTACTTTCTCGTAATACTTTATGACATTCTAAAGCTAAATGATTTGTGTACATTGTTTTGAAAACTGTTTGCGCGCACAATATCCGATTACCGCGATATGGCGAACTAAAATGGGTTAAACGTTTAAATTCATTGTTGTGTACCATAGTCTGGTTATTACCCGATCTTCTTCAAATTTCGCTGTAAAAGACACTTGGCCATACATTAAAGTCGAAAGTGAACCAGTAACAGATTCACAAGATTTTTTTCCGAAGTTAAAATAAATTTCAAAAATTTTGAAATTCATTTTAAAATTATGGAAAAGTGCGATGACCTGAAACTAGTTCACTTTCGACTTGATGGCCGTGTGTGTTTTACAGCAAGGTTTCAAGGAGATTGAGTAATAACCAGACTTTTGGTACACAGCAATGCATTTAAACTTTTCGACGATTTTAGTTCGCTTAATCTCGGCAACCGGATGTTGCGTAAGCCATTCCTGCTCAGATGGGAAAGTAAAACGCGAATGGGGCATGTTGATGCACATGCAAACAGGGCAATAAATCTCATTGTTATACCTGATCATTTATGATAGAGTGTTCGTGTTCTGATTATTATACAAAAGCGGCTGGCGCTTGTTAGCTTCTTGTGGCTTGTGGTCGCAAACTTGCCGCCACCCGGAACTTAAATAGTCTCCTCTACTGCTCAGTATTAAAATTTTGTTAAAGTTTTCTACCCTATGACAGTTTTTAAAAATAACTGCTTCTGTACATTTTTTTTCACAAAGACGTAATTCACATCAGTAGATAGAAAAATAATTTCTCCATCGATTCCTGTAAAGTCTAATATGAGTAGACATTCACCTTAAGCAATTAGAGGAGCTGCTCGGCCACGCCCTGTTGAGCTTTGCAGATGAAATCAGTTCACTGCAGTTTTCCAGCTCACAATAACATCCCACCCGCTTGATCTACGGTATTGGTGTTACACCGATACCGACGGTGTATAAGAAAACACTGACGGTGTAAATGAATGCTTCGTTGGGCACTGCAGTGATGCGGTGCTGTTGCTCGGCAGGTGAATGATGCAGCTGACGCAGTTCAGTAAGCAGGAGCGCCGCGTTAGATTGACAGAGGCGCGTGCCTGCGATCCGGTGCGGCTCAGCTGGAGGATACCCGTCGCTGTAGCAGCGTGACGGGCATGGGCTGCCTTAGTACATTTACTTAATTAATGACTGATTCAATCTGTAACGTGATTGGCGCCTATGATACCACTCTATGAAACACCGTGTGTTTCATAGTCGTATCGACTAGGCTACAGCCTGGCGCTTGTAACTGTACTGGTAAATCAGAAATCTGCCGCATTGGATTAATCCCCTTCATTCGCCTGGTTTTGTGGGTTTTGTACGGTACCAGGTAGTACATGGGAGCCTCTCACCCTGAGTGTGGTACACATGTCCCACGCCCTGCCTCATCCTGACTGTCACAGGCACCATAATTCTGTTCTGTAAAAGAGAATAATGTGCGCTTTCTTACAGGCGTGCAAATGCCATCCTGCAGGGCCACAAGGCCGTTTTGTGCGCCGATCCCACTGGACGTTTCCATAGTACCGCATGAGGCAATGGTAGAAAATATACTTGGAGTCGGAGTTCACTTCCTACCGTAGCATCATGCGGGATCATTGCTTCATACTACTCATGGCTTCATATTATCCTTCCTGTGGATGGCGGACTCCACGGGCGTCGTCGAGGTGAGTGATTGGTTTGTTACTTTCACAACGATTCTTTTAGAAAACCGTTATGGGCCGTTATAAGGAGCCGCTTCCCATCCCCGTGTATTACTGGCACCAATTTCCACCACATTTTCATCTCAGATATTTATGTATTCTTTTTATTTTTGACTGCGATTACCTTCGTCGTTAAATCATTAAGATGCAGATTCGTTGGGGCGCATGCATTTAAACGGTTCCTTACGTGACACCAGCCGACCAGCGTTGTCGGCGTGCCCGGAGATGAACACATAGTCACGAGGATACAATTTTTAAAGTTGCGTAACATCTTGAGCCGACCCGCCGCCATCGAGCGAACGCTCCCGCAATTTGGCCTTACCTTGATACCAGCGGTTTGTTTTCCGGTGATATAATGACGGTTATGCTTGGAAAACTGTGGGTTGGTGTCCGCCCACGATGTTTACGCTCGCGTCTTCGTTGTTTGATTAATGCCTCTGCGGTGTTCTCCGCGCATTTTCTCGTTGCAAGATACTCACAATTTTGCAGATTAATAATCCTTATCGACGGACGAAAATATCCTGCTTAAATATCGATCCGCCTAGAAAGAATTCTAGGATTTTTCCATTTCCTTTTAATCATAACTTTAGAAACTGTTAATTAAATTAATATCTCGGTAGATAAAAAGAAGTTAATAATAATAAACTTTATAAGTTTATTCAGTCGTAGTACACATTTAGTTTAACTAGGTTAAATACTTTTATCCCGAGAGCACCAATGCCGTAACTCTTTTTCCAGTTTGGATCAAAAATAGCTACAAAAAATAAAGCTTGGGTAATTTTGGGTGCTAATATTTAAATCACCAATGCAAACAAACAATTGCCTAAAACTGCAATGCAGGAATTGATACTACGTTTACGAGCAGAGCACTAGCTTGGCCCGTAATTTCCATCGCAAAGGTACAGGTAGCACATATTAGCGCAAAGTTAAGTGTTAAGTTGTTGCACAAGTAAACACGAATAAAATGCTTTTGGCTGAATAAAGCGATCAATAATCGTCCCTTCACTCCAACGTAAATGTAAATGTGATGCGTTATGACAGGCTGCGTAAGTTCTGCTTCTAAGAAAACTGGAACACTAGTACGCGATATTAATAAATATTCTCGTAGTGCAAAATAGTGCAAATGAGGTACTAGAGCCTATTGGACCAACCGCCCTTGGAGTGAAGAGCGCTTCGCGCTACATTTCAGCACTCGGTTACGAGTACGGACTACTAGAGTCCAGACTCTAGAGTAATAGAAGGAGAACAGTCAGATGGAGAACATTTAGAGCAATGGAGAATAATTAGAATGATGAAAAGTGCTCTAAATAAAAAGTTTTGGTATTCTGATTTGCGTGTAATCCTTAGCATTTTATTTCCTCAACTTTCCCAAACCAGATGTTGCGCACACACACTATGAATCATTTGGCTTCGACTGGCTGTAATTTTCGACAATACCGTCGAAGCGAGTAATCGACTTCTATTGTGGCATAGCTACTTTAAATATGTATTTTCCCTACTTGTTCACAAATTATGTTTTCCATATTTCTACCCCTTCTAAGCCGTTAGTTTCGGATCCTGTCATTTACGACATTGCCAGTAACAAAGATCGGCGATCTTCGCCACAGCAATACCGGCGACAGATTAGCAAGTACTTACTAATTATTATTTAATGATTTTTGGAATACTGTAATTATAGGCCTGAACCCAGCTCTGGCTGACAGCTCAGATTTACACCAAGCGTATTTATGTACACAGCACAGGAAAGATCGTGAAGGTAATATGTATCGATTATTTTCCACCCGGTGTCATACCGCGTTTGCGAGACTGAGGTGAGCTTCAACATGCTTCCTGCATCTTGGACTGTCTACTAGTATCTAGTAGACTATCATTGTACTGCCTGATACACATCACCTATAATTATTGTTGACATTTATTGCCGTGTATGGTAGCTTTTATTGTTTTTTTATTACACCGCGATATGACCCGTTGTGTGTTTCGGCATCGTACATACATCTACCTGCAATCTTCGGAAGCGCATTTTTTATCGATTTATTGACCTAGTCAGATTGTTAAGCGATCTTATAGAAACCAGGTCGAGTCTACTAAGTTTCCATCAGTTCTGCAACCATATGCGTACAAGCGTGCATTCATGTTATCTCCGCACATCTTAAGATGTTGCGTGCATAAAACGTTTCCACGCCTTTGTATAAATCTGTGTAGAATGCCACACGAAAAATTTTTTTAAAGTGCAATGCGTCAAAGTACCGTTGGACACGAATTTGCTACCACTGGAAGCTAGTGAAGAGTTTAGGAGTTTTGATTTTAGAAGGGTGGATGTAATGACATTACCGGAATGGAGAATTCGGAGGGGTGCTGCGAAGGGAAGCGCGCCAAGCGATGTCTTTCTGCGGACAGGACCGTTGCGGACCCAGCACTAGCACAACAAGCAGCGCCCTCATCCGCATCGGAAACGGAGCCACGCTCAACAGAAATGCAGATGCTGCTCCGTGGACGTTTTAACAAGGATTTCCAGCCCACCCAGACGACGTTTCCACCCGGCTTCCGCAAAGTTGTGCGTCCAAGCAACCAGTGTCTGTAATATGTTTCCCATGATGTCGTGTGTGGATTAACAATAATTAACATATTTTTTGCAGTCCATACATAGTATAATTAAAATAATTTTTTTGCAGATCTTCACGGCTTCACGAGTGTCGCAGCGACCTTTCGCCCATCTTTGGCATCCAGTTTTCCTTTCGCCGAGTTCTCCGATGTCAGCAATTCCCGCGATGTGATGCTGCAGAAAGCCGGTGGCGCGGTGTGTGCGGCGTACGAGATCGCCTACGGAGACCAGATTGCCGTGTTCTCCGCCTTTATGACAGCCGCCCTCGAAGCGCAACAGTTACCGGTACGGTCTCCGCCCATGGCAGGCGCTCAGTGTTCTTTTGCTTTTGCGTAACCGTTTTTTCGGTCTATTTTTTAGTATCAGCCACAGACCTCACGCGAACGTGCCCAGCGTGCAATGTTCGAGAAACGGCTAGATGATGCCGCCCGTCTGGCGCAGTTTGTTGCCATGCTCCCTGGATTCGAGGACGTGAGCCCGGTTGATCGCGCTATGTTAGTGGCGGAAAAGTCCTTTGTCACTACTATGGTAAAAAGCTACTTATGCTGTGTTAGCGGAAACCTGTATCTATCAAAACGTTGCTGCTGTTTGTAGTTGCATCATATGAAGTACATTTACAAGGGAGATTTTTACGGCACCATGCCAGGTCCCGAGCAGATTCACGCCGGCGACTACTGGATGGAGATTCTGGGTGTGGATCCGGAAGTCCGCCGGTTCTGCTTCAAATTCAGCGATGTATTCAACAGAGTCGGGCTGACGCTGACGGAATCTTATATGATGCTGGCCGCAGCATTTTTTGATCCGCGTAGGTATTGTTAATATTTCAACGTGATCGGTATAACTGTTCGGAAACTGATACAGATCATAGGCTTCCTGTCTAGCAACTGCAAACGACTTTCGGATACGAATTTCCCATTCAGGCCGGAACGTACCGATACGAATTTGTGTTTATTGTAAAAAAGTACGGTAAAGCAGCGATCAAGGTGGTCTTGCCAGAATATTGATTTTACTAGGTACCACAACTGCCTCGAATAAACCGCTACTCGCACAACTGCATACCTTTTACATGGATGCGCTGACGTACACGATTGGCCATCGTCACCGCGACTGGGCGGAACGCGCGGCCATCTTCAACAAGCTGAACGAAGCGTCCGGAATGCTGTCCATGGCACACCAGCTTTCTCTTGTATGGTTTCCGTACGCCGGTCAGACGTTGCCTCCGGTCCCCGCCCCGTTGCGGACACTGCTGCAGGACTGCTTAAAACCATAATTTCTCTTATACATTATTCTGACGCAGTGCCGTATGGCCTTTTTCCATTCACGGTTTGCCAAACAATATGTGTTCTTTGGTGAGACTTTTCATGTGTACAAGGCAAACGGCATCTCTTTCCCCCTCGCTTAGTACCGTTTATTTCTTTCCCCCTGCTGCATCGCTGCCGTGAGTGAGCGCACACGTGACACATTGCATTCAGTCGTTTCACACATAAACCGGTTTTGCGGCTGCGGCAAATTACGCAACTGATCCTGTGCACAGATAAGAGCGCTGTGCCGCCTGTGAAAAGGCTGAATCAAAGCGTCACGTGTGCGTTCACTCACGGCAGCGATGCAGCAGGGGAAAAGAGATAAACGGTACTAAGCGAGGGGGAAAGAGATGCCGTTTGCCTTGTACTTCAAGTATACTTTCCGGTTTCCACCGATTTTTTATGTTCTCGTTTGGGAAGTTTGTCCCCGTGCTGCTGTGGTAGGAGGACGTTAACTCGATCAATTACATAACTGGCTTTTGTCGTTACTTTCTTAACCAATAAGTGTAGCTCGTGTATCAGCTACTGTACTTGCATCCGCCTAACTGTGGCGCATCGTCATACAACGTACACACGTACGTACTTACCAGGTACATGTAGGACGAGGCTTGCGCTATGAACGATTGCCACTGTCCTACGTCAACCACAATGACAAATTCACTCCTCACAAAATTTATGATAAAACGCAAGCTCGCTTCGCTCGCTCGCTTGATAATCATAAAGCAGAAAGGTTAAAATTTTATATTATTTTTATATCGATGGTTCATAATTTAGATCGATATTTAGCGTACATGAGCCATGCCAAAGTGATTGCAAAGCGTAAATAGTGTGACATGGCGCGGCAAAATATGGCGTTTGGCGTAACCCGTGAAATCACTTTCGTCGCTGTGCTAAGGTGATAGAAATTACGGGACAAGCTTGTACATCTAACAAATCATCTGTGTCTTGTACAATCAGCAGCAGAAAAGCTGCCGTTTATTTATGACAACGTGGTATCATTTGCAAGTGCAGTGTTCCACAGCTCCCGACAGAGTTCGGCACTCTGTTGTTAGAAAGGAGAGTAAAAATAAAATAAATAAAGAAAGAAAAATAAATATGCTGGGCATGGTTAAATTCATGTTTGGCGCGATTTCACCATGATCATGGCCTTCTGCACGATCCATTCGTGCAAACCGACATGCGGCCGGAACCAGCATTCCGCCGCACCGGTACCGCTGCCGGCTTTGATATCGGATACGACCATTTGGACGAGAAGCGGACTGCGGAAGACACGATTCACTTCCAGCGGTCCACTGCTCTGCGAGTCGCCGAGCGGACGGTGGGGTCGCACAACCCCGTAGGGTGCCTCGATCGGCTGGCGCAGCAATCGGCCATTGTGGCGAAACATCATATGGTTCAGCCTGAAATCATTTGCGATCACTTCCGGTGACAACGGCAGGCGCAGTGCACACTGGATCGTCAGTGTGTCGCCTTCGGTGACCCACTGATCCGGCATCGGAGTCTGGAAGACCTGCAACGGAATTCCTCGTTGACGAAGGCTACTGCAAAGCTGACAGGGAAGGGAGGGAAAGTGGGCAGACCTGGCTGGCGCGGGTGACCCACGGTCGCAGCATGTAGCGTTTGAGGGGGGTGGAGTCGATGGTGTGGACGCAGGCCACCGATCCGCTGGACAGGAAGGAGATGTTGCTGATGCGGAACAGCAGCATCGTGTCCATGGAGCTGAAGCTGTACTCGTGGCCGTCCCTCACCGGACGCGGCTGGCCGTGTTCGAAGACGACACGGTCCTGGTGCAGCCAGGCTACCGCGTCCGGGGTGTGCCGAGCGGCAGGTCACAGCCGAACGTTACATTGCTCCCCAAGGTTGGCCGCTGCAGTATTTCTTGACTGTGGACCGGTCGCTGCTGCTGCGCTCCGGCAGTTTCCCGATTATGGTCAAATTGCAAGACCACCAGGTCGTCCACCTGGCGGCGTAGGCCTTCCGCCATTATTTCATCCACTGCAAGAAAAGTATCTGCGTTTTGATTATGCGAACAAACTGCGTAACTGCTATCAAGTGCGAACTTGTTTTCATCATGGCACAACGCTTGCAAAGGCAGTTTAAGGGAAATGACTCGGTACATGGTACCAAATTCGTGTACATTCACGAAACCTTTTCATTTCGCGCACTGCTAAACACTTTTTTGCTTTGTTTTACGACATTCGGAAGCCAGATGAGTTGGTTATACTGGCGTGAAAGCCGTTTGTGCGCGCAACATCCGGTTCGGGAGTTATGGCTGTAAGAAAATTCCGAAAAGATTAAAGGAATTCAGGTGTACCAAAATTCTCATTATAAACCGATAATTTTTAAATTTTCCACATGAATGCATGTACGTCCGAAGATCGTTTTTACACCGAACCAGAATCTGCAGCATTTTGTCCAATTTTTAAATTAATTTTTAAATTATAAAATTCATTTTAAAACGTGAAAAACATGCCGGAACCGTGGTGCGGTGTAAAAACTACCTTCATGTATATCAGTACTGTATATCTATATGTGTGTTTGCACGCAAAATTAAAAGACTCGAACTCGAACGCTCCATACTACACTCTAATAGGTCCATAATACATTCGAATGCATTTAAATTTTTTGGAATTTAAATACATCTATAACTGTTGGACCAGACCGAATCGGATGTAGCGCTTGCAAACGGTTTCAACGCTAACGTACACAAATCAGCTAGGTACAGAATGTCATAAAACAAAGCAAAAAAGTGCTGTGAGTGCACGAAAGCGAAATTTTTCGTGTACGCACACGAATTTGCTACCATGTACCGTGCCACTTCCGTTAAGATTTGCAGCGTTATGGAGCCCGCTACGAAGCCCGCCCCTGAGACGGTTGGACGCAGTAATGCCTTAGATCTGCCGGGAAGTCATCGTAGGCTCCATAATAAAACTTACTTTTCCTGGCACGCTTTTCAACAACGCGCGATCCAGAAGCGCTGAATTTCACTGGAAATTCAGCGCGGAAATGCAGCATCTATCCTTGTCACGGACGGAGTGGATAGTTTAAATGAAGTTTTGCTGTTGTGAATAAGTAATACCACGTGTTTATTTTTCTTCCGCCCGATCTGTACGGTGATTATTAATAAAGAGTTACCTATGGCATAATTACAGCACTTCATTGAAATCAGCGGTACTTACATTCCACTTTTTGGTATGGACTGCAACATCCACAGAGCTGAATGACTCCCCATATCGCAACCATAATAAACTGGGTGGCCATTATGATGAGTTTTATTAAGCGGTCGGGAGAGAATACCAGCCAATAACATCCGATTAGAAAAATGGACTATCATCTATTACTCCTAGTTTCTTCCAGAAAGGAGCAGTTTCTGCCTGCTAGCTTCTAGATAACGGGCAGTATGGTAAGCTCAATTGGGACAGTATGGTAATTTTTTCACAAGCAAGTTGTCTTTAAGAATAACTGATGTGCGTTGTCTAGACAACAAATCCGCATTTGTATAGGGTGGCCATGATGATGAGCTTTATTAGGCGGTCAAGAGAGTGTATTCTCGTCCAGTTGCGAACTCGTACCAACCTGGTTAAATTCTTCTCACGAAGGTTCGCACTTCGCACGTTACCTTCACTCTTACATTCGCAGCTGGTTGCTGCTCGGCGGTTTGTCTTCTGGTCGCCACCGTTGGACGAGCTGAACGCAGATAGGTATTAGTCCGATCGGCAGTCCAACAACTCCCCCGACTGCCGCTCCCATACCCGCTACCGCTGATTCCTCAGCAACCGTTTCCCAAAATGTTTTGGATGCTTCATGACCAGATAACGTGATGGTACCCGATGCCAGCGATGCATTCGCCGAGCATTCACATGTGAAATTTACTGCATCCATAATAGAACGCTGCTTGTAGCCGTGTATTGTACGTTAGCGCACTACCCGGCTGAGTATTCGGTCTGCATGCTTGTTATATACGAGCTCGTACTGCTCGTACCCATTATTCCTGTTATTTGCCGTTAAAATGGAGATAGAAGCTTTTCTCCCTGTGGCTGTCATTATTGCGGCGCAATTTTTACTCGTGCCGCAACTCGGGCTACCCGGCAGCATCAATGTTTGTTGTGTAAATTCTTCTAGTCATCAGATTTGATTTCTCCTTAGTCCTTATAAATTATCTGGCAGTATTCACTTCTCTGTTGAGCACCGTTTAAATGTGTCGCTAGCGGCAGAATTAGCAGCAACGTCAACTAGAAAATCCAGCTTTATACTGAAAAAAAAGTGCGGTAGAAATGGTGGCGGTTAAATCACCGTCTCACTTGCCAGCGGTCAGATAATTTACTGCCACATTTGCGTATCTGCGCCGGTGACTACTGGATAGAGATTCTGGGCGTGGATCGTAATTCTGATCCGTGTATGTAGTGTAAATATATCGATGTGATAGGTACTCGTATAAATATTTGGAGACAGTTGGGGTTTTAGTCTAACGGCTGCCAGCAATTTCAGATACGAATTTTCCGTTCAGGCCAAAACATTCGGTTACCAAATTTGTTTTTATTTGCAATTAATACAGTAAAGCAGCGATCACGATGAATCTTCTAAAAATACCGGTTTTTTTAACAGGCATCACAACCGCCTCGGATAAAGCGTTACTGGCACAGTTGCACACCTTTTATATGGATGCGCTGACGTACTCGTAGATACGTATTTGGCTTTCGTCACCGGGACTGGGCGGAACGCACCGCTGCCTTCGACAAGCTGAACGACGCGGCCAAAGGCTGTCCACGGCGCACCGGCTTTCTCTTGCGCGGTTTCAGCACGCCGACCAGACGCTGCCTCCGTTTCCCGCCCCTTTTGCGGACGCTAGTGCAGGAATGGTTGAAACCCTAAATCTCAAATCTGTCAGCACTTGCACTAGTTCACTACCTTCGTTCACGTGGAATTTTTTGGCGTAGTGAATTCAGGTTCGGTGGCCTTGCATCAGTGTTTTAATTTATTTTATTTCGTTTGGTTTAAATTTATTTCTTATTCTTTTATACAAGCAGGAAAAATATCAATTTGTCTTTAATAAATACGCTCGCCATGCAGCTTTCTATTTTTTTAACTGGATAATTGTGCGCAACAAATAACCTACACTGTACATCCATGGTGATTGTTTGCCGGTTCGTACTCTGGAATAAACTCTCTCAGCAATTAAAAAATATAATTTGTAATCGCCGGTGTAATTATAGAAGCGGTCAAAATACTTTCTATGGCTTAGGTAATTATAAGCTTTCTCTTAAAATTTATAAAATTGTCGATAGACGATGAATTAGATGGTGAATTCTTTCCTGTGCAGCTGACATGTGAGGATTTTGATAAAGACTTAAGCCTTAACCGCACCCTTGTGTTTGTGAGTCCGTACGAAATAATGGATTTTTTTGTTATGTCCGATAAACGGTTTAATCGGTAGGGCCAGCTGAAAGTTTTGTCTTCACTCGGGTTCAAAAGCAAAGCGCTCACTACATTCGCTGCACTCCCTTTAACTACAGTACAGATAATTTAAAACAACTTGTTTATGTCTACACTCTACAGTGCACACGTTGACGTGGTTTTACTGAGCTTCATTTTCATTTGACGATGACATCGTCAAATGAATAACGTGGCTTGTCACTCTAGCTTCCCGGTTTGCGCTTTAAATTATAGACATGGAAGGCTTGGTACATGTTAAAGTTTTTTAAGACAAGTATTTTTACCTGTGCCCCGCCGTATCCCACGATATCCTCTACTTATTTTACATATTATATTCTCAAAATGTTTTAACTTTGTGGTTTACTGCTGTATCCCATCGCATCACTACAGTATCCTTTATGTATCCCACATGTACCCACTAAGAAACCTAAGAAACATAAAAAGCTAAGAAGCCAAAGAAAACTAAGGGGACACATGGAGGATGCACGAAGGATACTGTGGGATGCGTAAAGTACAAGTACAAAGAATGACCACATTGAATATGTTCGCAATTAGCGCAAAAAACTAAAAAAAATGATGTCTGCATCACCTTGGAAAGCCACAGTATCCTCTACGTATCTGTCATCAGTGTCATATATCCTGCTAAATCTAGTTTTGGTTTTATTAGTTGCAGCAGTATCCCTACGTATCCTGGCTGTATCCATCGAGTATCTTTCAAAAATCCGGATAACTTTCTTGGGTTTCTCAGTGGAATACATTTAGGATACATAAAGAGTACTGCAGGGATACGGTGGGATACGGCAGTGATTAAAAAAAAGTAGAAAATTAGGATGATACATGATGGATACGTACAGGATACAGCGGGATACGGTGGGGTACTGTGGATACAAGTCAAAGCACATGCCCGTAAAAATTTAACGTGCACTAGCCTTAGATGTTGAATTAACAAGCATATACAGTCGGTACGTAGTGCCGTATGTACTCTGTACACGAATAAAAGAACACCGGCAGTGAGCTGTGTGCACTGTGCAGTACGAGAAAAAGGTTTATCCGTCTATTTATCGATTACCTTCCGCCAAGTCAGGCATGCTACAGACCCTGTATAAGCGCGGCTACCGGTATATCATCGTGTGAGAATATTATCGCCTGCAGCTTTTTACGCAGCTGGATGTTCAATGCATAGTGCTACACTGCTCGTACCGATGCGCACATTACAGTTTACAAACTGTTTGACGGGATCTCTGCAGCTAATTTTACTCGATGTTCTTTCTGAACTTTTCCCGAAGACTGCACGCTTTCATTGAATGATCTGACACATCATACGAAGTCATGGGACAATTCTGGTGCCAGATTAGAAGGACTTTCGCAGCATGAGTCGACAGCGTTTGCAGCTGGGATTACCGATAAGGGTTTGTCGGGATATTGTTGTATCGTGATGGAGGATTTGCCGCTACACGGCGAAGGGTCCCAGTTTATCCAGAGTGATTCTGTGGGCAAGTACTGTACTAAATCTATGACTTCATATGCTTCAGTTCTGATCGTAGTAGACAGGTTACTTAACAGCAATAATTTTACTTAAAGTTACTTAACAGCAATAATTTAACAGCAATAAGAATAGAAACAAAACGTAATTTTGTTTCTATTCAATGTTCACTCGAATAACCCAATAAAGACGATCTTAACAGCAATACGGATTGTTAAGTGTATGGCTATGGTTAAGCGGAGCAGTTGCTCAAAACATCTTGTAATTATAACATCTGGTAGCATCGCTAATTCAGGGCCAAGAATTTTCTTATTACGATGGAAGAACTTAAGCATGTTGTCGTGCACCAAAATTCAGGTAATTATTCCATATTTCTGAACCCTTCCGCCGAAGGCGGATAACCGTTACGACCCTTGTGAGCCAAAACTGCTGCGCAAATTAATTTTTTTTTATTTTAGCAATAATGTTAAAAAAGCGAAATTTTAGAAAAGTTTTAACATTTTTGAAATGCATTCTAAGTTTGATGCCATCCCGTGCAAATGATTTTTGTTTGGGAGCGTCGTCATGGTCTGCTTTTGATAGCAAAGTTTCAGGAAGATCGGATGATAACCAGGTTTATTCAACGATACTTTTCGTTCGTCTTTATTCACCGTGTTATGCATCTCAGGATTCAAATGCTGCAAACAGAAACGGTTTCCTTGCTGGTCTACGCAAGTTAACAATTTTTTGTAGGTTCCGAGGAGAGTCGACCATCAGCACAACATACTGCGACCTCAGCGATGGGCGAAGCGCAGGTTAACCCAACAGACGTGCAGAAACTGCTGCGTGGACGTTTCAACGTGGATTTCCAGCCGCCGACGGCGAGCATTCCGTCCGGCTTCCGCAAAGTTGTATCTCCATCCGGTAAGCGTCTGAGCCGTGCGTTAAGAGAAATGACCCAGTACATGGTACATGGTAATTCGTGTACATACACGAAAACCTTACTTTCGCGCACTCCCAAACACTTTTCAGCTTTGTTTTGTGACATTCTGCAGCCAAATGATTCGTATACATCGGCGTGAAATCCGTTTATGCGCTCTACATCCGGTTCGGGCGTTATAACTGTGAGGAAATTCCAAACAGTTTAAATGGATTCAGGTCTACCAAAAATTTCACGATGGATCGATGTCCTTTAAATTTTACATGTGAACATGAAGATTGTTTTTACACCGAACCACGGTTCTGACACTGTTTTTACATCGTAGAATTAAATTCTCTAATTTTACAGCTTGTTTTAATATTTTAAAAAAAGGATGGAAAACTGATTCGGCGTAAAACGATTTTCATACTTACGCATTTATGTATGTGCAGAATTCTAAGAAGATCGCTCTACAATCAAAGATTTTTGATACACCTGAATGCGTTTAAACGTTTTTGAATTTCTTTAAAGCCAAAACCGGATGTAGAGCGCACAGACGGTTATCACGCCAGTGTGAGTAACAGAGTAAGTCTGGCTGCAGAATGTCATAAAACAGAGCAAAGAATTGTTTGGGACTGCGCGAAGGTAGCAGTTTTCTTGCATGTACACAAATTTGGCACCATGTATCGGGTCATGTACTTCCCTTAGATGTTCCTTTTTATAACAAGATCTTCGGCAGATCTTCAGAGCTTCATGAGTGTCGCAGCGACATTTCGTCCAAAATTACCAATGGATACGTACAGCGGTTTGTACGCCGAGGTCAGCAACACTCGCGTGATCCTGCTGCAGAAAGCCGGCAGCGCGGCATGTGCGGCCTATGAAATCGCCTACGGAGACCAGATTGCTGTATTCTCCGCGTTTATGACATCCACCCTCGGAACCCACCAGATTCCGGTACGCGCATGTGGTATTGTGTACTTTTTCAATTTGCGTTAGGCCAGGCCGATCTTGATTACAGTAGCTGAAATTACTCTTTTAATTATGTTACGGTACGTAGGTATACTACCTTTGTGCAAAAACTCAGGTTTTTCTGAATTTGGAGCCTCCCTATGTGCACTGGTGTCTGGTTAACTTTGGTGCAATAATGCTTTATATTTACATTTAGCATGTATTAACGTAAACGCGTGCAGTAATAATGGGTACAAGCCTGTTGACAAATTGAGCATTCGTCAGAACAGCGAACATTACAAATTTACGGGTTGCGCGTAAATCCCTACTACGGCGCGCCACGCCACACTGTTTAAACACGTAACATGCATCTGGCTGGCTGGTGGCTTGGTACCCGCTAGATATTTTAATGAGAATCTGTAACTGCCTGGCGGAATGTGGCTAGAAAACGGTCGCTGCGGTATCGGGCAATCTAACGGCGAAGCGCACTTACGCATTGCCATAAACGTAGTGCAGTGACCATCATTCAAGCGGCAACTTGGCGCTAATATCGCTTTACCTGTTCCTTTACATGCTCAGTTTGTCGACAAGCTTGTACACTGTCAATACGACGATATTCCGGCATCAGCTTTAACGTTTCGTCCATCTTTGTACAGTATCAACCACAGACCTCCCTGCAGCGGGCTTTGATGCGCATGCACCAGAAGCGCCGGGATGATTCGGCCCGTCTGGCGCAGTTTGCCGCCATGCTGCCCGGCTTCGAGGACGTCAGCCCGACCGATCGCGCTATTTTAATGGCAGAAAAGACTTTCGTCAGTACTTTGGTAAGTGTCCACAAATTTGGCTCTGCCGTGTAGTACGGCGCTGTTCCGTTATAGCAAGTTATCATGCATCTGTTTAATCGTCCCAGCTGTTTGTAGCTGCACCATATGAAGTACTTTTACAAGGGAGAGTTCTATTGCCCATTGCCGGGTCCTGAGCAGATCCACGCCAGCAGCTACTGGATGACGTCCATGGGTGTGGATCCCGAGTTAGTCCGGTTCTGCTGTGAATTCAGCCATGTATACAACGGTATCGGGTTAACGCTAGCGGAATCCTATTTACTCCTGGCCGCGGCGTTTTTCGATCCATGTATGTACCTATGTATGTCTAATGTACTGCATCACAGTCTGTTTTAAGCAGTATATGGCTGACCTGCTGCTCTGGGAGCTTCAAAAACCAAAGGGGTACTTTTTAGTTTCTTGTAAGTAGCTCGAAGGCATCTTTAGTAAAAGGGATTCTAAGAAGAACCTAAAAACCTAAGAAAACAGTAGCGGTCAGACTGCGCTGAAAATGTCCACCTAGTTGGCCAGCCGCCATGGGCATCCGTGCAGTCTTGTTAGGTAGAAAAGCGAGTTAAAAATCCCGCAGTCCAACGTTTGGCTCAGAAAAAACTTTCCGGTAACAAGCCTTTAGAATTGCCAAAATCTTGTTGGTCTCCACAAGACCGCTGCGCGACAATTTACTGACCGACATGTTACTGACTTACACGACTGGCTGACGGACAATTTGCCTTACTGCTAAATTGCTGGCCGACGTTTTGTCGAAACATTTTTGCTGACCGACAACTTGCTTTTCGGTTCGATGCGCTGAATTTTTTGGGGTTTTCTTAGCTTCTTGTTGTTTCTTAGTTTTCTTAGGTTTCTTAGGTTTCTCACGTCAGCAAAATGTCGTCAACAAGTTGCCGGTTTTCACAAAACGTCGTTCAGCGAGGTATCGTTAAGCGAGCCATCATTTCGTCGGTCAGCAAAAAGTCGTCAGCGAGCTGTCAGTGAGCCAGTTTTGGCATATTGGTAGTTTTTTCATGGTTTGTCGCTTTATCGGTTGGCGGGTGTTTTGATAGGCACGACAACGGCATCGGATAAACCGTTACTGGGACACCTGTACTCGTTTTATAAAGATACGCTGATGTACATGATCGGCTATCGACGCCGCGACCCGGTGGAATGCGCCGCTGTGTACCACAAACTGGACGAAGCGGGCAAGATGCTCCAGATGGCCTACCAGCTCGCTCTGGAGTGGTATACGAATGTGGAACAGACGCTGCCACCGTTTCCCGCCCCGTTGCGGACGCTGCTGCAGGACTGCCTGCAACGCGAATCTCTCTTAAACCTGTAGACCGTAAATTTGCACAAACGGCCTTTATTTGTTAAACCCTGTGTTCACTGTGTTGTGCGACGAAAGGGTTTTGAAGAATGGTGCTTTTCGGATTTTGCGTAGGCGCTATACGGTTTGAATCTGCAAGACCAACATATTATTATTATTATGCGTGAGGGCCAGTGACAGTCGTTGACAGATAAAGATGATGCATGGGTCGGTCGTTTTGAGGACCGGCTTGTATTAGCTTGCAATTTAAGTCGGAGATGCGAAAAAAGTGGGAATGGTCAGAAATGATTTTGTCTGCGCTGAGCTTTTGTAGAAGAAACTACTTGATTCGCATTAAGTGCATTGATTGACGAGCTTCGCTGACAAATTCTTCATTTGCATGTTCTGATTGCCAGTTAACATGAGATGGGACTGTGCGCTGAACAGTAATGGCATTACCACGCATTATTTCCAAACTTAAACGATCAAACAAAAAACAAGGTGAACGACTCTGGTCAGTTCTCAAGAACAATTTCCTAGAAACTAAAGGTTAACTTCTTCAGGCCAGTTTAGAGATTGATTCCTTATCAGAATCCCTGTCGAGTGTCCAAGAGATGCTGTATGCAACTCTGGACGGTATAATAACCAGCATTTATAAGGCAAAAATAAAGAGTACACGTACAGATGCAGTAATAATAAAAAAAAAACATTGTTTTCCGCATCTATTCCCAATTAATCTACGCGCTTCCTGCATGGTGTTCGTCGGAAACGTTCCGAAGGAGTTTTCCTTTGCTAGTTACCAACTCTGCGAACTCTTATACAACCGACGTCCACGTTGTTTGTCTGTCGGTTTTTCCAGTATCAACGGTTGTTGACAACATGCCGTATATCTGTAAATTGCGTGCGGTTTGTGGAATCACAGTTAAGGCGGACAATACCGTCTTCGCCTTAATCACGCGAACCACGATGGCTGCTAGCGCTTAGCGCGTCGCCCGGAGCAAGTAATTAATTAATGCACTAACTATTAAAACGTTTGGTGATTCACCGGCAATTCGCCAGGAACCATTGCAGCATTCTCGCAAAACTTTTCAAGTCGAAGCGCACGTTTTCAAGTATTTGTTTACGACGCTGAACTGCGGTGCATTTTTTCAGCCGGTGTCTGTGTTACGCGGCCGCTTAATGATATTTAATTACCGGCGTTGTCAAAGTGCCAGTTCGGCATTTTTATTTCGACACAGTACATGCTTCTTCTCTGCAATTATTTAATCCTCAACGTAGCCAATTTTGACAGCCTTATTATAATAATAATTTATTCTAATAATTTCTTGGTTATATATTTATTTCGGCTGTTAATTTAATATTTTTAAATTATTATGGATCAATTACGCGGACCGGTGGATCGTCTGAGTTTCGCGCTGTACCGTATAGCCGCCGATTATTTGGAGGACGCGGAGGGCCCCGATAAGAACTTCGTGGTGGGGTCCTTCGCGGCGGCTTCCGCGGCCGGTCTGATTTACGTGGGATCCGGCGGGAAGACGCTGGATAGACTTCACCGCATTCTGCATTTTGACCGGCTGTTCGACCAGCGCTGCACACCGGAACTCATCACTATCGCCTTCCGCCAGGCGGTGGCTTATCTCACCAAACGCCCCGATCAGCATTTCCCGCTAAGGGTCAGCAAATGAGTTAAATAATATTTGCTTGATGTGCTGTAATAATTAATTAAGGTGTAATTAATTATTATTATTAAGTAATATTAACCCTACAGTTTATTTTGCTCGATTTAACCTTTGATTTTACACTATTCAGAATTATCTAGATCGACTCAGTATATGTAATATTTTATAGTAATATATATTTTTTAAATTTTTAGTATTGGTTAATTACACTTCAGGTAAATTATTAAAGTTTAATTGTCCAATTCATTTCGATTTATTGTTCGTTTACCGTATATATATAAACTTTATTTGTTATTAAAACTTCTTTAATATGATTTAATTATACTTTAAGTACGTTGTTGTCGAATTTTAAATGTTTTCTACAGATAAGGAAATTGGAGGTTATCATCAGTTAGTCATTTGTTTAATTTAAGCCGGCGCCGCTTAATCGTTTTCGCCGCATAGTGCACTACTTGAATAGAAAGTCGCATAATCATTGTCGAAAAACCATTTCAGTTGCAGGAAGGTAAACAAGCGAATTCTTTCGTGTAGAACGTGCAGTTCCGCTTGCCGGCAGGCATGACCTGTCCATCGCGCCTTGTTTACTACACTACAGAGTATATTAATTTACAAGAGTACATCGGCAGATTTATAGGTCACGTATTCGTCAGTCTTGTGACCAAGTATACAAAACACACAAATCGTTACCGTTCTGATACTCGTCTATTAGCAACGTCTGGTAAGCTCTCCATGATCGCATCGACCGTCTGGATATTTAACCAGAAATTTAAAATATAAATTATATGGAAAAAATAAAAATAATGCGGAGCGGTTAAAAAATATACTCTGATGGCAAAAGTATGTAATATCCCGTGCGAAAAACCTATACGGCGTAATAAATTCTTATTATCATTAAAGTACAAAGATCAGCGTAGAAGGTACTTCTAGGATAAATATATTTATTTATGTAAACGAGGAATTCGATTAAGAAATATACTTCGATTTTTTTCATATTTCGACCACCTTAAGTGAAGTATACGATTTCCTGGTTTGGTCACCCGTCACATACACATACATGTGACGCGGTACATGAATAGCTGCTTATCGCACAACGGGCTTTTTGATTTGCTTCTCACCGGTCTTTACAAAATCATCAAAATAAAATTGAAAATGTTGGAATTTGAAATTTCTGAAATTTGTAAACGTGGGTGACCGGTTTTTCTACACTGCACCCGGTCCATTTCATGTATTCTTAATGAAAATGTATACAATTGTATACATTTTGCAAATGCACTTAAGTGCATTTGCAATACTCCCGAAATGCACGAGCGAAGTTTTTACTATGGAAACTTTTCATTTCGGGAATTTTGGTTTGCCAGAAAATTTTAACACCCGGTGACCAGAATATGAGAACGTATACTTGAAGTGACCGAAATACGAGAAATACCGAAGTAGTGTTCCTGATTGTGTAAAATTCTGCCCGTTGCAGGAGGACTGGAAGCAATCGGATTTCCAGCTCGTCCTGGCCCATCGCGCCTTCTTCCGGCAGGGCCTGCAGATCCGCAGCCAGTTCCAGACGGCCTCGCGCGCCTTCAACCTGGGGATTGCCGAGATCGAGGCGCTCTCTAGTACCGGCACCGGCACTACCGATCTGGAAGCGCTGCGCCGCGACATTAACGACTGGGTGGAGCGCAACACCGGCGGCCACTTCCGGGAGGCTCTCCAGGTTGGGCAATTGCCAATTTGTATCTCTATATATATATATATATATATATATATATATATATATATATATATATAATTTTTGTATATATATCATTTTTATATACTGTATAAATTTCCTTTTTTATTTATTTTTTTAATTTTTAAGTACGATCGAAGAACAACTATTATACAGTATAGCGCCTTATATGTATTTTGTTGGACTGTATATAAATATTTTTGCAGGCAAATTTTAATTAGTATTTACATATGTAAAAAATATTGTTGTTAATTAATAAAATGATCATATTTATCTGTATATACAGCGGCTGGAATTAGCCGGGCAGCGCGACGCCCTGACCCACATGTTCCTCCTGAGCGTGACCTCCCTCCGCGGGCGGTGGGCGGAAGTCTTCTCCCGTCACGAAACCAAGACCGGCGTCTTCCACAATTATCAAGGCAAAAAACAGACGACGCGTTTTCTCTGCGCCCCGGATATCCACCTGCCGTGCGGCGTGGACAACCGCAGCTCGTATAAATATTTAGAAATACCGTATGCCAACAACGAGGCGTCGCTGTGTATTGTCCTACCGCTGGAGCATCGCGGCTACCGCCCCACGCTGCTGGAACTGATGCGCGAGTGGAAGTTTCAGAGTTTTAAGCAGATGAGCGTGCAGAAACATATGCGCCGGGTCAATTTGAAGCTGCCGGTGTTCGCCATTGAGAACACGTTCGATCTGAAGGATTTCTTCACGAAAGTCGGCGTGGAGAAAGAGGGGGATGCGGATTATTCCAATATGCTAGAGGAACCGGTGGAGGATTTCCGTCTGACCGGTGCTTTCCATAAATGCTCATTTAGTACGTCTTTTTATAATGACACAGTTTATTGCATATTAACCGGTACTATATTACTAAATTTCCTAATCGGAAAAATATTTAAAATTTCAATTGAAAAGCTTTATTTGATTTTTTTAAAAACAGGGTAAAGCATGTCTTTAAAAAACGGAAAAAGGTAAAATAGATAAAAAACTGAATTTGGTAAAAATGGAAATAAAAATTAATTATTGCATTTAATTAGTTTTTTCCATGTGATTCTAATTTCCGAAGGATCGATAAATCCAGTTAAAAAATTTCTGCGGAAAACATCTGACTGGTATAAAAAATTTATTTTATTTCATAAAATTTGTTAAGGAGAAAAATAAAATTATCGATCAGCAAAAATTTAAAATAAACACTGCCGGACTTTGTAATATCCTGTAAAAGCTTTTAAAATTTAGTTGAGAAACAATAAATTCTCCAGAAACAAAAAATAGGTAAGTGAGCTCAGATATGTGTGATACCTCGCGTGCCGGCGTGCGAAGCGTATATTCAGAAAATAATTTTCTACAAATGGTGCATTTAATACACTCGTAAATAATTTTTTCAAATGTTGTAATAACAATAAGGTTTAGATAAAATTTAACTGTTTTAGAAATGATTTTTTTCTCCAGGTATCGATGAACAGGGATCCAACGCCGAGCACTTCGAAGAGTCAGACGCAGCACGGCGGCACGAGGATACCGTCTCAGTGAGCGGCTCGGTGGCGGCGTCCCTGAGCAAGGCCAAGTTGGCGCCCCGGGACATCCAGGACTTCCACGTGACGCACCCCTTCATGTTCTTCGTACGGCACAATCTCAGCGGCGTGGTGCTGTTCATCGGGCGCGTCCTGGACCTGTCCCCGCCCCCGACCACCCTGCAGCTGACGGCGGACGGGCAGCCGCGCAAGGCTTCGCAGATACCGCTGTTCCGTAAGGGCGCCGCGCAGCTATCGCGGCAGTGGATGCTCCGAGAGGAAAACCGAGAAGCCAGGAAACGGACGACGACGTTCTAACTGTAACCTGGCGCTGCTGTGTGCTTCCCTGTAGGATAGTCACAGAAATGACAGAATAATGATACACAATACAGAGTGTTATGGCTACGGCAGGTTTTAGTGAATTCCGGCGGAAACAGGTAGTTTCTCTGTACTCAGACGCACTTTTTTCTGCGATTCAACGAGTTTTCGCTCAGTTGTGCCTGTTGTTTGTGTTGATATCAGAATGCTGTTTAACAAAGCTTGGAACTATTTATCAGCCAATAAAAATAATTTGTCGAAGCGCCTGACAAAAGGCAGTTCAAATTTAAAGTAATAAAATTATAAGAGAACAACAATTATAAAACGCGGCGGACGTACATGGTTTCTCTGTATGTATCTGAGCCCAGCAGCGCATTTGGCAATGATCTGCAGTTTTTGATTTTTCATATCAACGAATTTTGTGCTTAATGCAGGGACTGCCAGTCTTTACGAACTAATAAAAAATTACGTAATGAAATAACTACAAAAGTTGTCTGGAGTAAATGGATGAAATCATGAAACTAAAACTCCCGGAAAAACGGGACACCAGGAAGCAGCTTTGCATAATCAGCTGGCATCGGTTTTTCCACTGGCCATTGGCTACCAATTCCATTTCCACCATTGGATGTGGGCTTTCCCCAGGCAAAACCTGTTCACCGTTATACATGCCTTCCAATTCCGCTGTCAGTGGAATCACCAGCTTTCATGTCTTATCACGCTTTGGATTTTGGACTTGATGATAAACCGAAAATTTCTCCACATCATTTGTGCGCCGTCACATCGTCTTGATTTCTATACTTCCTCATACAGTTTCAATTTAAAAAGGAGGAGCATGTTGTCTGCTATCGGTTGACAGTGATTATTGATTATGAACGTATCGATTTTCCTGCGTACTTCGCTATCATTCCGCGCCTTGTTGCTCGCCGCGTCCCACATCAGACCCATCCAGGCCAAGGTTGAATTCTCCTCAACAGACACCTGTGATTCTCGTAATTCCCCGGATTCCTGTGGCAGAATGGTACTGCAGTGTATGGGCAATGTTTTCACCGCGAGAATATGCTGATGCAACGTGTGTTTAGTCGGCCAACGAGGGAGAGAACTGGAAACACGCCAAATCCATCTACGAGTTCCACGCCACCGACATCGACGGCAATGATGTCTCCATGGAGAAATATCGGTACATGAACGACTTCAAAAAATTATCTTTAAAAATTAAATAAAAAAAATTATTGAGAATAAATTGGTGTCGGAAAATGCCCGTTTTTTGGGAGTGTCCAGGTTTTTACCCAATTTCCGTTTATTTTTCCCCTTTGATTTTTCGTTTAAATTTTTTTCTGGCTGATTTTCATCTTACCCTCCTGTCCATAATTTATTTACAAAGAATAATTTAGCTCCTATGGCTGCAAAATTTTATTTTGTTGAATTTTGTAATATTTGTCCCGGTTTTCGTCTACATTTTCCTCATTATGATAATATTATTATTTATTTTCGATTTTTCTTCATTGTTTCGATGAGCGTTGTCTGGAATTGATTTTGCCTAATTTTCAGAATTATTCATAGCGCGTTCTGCTGGTATAGTGACCTCGGGGAATGGTTTCCTGTTTTGGATTTTTTCACAATATTATCCATTTAATTTTGGTGTTGATTTCCCGTAGTAATTGTTGTCCTGTTTGTTTTCCCAGAAATTTATTGAAAAAAAAATTTAATAGAATTCGAAATTAATACATAGCGTAATAGAGTGAATAATTCTCTTTTTGGTTCGCAGCGGAAAAGTGCTGATCATTGTCAACGTGGCCTGCAAATGCGGATTCACCAACGATGTGAGTTGCGCAGTGATTTTTGTTTATTTTATTTTTCTTATGTTTTTTAAAAATATTTTTTTAATTTTTGCAGCACTACACGGAGCTGGTGGCGCTGCACGACAAATACCGCGACCAGGGCTTGTCCATTCTGTAAGGCCGATTTTTCCTAATTTATCACATCTTTTCCTCAATAATTTATTTAATTTACATAATTTATTTAATTTACAGCGGATTCCCGTGCAACCAGTTCATGGGACAGGTGAGTTCGAGTTTGGCCGAAATTTGTATTTATTAATTATTATTATATCACCAACTAAATTTTCCGTGTTGCCAAATTAGAATTTTGATAACAGAAAAACTGTAGAATAATTGTTGGGAAAAATTTGGAGATATTTTCAAACATTGAACGCTATGCCGTAAAATATAATTGCTGGAAATATATCTGCAGATAAAAACGTTTTCGGGAAAAATTGGGAGTTATTTTGCACACTGGAAAATTCTCTGCTTAATTCTTGGGAGAAGTTTGGAATTATCTGCCAAATAAAAATCAAGGAAAAAAGCAATTGGAAATAATGTATAATTATTCTAATTTAATCGGAAATAGAAGGATTTAATTCGGTATTTTACGAGAAATAATTCCTGAAGAAATGTTAATTATTCGCAACAAAAAATCGGAAATTAACTGTGTGAAAATGGCAGGAGCCGGGTTCGGAGGCGGAGATTAAGGATTTTATTGCGCAGTACAACGTCGGCTTCGACATGTTCGCCAAGGTGGACGTCAACGGCGCCAAGACGCATCCGCTGTGGAAGTACCTCAAGGACAAACAGGGCGGCACCCTCCTCGAGTACGTTGGCTACTTTTTGCAAATTAAAACCAATTTCATTATCTTGATTGTTATTTTAATTGCATTTTATTTGCTAAATGTTTCCTGTTGATTATTTTATTTTTCCCCGAATTTGTTAACATCAATTAGATGTGATGTGTGGTTTTTTTTTTTGTAAATTTTTTGTAAAACTATATACTTCCCAATGCATAAAAATAAGTACAAACTAAAATAAATAATAATAATGTGTTTTTTTTATTTATTTTTGCGGCGTAAATAATTCTGGTGTTGCTTGTTAGTGCCATCAAGTGGAACTTCACCAAATTCATCGTGGACCGCCACGGACAGGTGGGTGCCGGCTTCGACATTTTTACTGTACTGTACAATTTTTATAAACAATTTATTTTCTATTTTTTTACCATTTTTCTTACATTTTTTTTGTGGTTGTTTTCTGTCAGTTTTCGACTACATGAATTTTTATTTATTTTTGCTTTATTTGTAGCCGGTGGCGCGTCATAGCCCGCAAACTAAGCCGAAGGAAATGGAGAAGGAACTGGAAAAGTATCTGAATACGGCGGCATAAAAATCACGGGATATTTCCTATTTTATTGACAATAATACTGTGTTCATTGGCACATTGTATGTGGTAATTAACAGTTTTAATATAATGTTCAGTTTTTCCTTTTGAGTGATTTTACTGGTGTGGGAATAAATGTCGTTTCAAATAGCATCGTCATACGCGCTTCTGCTGATTGGTCGGAAATAATAAAATAAATAAAAGTGACGCGAATAATGTGTAACTGAAGTCTGAAATTATATTTTAATTTTTTTACATGGTATATTGCTTAACTGCTTGAAATTGTTTTTTTTTTGTGTTGTGTTGTTTGTTTCTTATTTGTTTTTAATTGCCATTTTTTTTAAAAATTTTAATTGCTGGTCTTTTTTATTTTTTAAATTTTTTTCGTCATGTTCGCTAATTATTTCCATGTGGTCCATTTTTTGTAGCAATGGAATATTTTATTTTAATTCCTGTGTTAATCTTTATTCGTAGAGACGTTGAAAATATTTTAATCGTCAGTTCATTGTAAATTATTAATTGTTTAACGGTTTATCAATTTTTAATTAATAATTTATTAATGATTTTATTTCCCATTTTTAAGCTGGTTTGGCGCACGACTTTCATAATGGTAAAAATACGCTCATTTCCGTCAACTGTATTTGTTGAATGTTGATTTTTATTTCTAACAAGGTGCAGCGAGATTTTTCGGGTCAAATTTCGTTGTTTATTTTACACGGATTAATGCAGAAATATTTCTTATACATTAATTGACAATAATAATTATTCCAAATGTCCGTATGATTAAAAAGAGAGACACAATAAAATCAGTCTGAAAAGCTGCTAAAATCCCATGGCAGACTCGCGTTGCCAACACCGGCGAGGCGACAACAAGGATTAAAAAACGATAAAAAAAGGACCACGACACCGCGCACACCAACAACAAAGTTAATGGCAACATTGCGGAAACAGTGCGGAAAGACGGACAGAAGTGTGAATTAATCCCCGGGAGATCACTGGCGGCCGCTTTTCCCGGCCAGTCCAATTAATCCAAATTATTCGGAAAATCACATTAACCAATACATGCACACGCGGATGTATTCCCGTTTTCAGCGCCGCTTTAATTTCGTCCATTTAAACATGGTCTCCGGTGAGCGATACAGGAATATCAATCTGCAAAAACAAAAATGAAAACATGGTGCAAATAATATTTAATTCCATTTTATGTATCTTAATTTGGGTAATTTTATTAATTCGGTAAAATGAATAACAACTGAACATTATGGCTGCACACAAAATATAAAATACATAACACAGAAAAAAATCATATCAATAAGGAAAATATTATAAAAAAATCATATCAATAATGAAATGTTTTATATATGGTCAATAATGAAAATATATAAAATTAATAATGTGACATGCTAATTAGGAGTGGTATTAGGGACAAAACAGGGGACCTATTTCTGAAAATTATTTATTACCAATTTTATTTTATTTTTGTATTTTATTCATTTTATTTCTTCAATTAATCAGGCTAATAATTGTAGAAAATACAAATATCAATTAAGAAACAATAACTGCATAAATCAAGAAAACAGAAAACGTTATGGGAATTTCCCAATTACAAATGCATCGGAAACTGTATTAGTAATTAATAAAAAAAAGGTAAAACTTTATTAAAATTAAATGCGGAAAAATCTGTCAGGGAAATAATTTCGTATACATTTCTGGGGAATTTTTGATTTTGATGTTTTTGGAGCATATATTACTCACTTGGCATACAGATCCTCCTCGAGACGGTACTCGCGGTTCTCGCGGACGAGGAAAATGTCCAGACACAGCCGGAGAATGCGGTCCACTTCCGGCAGATCCTCGAACATGATGCGGTACGACATGCCGCTGCTCCACAGCCGCACCAGTCGCCCGATGACGAACACCATGGAAATGTACAGACCCACGATCCTATATACACAGTATATTCAGCATATTATTATTATTATTTAATTGGTGTTTTATTTTAGTGACACAAGTTCAACTAAGGAAATTTATTTGACAAATAAATAACGAATTCTAACGAAGTAGCTCAGCTATACACCAGATCAACAACAAACAACATAACATAACAACAACAACATAACTAGACATAACATAGTAGCTAGACATAACAACAACTGACCAGGAAAAAGGTCACCATAATTTCCATTAAATACTGGAAATGGAAATATACACCGTACTACCCGCGATAATAATTCCATTTAAAAATAATGTTAAATGCGATAACAAACCTGATAGATGTGTCAATAACAACTCCAATAAACACAAAATCAAAACCGTTACGAAAATCAGCTAACATCATGTTTTGATTCTGGGGCAGCCTACGCGCTTGCAGTATTGCACAGCCACTTTACTACGATATTTTAATGAAATAGTAGAGGTGTTAAGTCTATTGTTTTATTAGACAACAGCCAATGCACATATCAGTATGCTTCCGCAGGTCTACCCTAGTCAAAATGATCAAATTTTAGACATTGAAGTGTTAAGGGAAGTGGCCCGGTACGTGATACCAAATTCGTGTACATGCACGAAATCTTTCACTTTCGCGCACTCCCAAACCCTTTTTTCTCTTGTTTTACGACATTCTGTAGCCAAATGATTTGTATACACAGGCCTGAAACCCGTTTGCGCGCGCAACATCCGGTTCAAGAGTTATGGCTGTTAGGAAATTCCCGAAAGTTTAAATGTTTTCAGGTGTACCAAAAGTCTCATTATGGACCGATGGCCATGAAGACCGCTTTACACCGATCCAGACTTCAACGATTTTTTTCAAATTTTAAAATGAATTTTAACATTTTTGAAATTCATTTTAAAATTTGAAAAACATGCTAGAACAGTGGATCGGGGTAAAAACGTTCTTCGTGGTTATGTGCTTTACGTGCAAAATCTGAAAGAGATCGGTCCATAATGCGACTTTTGGTACACCTGAATGCATTTAAACTTTTTGGAAGTTTCGAGCAACCATAACTCGCGAACCGGATGTTGCGCGCGCAAACGGGTTTCAGGCCTGTGTATACAAATCATTTGGCTACAGAATGTCGTAAAACAAGAGAAAAAAGGGTTTGGGAGTGCGCGAAAGTGAAAGATTTCGTGCATGTACACGAATTTGGTACCTTGTACCGGGCCATTTCCCTTAAGTTGAAATAGTAGAAATAAAAAAACAAATTAGAAAAAAATTCGAGCACTTTGTTCAAAAATGAGAAAATGTTCCACAAAAATCGATTAACGTTTTTTTTGGAAATAAATAAGAACTCAGACACTGACCGGTAATTGGCAAAAATCAGTAAAAACAATTAAACAGTTTAAGAAACTGCAGAAACTCCATAAAAATTCCCACACTGATCCGTAATAAAAAAAAAATTAATAAAACATTCAAAAACTTCAAAGAAACCGTGCACAAAATCAACGACAATTCCCGCACTGACCCGTAATAAGAAAAAATCCGCAAAAATTAAAAACATTTAAAAATTCTCCGCCAAAAATTAACAAAAATTCCCCTGCTGACCCATAATTAGTAAAAGTCAATAAAAAAATTAAAACATTTAAAAAATCTCCGCAAAAATATCAACAAAAATTCCGACACTGACCCATAATTAGAAAAAGTCAATAAAAAATTTACAACCTTTAAAAAACACTGCAAAAAACCCAAAAAAATTCCCGCACTGACCCGTATCCGGTGATAACGCTCCAGGCCTGCGGGAAGACCTTGTCGATGAAGGCCGTGAACGTGATAAACTGTTTACTGGGTTCCACGCCGCGACTAGCATTAGCCGCCGGATCATGGATATTCCACCACTGCACTTGGGTGGCGTGGTCCCCGAGCGGCCACATCTCGCGCTTCAACTGCATGCTGACGTTGCGGAACGTCGCCTGGTCCCGCCCCCGGTCCGTGCGCGGCTGCAGCGGCCCCACGAACCGCGACCAGCCCACGGAGGGGACGCGCACGAAGGACGGATACAGGAAGTTGACGCGCGCCGACAGCGGCGTCGGCGTGGAATTGGTGAGGTCCGTGCGGAGCAGCATTTGGGAGAGGAGGTAGCGGGCTTCCGGCTCGATGATCCACTCGCTACTACCGGTGACCATCTGCTGGAAATTCCTCCCGCGCCGCTCCTTACTAATTATACAATAAAATAGGCATTTAATTTAATTGATAAAACATCGTTTTTAATTTTTTTAAATTTATTTTCTCGATTTTAGGGTGATATTTCTAATATTTTGCCAATTTTAACAGACCACCTGCTGGAAATTTTTCAGGCGCTGCTTCCTACTGCTACGCAATTAGTTTGACTGACGATTACCGTTTTTCATATCTTAAATTTTTCTATGAATTTTTCCATTTTAATTTCCTATTTTAAAACATTTTTTTCGCTTTTAAGCCGGTGACTTTTCGTTGGAAGTTCCTCCAGCGCCGCTCCTTACTAATTATGGAATAACACAGGCGGTTAATTTAACTCAAAGAAAATCATTTTTATTTTACTACAATTGATTTTCCTTTTTTGTATTAATTTTCATTTTTTAATCAGTATTTTAAAAATTAAATTTCCGATTTTGAACCGCCTGAAATTCATTTCTAAATGGTTAAAAAAAGCCAGAACCCCAATGAAACATTAGCAAGGAAAATTATTAATGGAATCGTGTAGCACTGCTATCACAGCCCCCGAATTTTCCACTAGACTACAACAATCTCCAGACTAACCGATGCTACGCTCCAATGAAATTGAATTACAACTTTAACCTGAAAATGTTGACTGATTCATGTGTCTGCAGTGGCACCCTAATATCAACTTCCAATAAATTCCTCCATCATAAAATAATAAAAAATAAATAAATTCTACAAATAAATAATAAAATTTGTTTCTTCCCATACATTAAAAAAATTTATGCCAATAAATTGCACGTAAGAATTTGTTTCTCAATTTAACAGAAAAAATTCCATAATAATTCAAATTAAATTTTGGCAGTTCCCTTTTAATACTCCAGAAAAATTCCCTAAACCGTACACGACGTTTTTAAACAAATATAAATAAATATAAATAAATACAAATAAATATAACGTACAAGGAGAAGGTCCACTTGAAGGTCATGTTGATGTTCTCGGAGGCGGAGTTGTTCAAGTAGGTGATGATGTCCTGCTCGGCGGGCGGACTGACGGTCCACACCGTGGAGGAGTCCGACTCCAGACTGACCAGCCACACATCCTGCCGGCTGTACTGATTAATGAACCCCGCCGCCTGCTTCACTTCCGCCTGGTCCTGCACGCCCGTCAGCGCGTCCGGCTTGCTGAACTTCCACAATAAATCGTCGTACATCTGCTGCGAGTACGGCACCAACGCCTCCTAATTACAATCCAATGGAAAACAATTTCATCAAACATATTCACGGAAAATTTGAAAATAAATGTTATTTGTAGAAAATATTCACAAAGTACATGTTTATCGAAAAAGCATAATATTTGTCAATAAAATCGCTCGGTCAAATATTCGTAATATTGGTCGAATGTCCATCTGAAATTTTTGGTTTTTAAAAAAATAAGAATCAAGATGAATCAGGCAGTGGTGCGAGAAATTAAATCCTGACGTTTCAAAAATGAATTAAATTAGAATAATTAATTGTAATAAAATAGCTGGTGTCGCAAGAATAAATTAAACCGCTTAGGTAAAATTTCCAAAAAATCCCTGATGCTTAAAAAAATTGTAATCCGGAATATTCAACTGATTAATATTTACAGGCGGGTAAAATTAACAGAAATTGCCAATAAATTATGAAAAAAATCCACAGCGTTGTGGAATATCGGTTTAATTAAAATCCGGTTAAATCAACCGGTAACTGACCTTTCGCGCGGTGACCCGGTACAGCGTCTGGTGTCCCCGAGGCTGACCTCCACGGTGCAGTCCTGTGGGACATTGGATTCTCCCACCGCGTTCGTCAGGGAAAACAAGACCAGCGGGAACCAGATAACCAGGATAATCAGCAGCAGAATACTCCCGCCGATCAGATACTTCCAGAAGGTCATGTAGCGCGTCCCGCGGGGGTCGGGATAGCGCACCTCCGCCATGCGCCAGCATTTCAGGACGAAGATATTCGCGTAGATATCTTCTAACTTCAGCCATTCGGACATGGACATGGACGTGTCCGTCCAGATCCAGTCCATCAGCGAGCGCAGCTCCATTAAAAAGGGAATGATGATGAAGCTGTTGGGATAATTCAGCATAATTATAATCATTTAGAAAAACATAAATTAGCCAGGGAATTTAAAAATACTCATTTTACAAGCAATTTTCGAATTTATTCAACTTCTGATCGGTATTAAACGACAGTAATTATCCATCTTTTGGCTCAGGTTCTGCATTCTTACACTACAATTATGCAGCAAAAATTATTATCATTGATAAAAAAAAATTAGCCAGAGATTTTAAAAAAAACATTCATTTACAAGTAATTTTCAAATTTACTACATTTTAATCGATGGTAAATGAAGGCGCACAGTCAATATTTGGGCCAGAATTTGCACCCTTACACTACGATTATTCAGCATAATTATTATCATTGATAAAAAATATACATTAGCAAGGGAATTTAAAAATTTGTATTTTACAAGCAATTTTCGAATTTATGCCATTGTTAATCGGTACTAAATGGGAGCCATACGGGCCTGACTCTGCACCCTTACACTACGATTATTCAGCATAATTATTATCATTGATAAAAACATAAATTAGCCAGGGAATTTAAAAACAGTCATTTGACAAGCAATCTTCACATTTAATAAATTTTTATTCAGTGGTAAATGACGACAATCAGCCACCATCTTTAGCCAGATTTCGCACACCCTTACACCACGATTATTCAGCACAGGTATTCTCATCGGTAAAAATATAAAGCAGCACGGGAATTTACAAACATGAATTTTTCAAGCAATTTTCCAATTTAAAGAAATTTTTAAGCGATGCAATGTGACGGCAATCGGTCATCACATGGGCCAGAATTTCCACCCTTACACTACGATTATTCAGAACAATTATTACTACTGAAAAAAAAATTGTTTAACTAAGGAATTTCAAAACATCCCAAGCAAATTTCACATCTAATCGGTAATAAATAAATAAATAGTTTTAATCGGTAATAAATAACGGCAATTCCTGTGACGGATTTTGCACCTTTACACTACGATTTCTCCGTTTTCCATTACTACCTGAGGAAATCTCAAGCAGACATCCTTCTCTAATTCCAAAATAATTACTTATCAATAACAAAGACAAAAAAAACTTTTACCAGAACAAGCTTAGTAAATTCAGCTGCAAGATTAATTCGCAAATTATGTAAAATGCAGTTATCAAAATAAACTCCGTTACCGAAAACTAGAATTCTAAATTCAACAATCAAATAAATAGAATTAATTCAATGATAAGAAATTCAAATAAAATCCATAACAACAAACACGATATAAAATCTCATTAGTAATGGAGTAATAAAAATTTGAAATAAAACTCATTATAGCAGAACTATAACAAAAATGCCATTATCACTAAAAAATACAATGAATTTCTCAGTTTTCACACGCACAACCAACCGATAACATAATAATTCCTATAAATATTATATTACCATAATAATTCTTATAAATAGTAGCAAAATAAAAGCAATAATTACGAATAATCTTGAAATTTTAAAATGAAATCAACAATAAAAAAGCGCAGATAAATACAACTAATAATTCCATAATTAAATGAAATAAAAAAAAAAAACACTTACCCCTTGAAGAGATAGAGGTTGGTATACGTATACCGGTACGTCAGAAAATTCCCCAAAATCCGCGTGGGATACCCGGAGCGAATCTGATACGCGGATAATAAGAAATACACACACTTGACAAAATACCAAATCTGCAACGGCCAACTGCGGATAAACATCCTCCCGGTTTCCTTCGGTAGATAGAAGAAGAACGCCCCGTGCACCGTCAACACCAGCACCAACTGGAACACCAATTTCCCCTTTAAATTCTTCCGCAGATACAGCGCCCGGTCCAGAATCATCAGGCAGAACTGGATGATCAAGATGACGAGAAACGCGGTCGGGACGCGATTCTCCTCGAAATAATCCTTAATGTTGTCTTTTCCCCCGGCGTCGGGTCCGAAGGCCCAGTAACAAGCCACGACGATCATGAAACAGGTGAAATCGCACAGGAAGAGGTACGAGTACACGTTGGTGTTTAAACGGGACGTGTAGTTGTTGACTAACTGGATGTAGCGTTGCCCTTTAGCGTACCAGCGTTTATACCAGGGTAACTGCGATAATTCGGATTTACTCGGTTCGCTCATGCGGATTTCCTTCACCTCCACGTCCGGCGTGAAGACCACCTATTTATTTTAAAAATATTATATTAAAATTATTATATTTAATTAAATCACGAATAGCTTTCTATATTATCGAAAAAATTATTGTTACTATCACTATCCTTCGTTATTTATTAATAAATTAATTAATGATTGTGAAAGTATCAAATATATATAATACTGCAAATATTTCGGTGCATATATTGCATATGCAGGATCCGCTCATGCGGGTTTCTTTCACATCCACGTCCGGCGTGAAGACCACCTAGTTTTTTTACAACGAGGAAACTGTCTTAATGCCCAATTAAATTTTAACAAATTTTTACATTGTATTTTTCGAAACAAATTACACATGGAGTCTGATGCAGAAATAAAATGTCACATGTGGAAATAAAATTCATTATTATCATCATTTTTTGAGAACATATATTATGTTACTGTATTTTAATTGTTGTAAAAACAAATTTTTATATAAAGGAATTTTACTCGTATTTTTCTGAAAAAAGAATAGGAATTTTAACTAAGTAATTCAAGTGCAAATCGGTTAACTAGACCACATAGGAACCGTGGAGAATATGCCATTGTACTACATTCACCCCGTGGCTAGATAGAAATGCTCGACACACATTCGAGGCCACTTTGAAAAAATCCCATTTTAAAATCAAAAATGGACATTTAAAAATTCCACAGTTAATTTACAGCCCCTCCCATCGCCGAAAGCGAAAATTCATCACATACTTACATAAAAATAACCAAGTTAAATAAAATGCAAAAATAACAAATATTCGACTTAAAATGAGGCAAAATCCTAATAATTTATAGCACCTTGCGCTGTTAAAAATACTAATAACATAATATTAAGCCAGAAAACTAAACGAGAAAATTACAAAAAAAGACTTTACAATGAACCGAAAATCCCCATTGATTCCCCAGCTTTGTCAGTGACATCGGCGGCACGCGACGTACTTGGCATAAATGAGAGAATTACAAAATAAATATACATTAAAAAATAAGCTCCCGAAAAATCCCAATCACTTAGCAGCACCCAAAAACATTCTTAAAAAAATAACCAAATTTAATCAATAAAAAAGCCCATTCAATTTACATCGTCCAAAAAATTATAAAAAAATACTACATTTAATCAACAACATTAATAAATGAATCTACATCGCCCTAACAAAATTCTTAAAAAAATACCAATTTTCTCAACATAAAATCGTAATAAATTCACATCGTCCAAACAATTTATCACAAAACACAAATTTAAGCTACAACAAATCCCAATAAATTTAATATACATCGTCCAAAAAAATTATAAAAAATTACTAAATTTACTCTGCAAAAAATCCCAAAAAAATCCTAAAAAATAAATTATTAACTCTTACTGACTGAAAAAATCCCAATCATTTTCAACTGTACAAAAACCTTCTTAAAAATACTAAACTAAATTTAACCTACAAGAAACCGAATTAAATATACCTTCATCGATCCAAAAAATTATAAAAAAATACCAAATTTAATCAATAAAAAATCCCAATAAATTACCAGCATCCAAAAAGAATTCAATACAAAATCCTAAAAAATAAAATAATCATTCTCACTGACCTCGGCGGCATGCGACGTACTGGCCAGCCCCTCGCCGCCCTCCACGGCCTCCTTCTTCTCCTGCTCCTTCTCCTCGCGCGCCGTCCGCCACAATCCCAGACTCTTCAACACCGACCGATGAAAAAACACCACCAACAGCAGCGCCAGATCAAAGCTGGCATAGTGACTGGCCCGCTCCACCCCCAGGATCTTCGGGGGGTACAGGGGGTCGTCCGGATTCCCGTACAGCGGCCAGTTCTGCGGGATAAACGGGAACTGGAAGAAATACTTGACGATGACGCAGAACATGGTGTAGGTGATGATGGCCACCCAGAAGGCCCGCGTGGGGCGGGGGATGGATAAGGAGCCCCACAGGAGGAGCATCAGGGGCAGGGGGAGGCTGAGGACGGTGGCGGAGGTCATTTGCAAGAGGATGATCATGAAATAGGATAATAACTCGCTGCGCGCCATCAACGCGAAGTATGCCGCGATGACGAAGCGCATCAAGACGTTGTGCTGCTGGTGGAATTCCTCTTCGTTACGCCCCGGCAATTCTAAGGTCAACTCCGATCTACGACGAAAATTCAAATAAAAAAAATATAAAAAATAATACAGATAAAAAAAATTGATAAAAAAATAACGCAGATTACTATTAGTATTACTGCATCTAAGACAGTATTGTGGCTAATAAATTTTCAGTACGACACGGTAATTTCAGGGTCCATTTCGATCGGAACGACAATAAAAAAAATAAAAATAAATAGGTTAAAAATTAAAATTAAATTAAATTTAAAATTATTTAAATTTTAAACATGTAGAGCTTAGAAATTATTTCCAGCACATCGTTGATCGTACTAGATTACGCATTTTAATATGATTATTGCCAAAATTAATCAATTCCTCTCTGTAATTAATTAATCGAAATTACTCTGTCATTTCTCCAAACTAACTAAGTACTATGTATTTTACGAGAATATGTGCATTAGAATAATGTTCGCCAGATAAAATTAATTTTATATTAATCCCAGCAAAATATTATTAATCGGTGGTCGGATAACATTGGCGGTTGAATCTCATGAAAAAAAGTAGCTGAGAAATTTCATTAATAGCAAATGAGAGAAAACGCTCATTATGACATCAACACGATCCCAACGCTTAAGAGCCACTCTACTACGTTAGCACCACACTCAACGCGTACTACTGTCGGATCAGCAGGCGAAAACAGCGCGGATTACTGTCGCAATTCCAAAGTGGAAATTTCCCAACATCTTTGAATTTATCAACTTTCATTAAAATTACAACCATCATAATATTAGATTACAATACGCAGTCGGGAAAAAATAGAAAATCTTGTAATAACACCGAAAATAAGCAACAAAGCTCAATTTACGCCACGCCCTTCTGCGGATGCGCAGCACAAAGAAATTAAAGAAACAGAAAAGCATAAAACTAACACAAATTAGCCCGCCTCGCAACGTGCGCACCCAAGGAAAATTTAAAAAAATTTCCAATTAATATGACAGAAATGAAAAGAATAATAAAGAAAAATTAAAAAAATGTGATACAAATATATTAACATTTAGCAACCAGAAAAACTAAAAAACTTTCTAAATATAATATGATATAATAAAAAAATTAATTAGAACAAAATTAAAAATGTGATAAAAATAAAATTATTAACCAGAAAAATTAGAAGAAAATTTCCAAATAATATGATAAAATTAAAAAAAATAACCAGAAAAATTACAAAATGTGATACAAATTAAATTAATAACCAGAAAAAATAAAAACATTTTCCAACTATTATGATAAAAATGAAAAAGAATAATCAGAAGAAATAAAAGAATTATTAGAAAAACTAAAACTACCCCCCGTCTACCGCTCGGCGCGCAGTCCGGGAAAATCGGGAAAAAAAATCCAAATTAAATTAATGAAACGCAATAAAAATCATTTAAAATTACAACAAGCCCCGCCTACCGTTGGGAACGCAATCCCGGCTTGCCCAGCGCCACCTTCTCCACGGTCTCGATGGCGGCGTCCACCTCCTCGGGATTATCCACGGGCGTGGCGGCCACCCCGGCCACCCGGTCAAAATACTCGCGGACCTTCTGCACATAAAACTTCTTCATCCGCCGCTTCTCCGTCCGCAGCTTATCCGCCACAAACCGGAAATCCTTGCTAATCTTATTCAGTCTAACATTCAGCTCATCGATACTCCGGGTAATGAACATCTTGGCGAAGATGGTCACGTGGTACGCCTTCTCCCACACACTACTCGGCGCCTCGGGCTCCACGAAGATGTTGGCGTTGCTCGGGGCGTCGGGGATCTCGTCCAGCGCGTGCGCCAGGAGGACGGCGTCCGTGTCGCTGATGGAGCGCGGGAGACGGCCGGGTTCCAGCGGGGAGTCGTCGTCGTGCTCGTGGAGGTTGGTTAACGAGTGCACCGGGGAGAGGTGGACCGTGGGGAGGGTCGGGGCGGAGGTGGGGGCGGCGGTCATCTCCGTGCCGACGGAGGGCAGCCGCGCGCGCTCGCTGCTCAGGGTGTTGCGCTGCAAATTATTTTTTATTCAATTTTTTTATGGGAAAAATACCAAATTAAATAACTAATTAACTCTCAGGCTGTTGCGCTGCAAATATGTTTTTTATTCAATTTTTTTATGGGAAAAATACCAAATTAAATAACAAATTAATTCTCAGGCTGTTGCGCTGCAAATATGTTTTTATCCAATTATCTTATGGAAAAATATAGAAATCAATAACAGGATTAATTTTTATGCTGCTCTGCGTTGAAAATAATTTTCTATTCAATTTTCTTATAGAAAAAATATTAAAATAATAACAGTATTGATTTTCATGCGGCTGCGCTGAAAATGACCGTTTATAAAAATTTTCTTTTAGGAAAAATATAAAAGACATAAAAATAAATAACCGTATTAATTTTCAGGCAGCTGCGCTGAAAACAACCATTTATACAATTTGTATAGGGAAAAAGAACAAAAAGTTAACATAAATGTAAGTGATAAGAAAGGAAAGAAAAATCAGCACAAAAATAAAAAAAACAATGCCAGGTAATAATAAAAGGAAAATAAACATCACGTAATTCTAAAAATAAACAAAAACGCAAAATAAACATCACGTAATTCCTTACAGCAGAGAAACATCAACAAGTAATAGCCGCAGTAAAGAAATAAAATATCATTCAGTTTTTTACAAAAAAAAATAAATTAAAAAGTTACAACCAAAAAAAATATAATAAGAAAAACATTTCATTCAGTTAACTGGCTTACGCGTTGATTGAGATGCAGGAGGGAGTTGCGCTGCTGCGGACTGGCGAATTCGCTGCCGCGCTCCGACTCCGTGCGTTCACTGACCACTTTAATATCGTGCACCACGTTCTTGATGTTGTCCATCATCACCGCGTAATTCAGCATCTACACACACGCACCAACAACACTCAGTAAATTTATGGGAATAAAAATGCAAAAACTAACGAATTTCCAAAAAAATCATGGAACCTCTAAACGATCAAAGTTTTTTAATTACAGATTAATTCGGGAAATTAGTCTTACCAGTATGGCAATAAAAGAATTTAAATAAATATTAATTAAAAAAATAAAAACAACTTTAATTAATATTAAATAAAATACAGTTAATTTTTAAAAATAAAATTATCGCAGCAATAAATAAAAAAATCTGAGAAAAAACTGCACCTGCAGGGGATCGGGTCCGGTGGGTTGGGCGGGATCGTTATCCTCTTCGGGCGGCCGCGACGGCGCCAGATTAATGTCATCCTCATCGGAATCCGAATCCTCGAACATGTAGTAATCTCCGGACCGTGTCGCTATACAGAGAAATTCTCGTTGACCATTATAATTTTATTTCGTTAACCACCAGTCCACCATCACACACGAGAAAACACCAAGTAGAGTATGCGCCAACCACAATAAATTATGAATATCAAGGATGACCTTGTTCAACTTGTCGCAAAATAAGAGAGACTTTCTCTCCCTGCGAAAACCAAATTCTACAGTTTCAATCCGAATTTATTAAATATAAATCCGGAATTTATTAAATAGACATTTTGAACTTCTGAAATACAACTACAATTATTGAATTTATTAAATTTAAAATTTATTTAATATAAATACGATTCTTAAATTGATTTAACAGAAAATAAGTGCTGTAAATTTAATCCGACGAACAGCTGTCGTAGCACAAACTGCGACATACAAAGTCCGCTAGTGTAACGGAACGCGAGATTATAGCCGCTGTACTACAATCACAGTGCATTTAGAATAAATAAATTACAACCAAATGTAAACCACAACACCATGTTCATGTAATTTCGCATTAATTACACTATGGAATCGACTAATTTAATTTGTGCAATTAATCAGCATAACCAGCGAATCTACTAATTTATTAAATCAGCGAATTTCATAGTATACACAAATTAATACACCCAGATTCTTAATTTCCTCCGCATCTGGCAGTCTGCCAACCGACATACAAACCAAATGTAATATGTTTTATTTTTTTCGTTTTTAATTTTTTTTTAATTTTTTACGCTTTCTCCTTATTATTTGTATTCAAAAAAAATTGATTATTTCTAAAAACGAATTTGTGGAGTCACTCCACAGCGGTCAAGCACAGAAAATTCATACAAAATAATGTCCAATGCATTAAATTTTGCCTGACTCACTCTGGTAGTGCTCCTCGAAATTGGGATCCTTGGGCGTGCCCAGCACCTCAATGGGGACCACCACCGGCAGCGCCGGCTCCACGGTGCCTTTAAAGCGTTTCTGTCGCTCGCGGATGCGTTCCACTTTGCGGCGAATCTTCTCCATCACCTTACACTCATCCTCCTTCTGCTTATTCGTGTAATCTTGCACCTACATGTTCCATCCCATTAGCCAGTTTATAATCAAAACGACAAAACTCCCTTTTCCATCCATAACGATTGTATGTTACAGCGTTATGAAAACTAAACCACATAATAAAATTCAAATTCTGTAACAAACGTACGATTTATTCATGGACTAGAGCTTTTATCAATTACAGTATTCGCGAATTACAGTATTCGCTTCAATTTTTTCTAACTAAACCCACAGGATTTTCTTGATTAACAACATGCGGAATTAATTTGTTAAATTTGATTGTTACTGTGATCTGCAATAACTAAGGTCATCCAATTTAATTTCGAAATAAGTGATAAATTCGGCGGCTGTAATTAATCAGCGCGGAATTACATTAATAAATTCCATTTTTTACGGATTAAATTGCCGGTTTGATTTCCAATAAAAAAGCTTACTGGTACTATTTTCTTTATTTATTTCTGCAAAGTTGTAAGTGAATTTTTCGTAAAATATTCCTAACATTTGTACCAAATTATGAATCATTTATTTAATTAAAATACGAAATTTAGCAATTATTCATCATACTAAATTGTAAATATTCCTAACACACGTATTATCATTCATTTATTTATTAAAATTATCACTTATTTAAATATTTATTACCTGGCCGTTAATCAGTTCCGCACCGCGACTGGCCAACGCCGACTGCACTTTATGCTCCAGCACCACCCACTGGAAGTACCAGCTGGAGAAGATGCGTTTCTGCAGCAGCAAAAACACGAAGACCACGGCGTCCAGGACCAGGCCGGCGTCGCCGGTGGTGGCGCCGCACACCGCGCTATCCCCGGCAATACCGCTGACCACCGCGCCGCTTTTCTCCAGGGGCAGCGCGACGGCGGCGGCGGCGGACTTAACGACCGTCGGGCCGCCGTCGGCGAAGCGCAGACAGGCGATCCCGAATAACTGGATTACCCAGCAGTTCTTTTGCTGTAAACCGGCGAGGTGGACACATCCCACGCCCTGTAGGACGCATTTGAGCAGGATGATCAGGACGTTACCCGTGAGGAAAATGTTCCACCTGTTTACGATAAAAAATTGTAATTAATTTCATATTTTTCGAATTAAATTGTATATTCCAGTTTAATCTTTTTATTTAATTAAATTTTATTTCCAGACGAATGTGGTTTTTGAGCAGGATGATCAGGACGTTACCGGTGAGGAAAATGTTCCACCTGTTTATGGCAGAAAAATTGTAGATAATTTTAATTTGCTCTGATTAATCTGGGTCTTCAAGTTTCCAGTTTATTTTAAAATCCAGTTTAATTTTTCATAATATATTTTGCTTCCAAATGATCTTTCAAAATTAAATTTTATTTTCCAAAAATTTTAATGCATTATTCTAGTAAAAATGTTCTAATTATCTTCCATTTTCCAGTTATTTTAATTTTTGTAATAAATTTTGTTTTCCAACTGATTTTTTTAAAACGACATTTTATTTTCCATTATATTTAGAATTGTTTTCTGATAACGTTTTATTTTTCAATTATATTATTTTTTACCGAAATTTTTCCACCTGCAAGAGTCAGATGCAGTATTTTCAGTTTTAGAGAAAAGTATGTAGTGCAGTGGCCGAATTGATGCGTCGATCAAAAACAGATGCTATGTGTGATGTTATGCAGTTATAAGACCGAACGTCGCAACAGCGACATTGTAAATAACTGTACATATATTTTTTCCATAAATGTGACACCAAAAAAATATTAAAAAATGTCGGCGCTTAGAAAAAACCGATTACTAAGCCTAAAATATTGTGGCAGTGAAGGAAACAAAAAAATCGAACATAGTTTGTGAATTCAAATTTCCGTCTGCATTTTAACATTAAAATTAAACAAAATTCCCGTTCGGCAGTTTTAAATAATGACCACTTTCAACTGCAGATATCGTTATTTGATTTTAAAATTGATTTACGTTTTTATTCTACCAGATTTTTTTTCCTTGCTATTCCTTGTCAGGTGTTTACTACTGATTTAAAAGACAACGAAAAGCGATAAAAATATTATTAGCACATTGTTCATCGTTCAAAAACAGGTCAGAAATTATACACCTACTCAGAAAAACAGGTTAAATCCAATTATTAATTCCTACCCGGAAAAAATGCAAAACCCCATTCATGCAGTAAACCATTCGGCTGAAAAAGTTTTAAAAATTCGTTACATCGTGCAGCTTGATTGGCTTTGTTGTTGGCTTCGTGCAGCTTGATTGGCTTCGTTGCCGCAGCCTTCGAAATTTACGGACCTTTTGGAGATGGTACTAAAAAGCTAGTGGAAACGGTTGGAAACGGTATTGCGGCTTCAACTGGCCAAAAGCGGGCGAAAGAGTTTTTTAAACAGCGAATATCTATGCAAATACAACGGGGAAACGCGATTTGTGTAATGGGTACGATCCCCGACCAGGATAGCATAGAGGAAGTGTTTCTTTTGTAAATGCCGTTTTGTTCTGGTGCATAGTTTGCACTCGTACCACGATACTTATTAAAGGTTCAATTTGTTGTTAAAATGCAAGCAATCAATGAAAAATAACGAAAACTAAAATTTCTAGCCAAAATACAATTTTCACGAAAAATACAATTCTAACATTTTATTGAAAATTATTCAGCTGTATTTCAAGACTAACTGCCCGAAAAGTCTTCAGAAAATTCCAACGATTTCGACTAGCCGCTGCACTACGATGGATGACAGCAGTAAGCATTAAGCACGCTCAATGCCAAACAACGTAATAGCCGGTTTGATCGCTTGATAAATTTTATTATTAATATTTATTCAGGATTTACTGTTTGCCATGTTATTTATTACTCTCAAACAGAAACTGTTACAGCAATGGCAAATCAGTTTACGAAATCACATACTAAAATAAATAAGTTTTCAAAAAAATTCCTCCAAATAATTCGACAATTTTTGTTGTGAAAAAAATAAAAGAAAAATTATAAAAACCATACCCAAACAATTTGCCGAAAAACTTATTTGGACGATATTCTTTATCACAATACAGCTACTTGATTGAAGACGAGTAGAACCCAATGAACGGCCCATACACTACGATTTCTGACGATCTATAGCACATTCACTGGCACAACAATGCGTTTGGATCGTTGATATAAGTAGTCTTTTATAAATTATGCAAATTTTTTTAGTAATTTCGGCTGTGTAGTAAAAACGATTGATTTGCGGTAGCTATTTTCGGAAAATTATTTATTTCAAAGGAAATGTATAAACACATTTTTGAGGGCAGCAGCAATAACTATTTTCAATTTTGTCCCGTACTCAACAGCAGCAGAAGATGATTCCTATGTGAAATAGCCATGGTCCTGGTTTCTCTAATTTAGATAATTTTGTTGCCCAAAATTTTAACACAATTATTGAGAAAAAAACTTTCGAAATTCTGATCCAGTCAGATTATTATTTTTCATATTTTGCAAATCTTTTTCTTTACCGCTGTGGACTGATAGTGTTAGCCGGGACTCAAACAGCCACTGCACTACGCTTACTCAACAGAGTCAACATAATACTGCACTTACTGCAGAATAATCCGTTTGATCCTTAATAAAATTATTTTATCAATAACACTCACTATTCTAATCTAATGCTGTTCTATTTTGTTATTATTATTATTGTTATTAGTATTCTATTTTATTATTGTTTCTTAACATAAATTTTGCTATGGCATTTAAAAATGCAGGTATGTAAAAAATAAAAATTTCAAAAAATAAGAAACCACAACAATATAACTTACTGGCGCATAATCCGTTTGATCGGCTTGCGGAAGAACTCGTTCCCGTGCCAGAGGAAGAAGAAGCACCCGCACAGATACATAAAACACAGCATGGAAATCCGGCTGGTCCCCGCGATGAACACCACGGCCAGCGTCACCCAGTACATGAAATTGAACGTGAACACCTTCAGCACGTCCAGATACGATGTCGTGTACGTCATAAAATCCGGCACGGGATTTTCGAAGATCTTCCGGTATTTCCCCGAGCGAATGATATTCTCGTTACTCCCGCCTTCGTACTGCTCACTGGCGTACACCGCTTCCAGATTAAACACCCGCCACTGACAGCACGCGAATAATAACTGGAAAAAATCCCCGATTAAGATGCTGGCTTTCGGGGCGAAGAAGGCGTCGGGCAGGTACAGCCACTGGATTAATTCCGCCGTGAAGATCTTGGTGGCATCCAGCCGATCCCAGGGATACGCTGAAAAAAAGGGCAAAATATATTTCATAAAAATATTATTGGGTATATTTTTTAATCCAATGGAGGCGTTAAAAAAAGGGCAAATTACTGTATATTTCCATAAAAATATTTTTGTACATATTTTTCGATCCCACGGATACGATAAAAGAAGGGAAATTATATTTCATAAAAATATTATAGTGTATATTTTTTATCCCATGGAGGCGTTAAAAAAAGGGCAAAATATATTTCATAAAAATATTTTTGTGTATATTTTTTGATCCCATGAAGGCATTAAAAAAAGGGCAAATCATATTTCATAAAAAATATATTATCGTGTAAATCGTTGTTCCGCATTTTAAATCAAAAATTCCAGTCTAAGTCTACTGAGGAAATTAATATTTAAATTTTACTGTCAGTGTAAATTATTACTGCGTTTCGTTCGATCCCGTGGAGCTCCACACAGCGTGCAAAATTTCCCCATTGCTATTCATAAAAATTTTGCCGATCCCAGCATGATTTTTCTAATAAATCAAATAATGTGCTAACAATTCGTACGAAGCAATAATACTGAAAATTCATTAATAGTGTGACTCATTATTGAATCGATTTCCATCCCTTGTATCCGCTACGCATGGACGAAAACGTCAAATTATTTAATCAAAAAATATTATCCGTTAAATTAATATTCCCCAATTAAATTAAATACGTTAGAAAAATGAAATACAATTAAATCAGAAACGCTAATTAAATTAAACAGTTTTTTTGTGAATTGTTCAAGTAGATTACCGGAATAGTAGTCTAAGACTCTCAAGTCGTGGTTGTAATTTTCACACACGAGATTGTAGTGCAGAGGCGTCAATCATCAGCCGCCTTCTCAAAGTTGTCTCATATAGCGCGCCTTTAGACACGTTTTCATACCGTTTTCACTGGTTAAATTGAATTTTAAAATAATTCATTTTTCTTAAATTCAAATTTCATTTCAGATCACTGCAAAATCAAGCCGAGCTTCGTACAATTCATAAAAAAAAATCAATTTTTAAAAGACTACTGTACTTAACTGAAAGCCAAAAATAAGAACTTGGAAAACACTGTTCCTTGTTCGGAACAGCAATAATATTCCAGAAATAAACTGAATACGTTAGAAAAAGTAAATACAATCAAATTAGAAACGCTAATTAAATTAAATAGTCTTTTTTTGTAAATTCTTCAAGTAGATTACCGGAATAGTAGTCTAAAACTCTCAAGTCGAGGTTGTAATTTTCTAACACCAGATTGTAGTGCAGAGGCGTAAATCGACAACCGCCATTTCTATTATAACACGCCTCAAGAATCAAGACACGTTTTCATATTGTTTTCGCCGGTTAAACTGATTTCAAGTTTCAAAAAAATTTCTCTTTTTATAATTTCAAATTTCATTTCCTTTCAGATCGCTGCAAAATCAAGTCGAGCTTCGCACAACTGATAAAAAACTGAATTTTTTAAATAATTACTTAATACAAAATCGAAAATACTGTTTCCTTGTTTCGCAAAGCAAAAATATTGCGAAAATAAAATCAAAAAAATTTATTTGTCAGAATTTTATTTCATTTCAGACGGGTTCTACGTACTGATGCACAATCCGCGCGGAATACCCAGCACCAGCAGATACTGCAACGGCAGCAGCAGCCCGAGGACGACGACGTACACCCCCCAGATTTTGGCCAACGCGCGCCGGCTGAGCATGAACATGATGAGGAGGAGGATGCCGTACATGACGGCGAACACGTCCAGCCGGGTGCACATATTGATCACCATCGTCACGAAGCAGATCTCCAGGCCGAACCGGTAGAAGCCGTAGTTCCATAGGTACTGGATGCACGACACGAGACCCACGTCCGCGTCCTTCCGCTCCACCCCCGGGAAGACGATCCCCGGTTTCGGCAGCTGGTTCACCGGGATCGACTCCGCGAAATACCTATTTTTGCACAATAATCACACCACCACCCGAAATTTTTATTAAAAATCAGGAAAAAATAACAAGTAATTTTCTTCGGTTTTTATTTTACTTTTGATCGCAGTTTTCTTTATTTTTTTAAATTGATTCATTTAAATATATTCATACTAATTACGCCCAAACAGCAGATTATTGGTAAAATCATGCATGAATAAACAAAAAACAGGACGGAATTTTTCGTATTTTGTTCGCAATATTCATATAAGCGACCACGACTTAGTAAATTAACATCAAATGAAAAATTTATAAATTAAATCAAATAATATTCTTTAAAACAATATCAGCCAGCCATTCTTTTTTAAAAACTCTGGATGCACAAAGCGTAAAATTAATTAGTAATCAAAACTGCACGAAAGAATCACTAAATTCAAAAAAAAATGCTGAATTAAATCAAAAAAGCCGAAATTAAATGTCAGTACTATTCCATCGATAACAAAACTTATTTTCATTAATTACTGTAACGTCGGTAATTTTTTTTCCGCTTACCGATGGCGCTGCACGATGATCGCCCGCAGCGTGACGATCAAAATGACGGAAATATACACCCGCAGTTCGTGCGCGATGTCCGGCACCTTACGGAAGCCGACCCAGTCGTTGTCGGTGCGGTTGAAGTTGGAGGCGTTCAACCAGGTGCAGTTGGCGGAGAAGTTCTCCTCTTTGACCATGCGCAGCTGGTAGATCATCTTGACGATGACCAGGACCGCGGCGATCCCGCTGGAGCTCTGCGCCACCACCGCCACGCCGTTATACGCCATCAGCGAGATGGCCACCAGCAGGATGAAGATCAGATTGATCGCCGACACGTCCAGCACCGCCGCCAGAAAGATGGTAAACAGACACACCTAATGTCACAGAAGAAAATTACTCCCCTGCTTTTTTTTAGTGAATTCATTTTTTTCCACTGATTTCACCAATTTCTTTTTCACTCCATTCTTTTTCGCTGAATTTTTACGGAATTCGTGCAGCATAATTATGAGCAGTAGAACTTTTATTTTCGCAAAATTAAAAAAAAGATAACTACAATTTCCACTAAGATTTTGTTCAAAAATATAACAGCCGAATAAAGAAAATACTGAAAATGTAATCAGAAAAAAAATATCAAAACTCGTAGAACGAATTTCCGATAATAATTCAGTAAAAAAAACCGGCATTTAACGACAACTGGCCAACTAGTGTGATTAACGTAATTGCAGCGTACACGAAACATTGTGATTAAACGTAGTGTAAGGGCGGCTTACTGTGTTCTTGGACCACCTCTCAACTTTGTGAATATTTACTGGAAAACAGAAAATTAATTATCTAGTTTTTTCTTAGCAAAAGAAAGGATGAAAATGCAATAAAAAAAACCACTCTAAGTTACCTGGAATTTAAAACAAACCATACATTATAATATCATAAAGAACACATTTTCCCGAAAACATCCAAACAATACACAATGATAAAAAATACTACTATTGCAGCGCCCATCAGACCCCATCTGATATAGCGACGAAGCGTGGCACACACTGGCAACAACCTCCGTTTTCATATCAGCAAAGTAGCGCATACAACGCATACTAACGCAAAGAAAGCAATGACGAATATTCGCATATTTTTTATTATTATTATTTATTAATATTATATTTACTATTATTATTTACTCGTTTTATTCTATTTCTGATTGCTAATTTTTTTATTATTTGTTTATTATTATTACTATTATTGTTAATAAATTCTCTTCTTGCTGGGCGTTTTACCTTGAGGATGTGGATCTCGAGGAGGCGCCAAGAGAATTCCAGCAGTAAATGGCCCCAGCGGTAGACGAACTGGACGCAGCGCAGGAAGAAGCCCGAGGGTTTGGCCATGTCGGTGGACTGGTTCTCGATCTGGAAGGAGGGCAGCTTGTACTGGCCGTCCTGCTTGCTGGTGATGTGGAGAAAATGTTTGTGGAAGTAGTGCAGTTGTAAAATGCACAGGATGAGGAAGGCTGTCGGCGTCAGTAAGCCCACCACCAGCGCGCCCTTATCGAACTCGTTGTACTTCTCCAGACCGAAATCCGCCAATCTGCAACCGACCCGCGAAATGTATGCCATATTTCAACTTATTTATTTTCTCATTTTTTTTATTTTTCAAATTTATGCAAGATTTCAATTTATTTATTTCTCAAATTTACGCAATATTTCAATAAATTTAGTAACTATTTTATTTATTATTTATTTTTTCATATTTCAGTTTTTAAATGAACGCCACATGTATGCAGTAATTTATTTCACCAGAATTTCCCATTTTAGTTCAACTGATAAAGTTTTTCTGGATTTTGTAAATTTCTTGCAGTCAGAAATTCCCGGTTACCCCAACTGTAAAATTTTATGCTAATCAGAATTTTTTATTCCTGCTGCATATTTTGTTTACCGTAATATTTTATTTTTCCATAATTTCAAACTCTGTAAAAATTATTGCACCAAAAATTTTGTTCTACTTCAGCTTAATTTTACTCCACGCTATTCATCACAAAATTTAACCTCATTTCAACTCGGCCGAAACTGTTTAACATTTTACCAAAAAAATTCCCGTTTTATTTTTCATAATATTTATTGTATTTCAATCAAAAAATTCAGTAATATTCCTGCAGTTTTATTGTAATATATCTCCTCACAAAATCCCTTTTGCTTCCAGCGGATATAACTGCTTGATATTTCGCCAAAATTCCGTTTTCATTTTACACAAGTTGTATCCGAAATTCAGTACTGTTCCATCATCGTTGATTTTAGTCCGTTCAACATTTATCGGAATAACGTAGTGCAGTGGCAAACCAAACTCTTCTGTAACTATCACTTCACCCGGTACTAACTAAAGAAACTCTAATATCAAAATTTATCCAACCTTTTTGCTAAAATTTCAGGAAACTACTGCACAACCGAAATTTTAAATTTTATTTCAAGTTGAGAATAAAATCGACAAATACAATGTTGAAAATTATCGCGCACGTAAAATAAATTCTTATAAGGTCAGCACTTACGTTTCCGGTGAAAGGCGCGTGAAATTCTGCCAGTATTCCGGGAAATGTTTGAACTGGTAGGTGTAGATGAGCAGCAGCACCACCATCGAGTAGAAGATCACCGTCACCCAGAACACGTACAGCATCTTCCGCCACACCGTGTACGACACCTGTCAAAATACAACTGGACTGGCGACCAAATAAAAATCGAATAAAATCGCAACCGCATCAACTTTTTATTCAAGAATCTTATAATTTTCTAAAATTATTTTCATACTGCTGAATTATTCAGTTATAATTTACCGAAACGGGGTACGGGAAATAAAATGCAACTGGCAATACAATTAGCGTGTCCATGCCAGAAAACGACAACGGCTTAATTAAACCTGAATTTGGATTAAGTACAAAATTTATGAACTGTGAAACAATACTAACACCTGGGATAAATCGATTAAATCACAATAATCACAACTCAAAAATTTTAATTTTAAACTGCTGTCAAAAGCATTTCTAGAACGTTCTGACCGCAGTGGGGATTGCGGAAATAGCGCCCGCTTTCCCGTATTTTCGTATCGCTCAAAGTTTTATAACGATAGATAGCACAACGCATTAACCACAAAATAAATCAGCAATTTCTGAACACAAACATTGTGATGTATTTTGACAGCACATAGCCAATTTCTCTATGCTGTACTACTAATATTGCAATAGCGTAGTGTAGTGTCACAATGGCGTCTCGCTGTGTGCGATTTACTGTAGCTAAACTCGCTACTGATTGCAAAATGCTCGTAATAAATACAGTTATAATGTTGATCTTTTACGTTAAGTATATTTTTTTATTTTACATGAATTTAATACTGTCATGTATATTCAAACTAAAAACAAGCGTCACGAATTAACTGCACACTGAAAATAATTACAGAAAATATTCCAGTAATAAAAAGAAAACACTTATAAAAAATTGAGGACTGTAAAAATAATTATAAAATACTTTGTAAAATTGTTTTTTGCTGAATTCTTAATTACCTGCAGCATGACGACGAAGCAGAGGAGAAGGGCCATGTAGACGATGCGGTAGATGACCACCTTGCCCTGCATGCTGATCAGCAGCAGCATGGCGCAGCACAGCGCGATCCAGAACTTGATCATGAGGATGCGGATGCTGCGGCCGATCAGGCGCAGCCAGTTGTGCGTCCCCGGGTCCAGCAGCGCGTAGTCCGACACCGGCGAGGCGATGCTGGCGTTCTGCGCCGTCACGTCGTCCAGGTTGACGCCGTAACCGCTCTCCTCCGACGCCGACTGCGCCGCTTGCCGTTCGCGCATAAACAGGCGGAGCGTCGTCCAGAAGAAGAACGTGAACATGGACTACCCACCGACAGAAAAACATTTGGGTAAAAAAATACAGAACAATCCAGAAAAATATTTACTAGTAAAAAATACAAGAAAACATTATAATATTCACCAGCCAAATGCAAAATAATTAAAAAACGAAAAATCAATTAGAATCAATGGAAGACGATTAAATAAAAATATTAAATAAAATGAGGGTTGTCCAGAAAAAGAAGGTGAACATGGACCACACACCGGCAGAAAAACAAATTCGTTAAAAGATACAGGAAAATCCCGATTAAAAGTATTTATCAGCGACAAATACAAGACAACAGTAAAAATATTCACCAGCCAAATCTAGAATAAGTACCGACAAAAAATCAAGTAAAATCAATCGAAAACGAATAAATGAAAATATTTAATGAAATAAAGGTTGCCCAGAAAAAGAAGGTGAACATGGACTACACATCGATACATCGTCAGTATCAACAAAAAATAAAAACAGTAAATTCAAAAAAAAACGCAAGTAAAATAAAGAATAAATTAAAAATTAATTTTACATGCAGAAGAATTTTATAATCGAAAATAACGAGAATAAAGTCAAGAATAAAACATTCAGGTTGGCCCATTAACAACACTAAACGGAAATCCAAATTGTAGGAAAAATCCTTTCCTCAAATAATAGTCCAAAAACATATAACACGGATTAAAAAAATGACAAATTAAATCTAAATAAAAAATCAACTGCAAAATTTACAAACAGGAAATTAACCGGAAATAAATCTGCAAAAATTGAAACAAGAACACACCCCACACAGACAAACTTAATTCGGCAAAACAATTATCAAAAATAATAATGTATCAAAATAAAATGAACCGAAACAGAGAACAATCGTTTGGATCGAAAACATTTTTTAAAAAAATAAAATCGTTACATAATATTTCAGATTAAAACCGAAGATTAAAATGCCAAAATTACAACCATAATTGAAATAACACAAAATATCTTGCCATAACTGAAAAAAAATAATCTACTAGAAAATTATACCCAAAATTTAATTAAGAAAACCGACCACAGAAAATCTCCGTACCCTTATGGCCAGATCGAACACGGGATTATCACTGCGATCAAACCCAATAGCCTTGAAATCCACGTAACTCCGCGCCTCAATACTGTTGATCTCCTTGGAAATATCCAGACTGAACACGAACTGCGCCATCAGCAGAATCTCCGCGTACAGCGTATACACCGGGGATAATTTCAGACAAAAATCCCGCGACGACGGCATCAGCCACAGGAAGATGGCGCACAGCAGGAAGACGAAGGTCATCCAGGAATGGTAGATGACGGACCAGGACATCATGGCGATCAGGGACATGATGTAGGACTGCTTGACGAACACCCGCCCCAGGTACTGCAGCACCATGCGGATGCGGTAGTGGTGCATCGAGGTCTCCGAGTGCGGCGACGGCGGCAACGCCTCGATGGTCACCGCCTCGCGGGCCGCGTTGAAGGACACCGGCCGGCCCGCCGCCGGATGCAGGAGCTGTTAATATAGAGCGTCAATAAATTTACCGGGATTTTTTTCCAATAAATATCCTATTTTTTTTAATAAACTGCGGCCAATTTATTTTTCAACGGCGCTGCGTACAAACATTTTTAAAAAATAAAATCTGCCCAGATTAATTTTCTTCCAATGAACACCTATTTTGTAAAGATTTTTTAATAAAATGCGGCAGATATATTTTTCAGCGGCGCGGCGTAGCATAAATTTAACAAAATGCAATGTGTCGAGATTAAATAAGTTCGCTTGTTTACAGTCCGCTAACTGCCAACAGCAACTATGAAATAAGCAAAAATATTTATCCAAAAATATTCGCTCTTGTGAAGCAGCAAAATAAACGGCAAAAGGAGAATGCCAGCAGCCACTTATTCAACGAAATCAAATTAAAACTTAGTACAATTTCCACGCCATGTCCAATGCGCCAGTACGTGGCCCAATAAGGAAAATACCAGATCAAAATACTAATAAATACCGAAATAAATCAAGTAAACAATATTACACTATTAGTAAAATGAATAACAACTAAATAAGGATAAAAAAACAATTAATTTTAATGTTCGCTAAATTAAATAAGACAACTACGTTAGCAAACCGCAGCACCACAACCTAGACATAATATGAAAAAAAAATTAAAGAAAACCAATTTTAAATCTTACGCTATCGAGCTTACTAAAAAAAAATACCAGAAGAACTTATAAAATATTAAACTGAAACATAATAACTTAAATCGAAGACTACATCACTAGTACTAAAATAAACCTAAGAATACGAAACAAAATAATTCGCGAATAAATTAGAAATAATGGAGCGCTTCACCGGCATTCTTATGCAAGAAAAAATTAGTTAACAAGCGTTAAGGGCGGGCATTTAGCAGTCAGTCGAAACTTAAATCATCCCTGTGTGCACATACAGGAATATCCTCAGCCGCCCAGATGGAAAAGGTCTGTAGGGAAGAGAAGCAAAAAAGAGGCACCATGCGGCAGAAATTCGGCGGTTAATTGATTAATGCGTACATTTTTTTCATTTCTTGATTCTACCACAACACTCAAACACGCACAAACACTCCAGCGACGCGACACACCACACGGCACACCACACAGCCCCATAGCCCGGGAGAAAAGACAGGAAGAGGGAAGAAAGAGGGGAAAGAACACTCACATGAGGGGGCAGCCGGGCCCCCGTGGGGTCTGGACGCGGATTAGCGACAATGACACTCTCCACGCCACTGACACCCCCGCCACCGCCCCCCGAGGAGGACGCACTCCGCACCAGCCGCGATCTTACCCGGTACTGCGTGAAGGGATTCCGGATGCGCTGCAATGCATACAACCCCTTCAAAAACACACAAAACAAAACACACCATCACGCACCGTCAACAACATCCTTCCTTTTACCGATACACAATTAAATTTTAAAAAACTAACTTAAGTAAAAACATTTCAAATCCCCTCTTGAGATATCTGCGTTAAGGGAATAAGAAATTTAAAAAAAACATAACCTAACAATAAGTAAAAAAATTCCAAATCGAGATATGTACGTTAAGGGAAAAATTAATTTATTTTCTATAATTTACCAAACAAAAGTATACCAAAATTAGCACTACAATTTTTACAAATAAGGAAATCAAAACATCGTTTTATTCGTCTGATTTAAATATCGCCGATGGAGCTTGACTACTGTAATCGGCTTATAACAAATTAACAAGATCATATTATTATTATATTACTGATTAAAAAATTCAAAAAATCAGTTTCAAAAATTAAAAAACAAATTCAAAAAATTTATTGCGGAAAAATTAATGATTAAAAAAATTATTATTAATGATGAAAAAATGTACAATAATAAATAATTATGAAAAAACCCTATAATAACAATAAGAATTATAAAAAAACATAATAACTGTACGGCTGATGGGGCAAGAGGATGGCTGAAAAGAGGGACAGGTGGCGCTGCTTACCGAGTAGCCTTTCCACTGGCGGATGTGCGAGGCCAGGAGGTAGTACAGGACGATGAGGATCGCGGGATTGACGAATTTATACCACTGCGTGGAATGGTAGCGCAGATCGCGCGGCTCCCCGCAGTCCACGCGGATCAACGCCAGCAGCCCCACCAACCTGCCCAAATTCCAGATTATTTTCCTGTTTATTAGCTACCATTATTCACCACCACTATCCAATATTTTTTTTACTATTTCATAAATATTTTCTTGTTTACCGACTACTGCTTATTTTTACGGTCGATTTGTAAAATAGTCTGCATTTGTTCTTTTAAATATTTTGCCGTTTACTGGTTATTATTTATTGAGTTGGTACTTGCACAGTTGCTTTTTTAATTCATTTCCATATATGTTTTTTTAAAAGAACAACTCAGCTCGACAGAAACCGGATAAAAAATCATTTCTATAATTACAGTGCGGCGATATATACAAAGTTAGATCAGCCATGATTAGCATGCCATCTCTGCGTTAGCAACCATTGCACTACGATTATCACCACGCAGACCAGCATATTGTAACGCAACACATTAACAAAACAGAGAAACACGTAACTAATCAAAATAATTTCTGGTAATTTGTGATAAAATTCACGTGTAAAAATTTTTCCCACAATTTTTTTATCACTGCAACAGCTGGCAGAAAATGCTGATGGGCAAACAAAAAAAGATGTCCATAGAAAAAACATTGATCTAATATCCCATTTTTTGATCAACCAATTCTTAAAGAAAATTAGAGAGAAAAGGCGATCCAATCAGGTATAACGAGTCATGGCTAAATATCCCTTACACTACGATTGCTCATCCATGTATAAGGCGCCCAGAATCATAGCGGTTGATCAATAACTACGAATTTTCAAACTTGCAAAATTAAACCACTTTTCCCAACTTTCTTTAAACAACTCGGAACAACTCGATTATGCCGGAATTACACCGAAAATATCTGGAAAAAATATTTCAAAAAAGATAAAAAAGTTAAATAATCGAAAAATTATATTAAAAAAATTTCCAAAAAATTATCACAAAAATGCAGCAAATTCTACGACGCCTTACCGCGACGGGAACGAGGCCTTATCCAGTACATGCTGAATTACATCAAAAATATTCGGCAAAAAAACTAAAACATTTAACTGAAAAGATATCAAAAACCAGCGGAAAAAAACACACCAAAAATATTCCGACAATTCGAAAAAATATTAGAAACATTCTCAAAAATGCTCAAAAAACAGCCGACACCATACCGCGACGCGAAAAAGTCCTTATCCGCTTTATTCTTACTTGCGTCGGAAATATTCGGCAAAAAAGTAAAAAATAATTTAAAAAACCAAAAAAACCGGGAAAAAAACTGAAAAAATATTCAAAAAAAAAATCAGAAACATTCCCAAAAATCCTCAAAAATCGCCCAAACCCTTACCGTGATGGGAAAGAGTCCTTATCCAGCACATCCTGAATATAGTCCATCTGGTAGATGAAGAACACGGCGAGATGCGCGGCGCAGAACAGCAGCAGTCCGTATCTGACATATTTCACGAATAATTTCTCCGCATTGCCCAGACACGCCCAGAACGTCCCCATAAACAGGAAACAGAGGAAGTATAAGGAGGAGATGAGGGAGGGCGAGATAATCCCGGCGGCCAGGACGAAGATGAGGATGACCAGCTCCGTGCAGAGCCGCAACAGTCCGGGGCGGGCTTCGCGGTGCGGCCGCAGATTCTCGTCGGCGTTGGACGGAGCGTCGGCATTGGCGCTCTGCACGCGGTAGGCCAGCACGGCCAGCACCACGGCGATGAGGAAGACCACCACGTCCGGGAGGACCAGCCGCACCACGTGGTTGAACCGCGCGCTGTCCAGTCTGTGCGGAAACAATAAATACCATTATCTGCAGAAATTTCTACGATTTGTTTTTCAATTTTCTGTCGATTTTTTTTACGTTTGTCCTGAGCGGCAGACTCAAAATCTCTTACCACATTGAAATCGCTTCGAAAAACAACCCGATTTTTATTCTGTTTACAAACAGTAGAAACGGCTGACCGAAATTACCTTCGGCAATTTATACCGAACACTGCCCAGTCTGCACGAAGAATTATTTTTTAGCAATTTCCAGCTTATTTTTAGCAGTTTTTCAACCTACGTTTTAATAGATAAAATGTAAAATATTTAAATAATAAACCATACACTCTTAGGTATTTAGAAGAGGCCGAAAATATTGACAATTAACAACGCACAAATCCGAGAATGTACTCATATGTAAACCATGTACAGATATAAGAACAAATAACCCACAACCATTCACGTTAATATTTAAAATCAAAAATGTTTTATTTTTATACTAATTATAAATTAACTAAAAAATAACTATTAATTATGAATTAATTAACTTTCAAAAAATTAATTTTTTTTTGTTTTTCAGTAACTTTTGATTGTGATTTGCAAGCGCTCTGCGAACTTTTAGTCGGCTCGACGACGGCTTCATCTGCTCTTGTAGGGAAATGCCTCACTGTGATAACATTTGACAGCCACCGTACTACGATTCCGCACACTTGACTTACCGGTACAGTCCAACCTGCCGCGTGATATTCTCATTCAAAGAACCTGCAACACACAAATTGGCATCAAATTTCAGTAGCACATTTTCTCATTCTTGTAAATAATTTCCTCCTTTCCATTCTGCTGACATCAGCGCAATACAATCCGCGCTGACATGTCGCCCAGCATGTAAAGTATGTATCCGTTTGAAGTGTAGGGTTGCAGAATGAATTATTTATTTTCTAAAGCAGCGCATGCACGTACAGTTGGGGAATTCGTGGCCGTAGGGCTTGCGCACGGCCAACGCGATCTGGAAGCCAATCTGCGCCAGCATAAACAGCCCGGATACGGCCGTCAGCGCCCAGATCAGGGCTCCCGTGTGTCCTGCAAAAACCGGAGGAATTAACGGTGTTTATGTATAGAACAGCTGCTGCGACTAGGATAAATGCTGAAATAATTTATGAGAAAATTCCCATGGGCTAAATTACTTACCAGACGGACTGAAAATGCCACCCACCGCTGTTTCGCAACGAGCGGCCATATGGTTTGTGCTACCAGTAAACAGCTACCAATTTAGACCGTAATTTAAAGCATTATTTTGCTGAAATCCCGGTAAAATTAACATTATAAAAAATAAATTATGTAGCCTAAAAACAGGGGTAAAACACAGAAAATACTGAACAGAACAAACAAAACAAAACCGAGAGCCTGCTAATCTTGTAAAATACGGTGTGCAACCCCGTAAAATTGAAAAATAGTATCGGGAATAAAATACAGTTAAATTGGGAACTCAAACTTCAATAAAATGGGAAGAAACGTCTCAGAGTGATATGCACTGGAAAAGCAACACTGAAAAAACATATTAAAAATAGCTTTTTTCTTCAATACTGCTTTCAGTAATTATCGAAGATGAGAAGTTACAGCAACGTACACTATTCTAAGAAAAATGCAAACCAAGAAAAAAATTTATTACTATTTAAAACAGGTTTGTTTGTTTTTATTTTATTAAGCTCAAACAAATTTAGAATAAATTATCAAATAAATATACAAAAATTCCCACATTTTCTACTCACACATTTTATTGTCGGCATTATTAAATCTAATCTGAAATAATTATAAACGAAATTCCCACACTTTCACTCGCATATTTAATTCTCCGCATTGTTATTTCTGCAACATGTGAAAACATAAAATAATGGATTTCACAAAAAATCTTAATGCTGAACGCAATGGTATAATTTTTTTTAAATTGCGTAGAATTTTCCCCACAAAACGTTTCTGCCTGATTAATTCCGCAGTGAAGCGTGCGCGAATAATGATCATCTCAATACAATAAAACTCGGAAACAAGCCTCGTAAAAGTCAGCGTTTTGTGTCGAAACCCAACCGTGCCTGACTTGTTAACATTCACGACAACACGGCAACATGTCCAACAGGAATTTACAAGATTCAGTAACAAGACAGAGTAAATAACCGTGCTGGTCATGTTGACACAGTGGAGCATTTTGTCAACAGCAGCGCAATGTACGCCGTGTCGTCCTGCGCCGCATAATCAGCACAAAATGCCCGGTAACCTCGTTTCCCCGAAAAACACTGGCGAAATGCACAACACGGGACGGGTGTGTGTTCAACATTTGGAACAGTCATTTTTCACTGATAAATGCTATTGTGCAAATGGAAGACGCTGTGCATTCCGCAGTTTTCCGGCGACAGTTATCGAATTTTGGTAATCAAAATAAACAAGGGAATATCTAATCAGTTCGGCACTCGTCAACGCTGCGACACACAACCCGTCAAGCGGAAAGAAGGGGAAACAATACGCAAAAAACGCCGACAATTTATTTATTACATACAATTTATTTTTAATTTTATTTTTATGCTACCAATTTCTCTGTTAGTTTTTCAAAAATATAATTTTTACATTTTAATTCTACGTTAGTTTTTTTCAATTTTTCAAAAGCATATTGTGCAAAAGAAATACTCCAGCAAATATTAAAATTCACATTTACCTACATGATTTTTTAATATTATTTTCAAATTCATTTCCCGGTATAATTCACAATATTCAGATTTAAACTGAAAAATAAAGGGCAGGTCAAGATTTTGATAAAAAAAACATACGTCTGATCGTGTATGCATTGGGCGAACGTGCCAGCGGCGTCAGGAGGAAAAATAGTCCATAAATCAGACTGAAGAGATTGAAGCGGAAGATGGACGCTGCAAACAGGAAAGCGGTTAATTTAACGGCACCATCGCAAATTCAGAAATTATCATTTTCATGAAATTAATTTTATGTAGTAAAAAAATTAATATAAAAAGTATAATAACAGGAAAATAAAAATTACTGTATCCATAAAAAACTGAAAATACAGAAAGGAAAATAAGAAATAAATAAACGGAAATTACCCTATTAAAATACGAAATTCAACAATAAATCCAACGATTACTAATCAATTATTTAAATACAGTTTGGTGTGTACCGAGAAATTTATTATTATCTGATTTTCATACCTGCCAGCAGCGTGAAGGGCAGGATCAAGCGGAAGGTAAGCCAGTTAAACAGCAAGAGTTTTTCCGTCATTTTCGGATTTTCTCAATTTTCGTTGCTGCAGCACAATTAATAGCCGTCTAGCGCGTCGCGCAGCCGCCGCGGCTCGCGGCCTCCAACCGTCGCTCCAGCATTCCAGCGCCGTCGTTATCGCTCAACCACTGTCACGGGAAGATAAATCTCCATCTATTTCCAGCTAAGCCCATCCGTAACCAATCCACCCACACCGACAACAACGCGACCAACGCTAAAAACCCTGCGATCAACGCGTCGGACTTCCTCGATTCAAAAACCGATGAAAAATCATCAAGGACTCAGATTCACTCAAACACAAGACTGCCCGAACGTTAAGGCATAGATTTATGGAATAATTTCGTGGATAAGAATAACAGGATCGTAAAACACTGATTGAAATTCCAACCCGGAAAAATCCAAAGCACATTAATTAATCGGGTGATCAGATAGAAGCCATGCAGTCAAATCGATATGTATTGCAACGGGATGTCAATCTCCGCACGCAGCGCAGCGGTGGGCTGCCGTGCGTGAATCACACCGCCCACATCCCGCGCCCGCTCGTTCTATTGGCTAGTTGATTTAAAGCGTTAATCGGCATTGGATGCTGCTGGTTTGCATGTCTGTCTACACAGTTTATTCGCAAAATACTGTAAATGCGTTCTGAAAGGTTTGGACTCCGCCTTGAAGCCTTGCCATTGGCTGGTTTAGTTGCATTTCTTAATCGGCATTGGCTGCTGCAGCTTTCCTTGTGCACAGCACGTGCTTTGTGTGCTGTTCACTGAAAAATTCACATAATTGTGATTAATGGTTTTTGTGACGCAGCGTAATGATATCTGTTTATTTTTGGCGCTCTCTTTAAAGCTGCGATTATTCTTTCTGTGAATGTTGAAAAGATTATTCGCAATTTGCATTTTTTCACCGGATGTCGGAACGGGAATACTGTTTTTATAGAAGTATTCAGAAATTCATTTTTCCCAGTTCAAAATACAGCGGCAGCTTTTTGCACCGGAAGTAAAGCAAAATAATGGCACATTTTTGTTTTTAAAAAATCGACAGAGTGTGGTTACAGGAAAAAACAATAACCAGGCCGATCACGAATAAGTACGCAGTAAAACCGACCAAATTTAAAAATAAAACAATTATTTTTGGCTAACAAAATTATTGGTCCGCGTTGAGTTTATTTTGCGAATTCGTTTCCAGCGTTTCGACAATCGTGCGGAACACGCCGGCCACTTTGGACTGCGGGAATTTGTTGACGAAATTCATTCCGCTCTCCAGGGTGCTGGTCAGTTCGGGATCAATGGGAACACAACCTGGAAAAAATAAAAAAAGCAGGGAAATTGAATTCTAATCAGAATTAAATCCAATTTCACGGAAAATAATTTTAAAAAATTTTAATTAAAGCAAGTAATTAATCAGCAGAATTTTAACAGGAGAAATTTATCATTTTTCAAAACTTTGGTAAGCGGTTGCTTGACCGACCAGAAGTCTCATGAGGGCGAAAATGAAAAAATTATCTGCGTAATAAAAACGGAAAATTAACTTAATGTGTTATGTGACGTGCAGTCACGTGCGTATACAGTTGCGTTCGCTGGTAAACAAGTGTTTATGCAATTGTTGTGAACTATCTTCACGTAGTTAATCGTGTCTAAGGACGTCTGTTTTCTATGCTGATTTCTTAGCGTTCGGCTGAAGTTGTGTTTGAGCGACTCAGTATCTGTCATGAGCGTGTACAGTAAAGATCGTTAATGGGATTCAGCAGTATTCTCCGTTGTGTATAATGTAGGAGAAACGTTCATTTATCAAATGAATAAGTGCGGAAAATTAATTTGTTTAATAAAATAAATAAAAAAAATTCTGCAAAAATGCGCGATGAAAAAGCCATACCGAGAAATGGAATGTGATACTGTTCGGACAGTATTCGTCCGCCACCGCTGGAGAAAACATTGGTGCATTCCTAAGAAAATGCAGTCTCAGCAGACCAGGCAAAACACGCGGAAATAACAAGAAACGACCCAACGTTTATACCAGAAAAAAACACAGAAATATTAAAAATACAACATAATTCTTGCGACTGTTTAAAACGTTCACAAAAATGATATTTTAATAAAATAAAACGAACAGCTGCAATTAAATTGCATCTACATAAATATAATTCAGAATTTTTACTCCAAGAATACGTAGGGAAAATACGTCTTAATACGTACTTAAATTTCATAAATGCGTTTCTAAAGGTGACTGACGCGGGTTGACTCACCTCGCAATGCGGACAAACATAGCCGCTCATGTTCTCGATAATCCCGACAATGGGCAGACCGGCTTTCCGGCAAAAGGTAACTTCACGCCGCACATCCGCTATCGATACCGCCTGCAATTATTCCAACCGGCGAACAATTCACTCATGTGCCACATACACTTTGTTAAAGAAAGAAATTACTGTACTTTTATTCATACGATTTTTAAATTACATCAGATAAAAAACCAAAAATTCTAATTTATATTAAATTTTTTATCCGGGAAATCCATATCCTCGAGAGGAGCACCAGCAGAAAAACTGTGAATGGCCTCCACAGTGAAATGAATCATTTTCGAAAAAAATTTAAACACCGCTTTTATAATTACTTCTAGTAATTTCGGTATAAGCAATCACTCGTGCGCAAATCGAGCGAAACTGACCATGAGTGCACACTGCATACTAAAGACGAACGCAATCCAAACTTTTGCCTCTCCACTACGATCAATTCGCTGCAGATATGGGCACGGAAACTGGCCATGTACGGACAGCTTTATCTCCGCAATTTAATTTTATTGCCCTTATATCGAAAGTCTTCAAAATAAAACTAGATAAATTCTAAAATTAATCAGATCCTATTGAACTGGTCAATTAGTTCGCAACGCACCTGCGGCGTCGTGACGAGGACGGCGCCGTCGGGATGATAACCGCGCAGGGCTTCGGCCACGGTGATGTGCTCGTCGGACGTCCCGGGCGGCGTGTCAATCAGCAGATAATCAATGTCGCCCCAGAAGACATCATCCAGCAACTGCTTGATCATGGCTACACCCCATACAACACGCGACATCATCTCAAACCAAACTGAAAACCGACTACTGGAAGCAGAAAAGAGAGTGAATGCCGACAACGTGCAGCGGAACGCATTTTCCAACACTCCTCTCATCGTAGAAAAAAAAACATACCATAGCCGAAAAATTCATTCATAATTAAATGTGTTTTGTCACCAATATAAAGACGGTAAGCAGCGCTAAGTTATTAGAATCGATGACGGCTAACTATGCCCTTGTACTACGATGACTCCTTAATGCTAGCTAGGGCTGCCGTACACTACCGTTCTTCTTCGGTCCGCGCCATACGACGGCATCATCCGGATTGGTCAGCAGGAAGGCGATGGACATCAGGCCGATGCTTTTTGACGCGTCGGTGTAGATTGGCACCCAACTAAAAATTAATACGCAGAAATTTATCGTGATTGCTGCAGAGTACAGACATCCAACGTCACTTCCAGGTGCGTCCCGGTTTTAAATCAAAAAAAACATTCTGCCGTTCTCGAAATGATCCAGAATAAATTTTTCTGAGAAATTTAAACCATTTTCTTCCATTAAAAAATAAGGAGATGAATAAAAACGCAAAACGATTTTAATACAGGAATTATTTCGTTCATGGGTTACAAACAGCGATATGCGTTTTCCCAAGGTTCCTTACTGCTTTTAAATTCGCTAAAATTTCTACAGACTTCGAAACGATCCAGACTATTTTTTTTAAAAAAAGATATTGCTTTCCTGTACTTAAAAAATACGGTCGCTAGTCGAAGTGATGCATTCGCGAGCCAATGCGAATTTTAACAGGATGACGTACCCTTGTGAGCTCTGGTAGATGCGCTCATGGCCGATGCCAAACATACGCGGAATACTCGGTCCGCACAGATCAATGTCCAGTACGCCAACCTAATCAAACACGCACAGAAATTTCTTCAAATGCAAATCGCACCGGAGACCAGAAGAAAGTGTCAGGTAATCAGAAAAATCGAGCAAGCTACAAGCACAAGCAACTGACTTTTTTGCCTTGGCTCTGCAGCGTCAGCGCTAACTGCACCGTGACGCTGCTCTTTCCCACTCCACCTTTGCCGGACAGGATCAGCAGGATGTTCTTTACATTCTTCAGATGACTCTCCGGTTTCACATCCCCAGATCCATCCATAACCAAGAAAATCACTTATTTCCAGCAGAGAACAAAAACGGTATTCAAATTCTAAAGCGAAGCTAAAAGTGAAAACAGAAAACTCGAAATTCAAAGCCTCAAAGCCCAAAGCCCGAAAGGAAATCAAAACTCGAAAAATTGATGAAACATGTTTGAGCTGTCGCTCGATCAACCGCCTTATCGTCCGCTACATGTACAAAGTCCAACCGGAAGTGCGTTTAATCGGTAGCGCGAATAAACGCGCTACCTGTTCTCTTTGCAGTATATGATTAAAATAAACAGGGTAGCCGCTGCTTTCGCGCCAAATAAACTCCATTGTAACAGATGATGTTGTTGGGGATGCTTCACCGTTGGCGTTGGCGTTCAAATTACGAGCGAACTTGTGAATAAACGTTCTTAATGCACAAAAATAATAAAATTATTTGGCGAAACGACTGTAGGCATTAGGCAACTAGTAAACCAACAAGGTAAAATCAACAAGGTTTTATTGTTGATAACAATAAAAAAATCGTGAGGGAAAATGTTTAATCGGTCGCCTGGCCAGCCGCCCTACCGTCCACTACGTAAGCAAACGTCCAACCGGAAATGCTTTTGATCGGTAGCGCAAGCAGTCGTGGTCACTGTTCTTGTTTCGTGCCCAGTGTTATCGAACAGGGTAACAGCAGTTTAAGCACACTTTAAGCGTCTTTTTAACAGCTGATTTGCACCGTTCTCACATCAGAACCGACCCTCGACGGCAAATCAACGCACAAAATTCACAGGCACATGCTTTTCATTCATTCGCCTGTGCTCGTCTGTGTGCCTTTGCCCGTACGCGCCACGACCTTGTACGTATTCCACGTTCGCCGTCCCTTTTTGCTGAGTTTGCGGAAAATTCACCGGTGCGCTTCTCCGTTATGGTTTTGTTGAGCTTGTTGCGTCTGCCATCGAAAAAAACATTCCATCTGTGCCGAATGGCGACCACAGCATCCAACAGCGGTCTGCTCATTTCCCGCCCGGAGTACGCCTGGCTGAAAGAGCTCGGTCTGGCCGAGGAGAACGCGGGAGTTTTCACGGGGAAGTGGCAGGGCAGTGGACCGGTCACGCAGTCGATTAATCCGTATAATAACAAAGCGATTGCCAATGTCAGGAATGGGACGGTGGAGGATTACAACGCCGCTGTGAAGGTACAGATAAATTCGCAACAAAATCTGAAAATTGTCAGACGATATTATTTTGAATTTCCTTTGGGTTTTCTATCCTCCCAGCTTTCAATCCAGTAATTAAAACGGATTTAAAATTCTTTAAAGTATAATATAAAAAATGAGCGATTTTATTTATACTGAATTAAAATGTTAAATTCTGCGATTTTTATTAGTTTTATCATTAGATTTTTTTTCAAATTTTTCATCGTTAGCGAAATTAATTGCATTTTTTTCTAAATAATGTGTTGAAGGTGTTCTCCGAATTTACTGGAAAAACGTTGTAAACTGTAACAGTATTTATCCTGGTATTGTTTTATTGCGAATAACATTTTATTGGTTTTGTACGAGCAAATTTTTATTGTTTAATGCCGAATTTAATTGTGATTTTTTCTAATTGATAAATGATATTCACAGATTTGTGTTTAGTTTTTACGTAGTAGACTAAAGTAAGTACATTAAAAAAATTGCGGTATAAACAATTAGAAATTATAATGCTGTGTTACTGCTATATTTCTCCAGTTTTATTTCCGAGGTCATACTGCTTTTAGAAATTACTGAATTAATTTTGGTTGATTAGAACATTAATTTCCGTTTTAATCTGTACAAGTAAAATGAGAATTTCATTCATTGTAATCGATACAGTTCGTTATTTTTCTAATTTATTCTGTGACTACTGATTGTTTACTTGACAAAAAATTTTATGAGGTAAAAAAAGATTGTTAAAATTTTTAGTGATAATTTTATGAAGATTATAATTTTTTCGGCATTAATTAGGCGAGCGTGGAAGCGTTCGAGACGTGGAAGTTCCTGCCCGGTCCGAAACGCGGCGAGATCGTCCGGCAGATCGGCGATGAAATGCGGACGAAGCGGGATCTATTAGGCCGACTGATTTCGCTGGAGATGGGCAAGATTATCGCGGAGGGCGTCGGCGAAGTGCAGGAGTACATCGACATTTGCGACTACGCCACCGGGTTGTCGCGCATGTTCGAGGGCAAGATCCTGCCGTCGGAACGCGCCGGTCACGTGCTGCTGGAGACCTGGAACCCCCTCGGCTGCATCGGCATCATCTCGGCCTTCAACTTCCCCATGGCCGTCTACGGCTGGAACAACGCCATCGCCATGATCTGCGGTACAGTTTAAATTTTTTTAAAGACAATCTATCATTTTCTACCCCCTTTTACTTATTGTGCTGTATTTTTCTTAGAATTAAGTAGCCTAATAAACTGACAGTTACTACGCCTTTAGCGGTGTTTCGTAGTACGGTGGCTTACCACTGCCTTCTGGGTACTCGATCGGTGTTGTACTGTACATGCTAAGGGCATTAACGACATTCGTGGACATGGAATAATTTTCTAAATTCCGTTTTAAACTTTTCCTGGATGCCTGATTTTTTTTACTCTAGCTGAAATAAATGACCCCTGCTTTGCTAATTTTTTTCGCGTATTTATCTGTACTCCTACAGGGTATCCTCGTACAGTGTTGTTTTTCTTATATTTCGTGACTTTCAAGTTTTAACGGTTAGCGTAGGACTTACCAGAATTATGTTTGATTCTATTGTTATTTCTGGTGTGTTTAAAAATGTTTAATTGTCGACGGAATTCAGCAGTTTGTGCGACGGGGCACGTGTACGATTAATTACAGCAAGCGCTGCCGTTGGCGCAGGGTATGAAGTTGGCTTTTTAGGTTTTTTTAATCTTTGGTATTACTCTGGCCGCGTGTGTGCATAATTATTCCGAGGGTTAATTATAGTAATTATGAGAATTATTATAACAGTTATACAGGAGTGGAAGATTAATTTTTTTATCTTTAATCTTGCCGGTGTTTCTCAGTTTTCTTTGTGTGAGGATAGGCTAATTGTAGTGCAATGGCCTTTGCGAAATGGAGAGTGCGGGCTACGAGACCATGTCGAACAATGAACAGAAATCTTTTACTGAGTTATATTCCAATCTCATCTTTTATATTTGTTTTTGAATTGAATAATTACAGTAAATAAACTTTCATAAAAAATCAGTTGTGTATGTTAGTTTGTTATGCAGTGGGAACTTAACTTCAGAATTTATTTAAAAATAATTAGGAGGTATATGTCAAAAATAATACTGTAATAGGAAATTTCAAATTAATCGTAACTCGTAAGTAAACTAAGGTGAATTAATTGTTAAGTAATGAATAAGCACATGTGTTATGGTTCATGAACAATATTTACAATTTCATGTTTTTGATAATTTGGGTTTTCCTTGTAAAAAATACCCGGTGAAAAACAATCGTCTTGAAAATATTCCTATTATTTTTAAGATATTCCTCTTAATTATTTTTAAATAAATTCAGTAAGTTTTTTTTAAATTTCAAATGACCTGTAAATAAACTAAGGATAAATTAATTTATAATAAATAATCGCATGTGTTATGAATATTATTTAAAATTTCATTTTGTTTATTATTGTACAAAATACCCGGATTTTTTATTTGCAGGCGACACAATGGTATGGAAACCGGCGCCGAGCACCTCGTTATGCGCCATCGCCGTGCAGCACGTCCTCAACACCGTCCTGCAACGCAACCACCTCCCGCCGGGACTGTGCAGTCTGGTGTGTGGCGGCGCGGACGTCGGGGAGGCCCTGGCGACGGACACCCGCCTCCCGCTGGTATCCTTCACCGGCAGCACGCAGATCGGGCTGAAAGTGGCCAACAGCGTGCAGGCCCGCTTCGGCCGGCCGCTGCTGGAGCTGGGCGGGAATAACGCCGTGGTGGTGGCCGAGGACGCCGATCTGAACATGGTCATCCCCTCCGTCGTCTTCGGCTCCGTGGGCACCGCCGGGCAGCGCTGCACGACGATCCGGAGACTGATTGTGCAGGAAAAAGTGTATGAGGAGGTGGTGAAACGGCTGCAAGCGGCCTACGCGCAGATCCCCAGCCGCATGGGTAAGTTGTATTAAAAAAATATGAAAAAATGCATTTTTAATTCGTCTTTTTAATTTTAATCATTTTTTACTTGCAGTTGATTTTTAAATGTGTTTTTTTTATTTGTTTCTGTGTATCATGGCATATTAAGTGATCTTGTGCACTGCTGCATGTGCTGATCTAACGTAGTGCGATGGCATTTAGATAGATCAATAGGTGAACCTTATAGATGAACCTTGTCACGAAAAATTTAGAAACACCCAGATTCCATGTAATTTTTTTATCAGTGTTCTTTTTGTATTTGATTGAAGCTTTTTATGGACAAAAGATGAATCACAATGCGATCCAGGAAGCCTAATTTGTTTAATTTGCTTGCATACGAGTAGTCGAGTACATCGGAGCCATGAAATCGCGCTGTCGTTTGGATTATTTTTTATTGGCTTTCTAACAATTCAGTTACCAATAAATTACTAGTACTTACTTATTGTTAATGATGTTAATTGTTAAAATTCCAGTTAAGACTTTAAAGCGAAATTCTGAAAAAGGTAAAGTAAAATGAATCCCTCAGTTAATAAAATACTAGATCGTCTTCTGCTAAGCTTTACCAATTACGCAATGAAGTTAACAACAGAAATAAAAATTAAATTGAATACTGAATTAAAAATGCAGTAAATGCTGGAATATTTTTATTCATCGCTGATTATTATTGATTAATTTAATTATTAATCCAGGTGATCCGCTGGACCCGAAAACCCTGTACGGCCCGATGCACACAGCGGCCGGCATGGCCGCTTACCAGCAGACCATCGCCGACGCCCAGTCCGCCGGCGGCCGCGTCCTCGTGGGCGGGAAACCCATCCAGCACCCTTCGGGCGGCAACTTCGTCGAACCCACCATCATCACCGACCTCCCGCACAACTCCCCGGTCATCCTGAAAGAGACCTTTGCCCCGATTTTATACGTCCTGAAATACCGGACGTTGGAGGAGGCCATCGCCTGGAACAACGAGGTGGACCAGGGACTCTCCTCCAGCATTTTCACGCAGAACATCGGGACGATGCACGCGTGGCTGGGCGCCGGCGGATCGGACTGCGGGATCGTTAATGTGAATACGTCGACGTCGGGTGCGGAAATCGGCGGCGCTTTCGGGGGGAATAAGCACACCGGCGGCGGACGGGAGAGCGGAAGTGATTCGTGGAAGCAGTATATGCGCCGCGGGACGTGTACGATTAATTACAGCAAGGAACTGCCGCTCGCGCAGGGGTTGAAGTTTGATTTTTAAAGGGTTTCAACTTTCTTCTTGCCGGCTGTTTGCTCAGTTTTATTGTGTTGTTTGTGTGTTAATCGTAGTGTAGTGGCAAAACCGGGAATTTAAAACTGGCTTTATTCGGCTGCTGACTCCGAAAACGATGCAGTGACGTGGAAAATTAATAAAAAAATCCAGGTTATTTTTTAACAATCAGTTCTGTAAAACCACATTGACAAAATTTTTTTTTCAAATTAGTTATCGACAACAATTAATCAGTATATGTGACGTGGGACGTGTACGATTATTTACAGCAAGGAGCTGCCGCTCGCGCAGGGGCTGAAGTTTGGTTTTTTAGAGTTTTATCCGTGCCGGCTGTTTCCTCATTATGGTGTGTTACTAGTAGGTAACAGTTGTAGCATACTGGCTAAAACTTGTAGCATACTGGCTAAAACATGAAAAATCAGATGGTTTTATTCGCCTGCTGACTTCGAAAGGATGCTCGGACGTGGAAAATTAATAAAAAATAATCCCCAGTTAAGTTTCGACAGTTAATTCTGTTAAAGCACTTTGACAAATATTTTTTATAGGAATTAATTATCGACGAAAATCAAGCAGTACATGAGCCGCGCGAGGTGTACGATTAATTATAGTAAAGACTTGCCGTGTGCGCAGGGGCTCAAGTCTGACTTTTAGAGTTCTATTCGTGCCGGCGGTTGTTTCGGTTTTGTGTGTTTTTACGTGTGTTCATTATAGTGTAGTGGCTAGAAACGATATCAAAAACAGGTGGTTTTATTCGGCTGCTGACTTCAGATACATCGCAGTAAAGTGGAATTTACTGAAATAATCGAATTAATTTTTGAACATTTAATTTTAGCACAAGAATAAAGGCAAACATGTTTTTACAAATAATTGTTTGATGTTTTTATTTATTCTTTAGTGGGCTATTGTAGTGCAGCGGTGCCAGCGGCTAAAGATGAAACGAGATTGTTAAATTAAAATCAAAAAATGTGGTTTGGCTGCTGATTTGGGGATCGTTGCAATGGCGTGGAAAATTATTAAAAATAATCCAATATATTTTTAACAATTAATTCTGGAAAACAACACTGACAAATATACCTTTTTCAAAAATTAATTATCGACAAAAATTAGGCAGTCCGTCCGACATGGGCTGGCGCAGGATCTGAAGTTCGTTGTTTAAGTTTCCTTCTTATATAATTACCGTTTGATTTTCAGAGTTTTATTCTCACCGGCTGTTTGCTCAGCATTTTTGTGTGCATGTATCAGTCGTAGTGCAGTGGCTAGAAAAACCTCGTTCAAAACTGCTGCCGACTTAAAGATACAACGCTGTGTTGAAAAACTTCATAAAACCAACCGCATTTCCTTTTTTAAAAATGTATACACTGTGTAATTTACGAATTTATGTACTGTACTTTGTAGTTAGCGAATAATTAAAAAAATCAATTAACAAAATCAAAATCAATTAACAAAGTCAATTTATAAAATCAATACAAAATAAACAAATTAATTCGCAAAGATCTTATTATAAGTTATATTGCGAGCAGGTTTTCACGAATGGATAAATAGTTTCATAAAAGATCAATGCAAATTACCTTATAGATTAATTGTCGACAGAATATAATAAAAAAGGTTTAAAAAAATGTTAAATAATGTGTTAAAAAATGTTAAAAATGTTTAATAAAAGATCACTCAAAAAATAAATTTATACAGATGTTTTTATTTCTTCCCGCTGGCTAGCTCCTTTTGACTGCAAAAGTGTGATAGTTGTAGTGCAGGTGGAGATTTATTGTAAAGGTCATCGGCTGCTTTATTACGTGTAATTGGTGTTTATAGGCAGCTGATGCGTCCGAAAACTGGCCACTGCATCAGCATTTCCAACGAACTTTTTAAAAAGCCATAGATCGAGGTTCCCCGGTGACGTCACGGATCTTCTGCCAAGGAAACGAATCAGTTCAGCGAAAGGCGCTTCAAAGGTCCCAAATGTCTCGACTGCCAGAGAATAAAAAGATAGCCCAAACCTTCGACGAAAGCGTACTTCCGGCTTTTGCTTTCTTCAGCTATAACGGTGGAGCGCTTCCCGCTTTCTTCGAGCTTCTGCACATATGACATGGCCACAGTAGATCTCAGCATTTCGCAACCCACAAAACCGCTTTTCCATCGCGTACAGGATCAAAGGTCATGCCGTGTGGCCGCTTGTTATCGGGTGCACCGTGCAGACAATCCCGACGGTTGGCTTTGACAGGAATAGCCCGCAATCTCTAAACCGCGCTGGGTCTCGTTAAGTGATCAACTAAGCGTGTAGCAACCATCTGCCTTTACTGCCTGAACAGGACAAACCCGTGGTGGCCGTTAATTTCCCACTCAATAAACAAAAACACAAAATCAAGACAACAGAAGATTTAAACATTTATAATTTTATATGCTTTAAAAATGGACGTCGATGTGGCCATCTTGAACAGAACACGGTTCAAATGCTCTGCAATTCTTCCAAAAAATCGACTATGGTTAAGAAATAAGCTCAGGTTGTTAATCAGGGTGCGTAACAGAACTATCGGATTGTATTGCTGAGGGTGCAGTATGGATAATACTGTTGATGATCCCGAGGAGTTCCTGCGGGAGTGCGGGCTGCGGCGGGAAAAATCCCGCATCTACTCGTGTCGCGCGGGCGACCGCCCAGCGGCTGCATGCAGAACCGTGCAGCCAGAGCGCGTGTTAATTTGGGCGAAAGCGGTAGCCACCCTTGGGCGCTCGTTAAACTCGAAATGTCTATGACGAAACAGCTACAACCGCAAACACGGCAAAACGTGAAAACGAAAACGAAGAAAAACCCAAGTTTTTTGTTAATGTTGCCTGTCGATTACCTTCTACGATTCCTTGAAAAGATTATTTTTTTTGGTAATGTAGGCTTCTTTTTCCTGTTGTTTTCATGTTGCTCGAGCATGGTACTTGACAGTCCGTAAATCCTCGATTTTCTGAATATTTTTGATGGATCGCGTGCGGTGGCCGTTTCCCGATAACCCGGGGAAATTGTGGCATGCGGGAAGCGGTCTGACGATCGCGGCGGTCGCCTCCATCAGCAAGCTCGTCCTCGGTACTCGTCTTTAATCGGCCAACTGCGCCATGCTTCTCGGAAATTAATTCCTACGGTTTTTGGTGTGTTTAGCGTTGAACGGTCTGCAGATACATGGCCGCGATCGTCTGAAGCAGGTGCTGGATAATCGCGATCCCAAACGCGGCCTCATCACCGTCGCCAATCATTACTGCTGCGCCGATGATCCCGTAATCTGGGGTAAGGCGAGTTTTAAATTTCTGATTATTTTTTAGTACTAAATTGGTGCAGTTTTCGTGCGTTAGTGAGAGAAGATGGAAAGTTCTGCCATTTTTTCTTGATTTCGCAAAATGCGTGTTTGAGGCGGGCGTGATAGGGCGACTTCCCTGTTCAAAGACGCCGTGTGCGATGTGCTGGAACAGAATGTTAGCATAATGCGCAGTTTTCTTGGAATTTGAATTAAATTGTGCATTATTAATTTCGGAGTTCTCAATTTGGGCAGTATTTTTCATTTAAACAAAAAAATAATAAACAAATAAATAGAGTCAAAAATAATTTGTGACTTCAAAACCAGTAAATCTTTAATTCCGAAAGTTTTTTCATTTCCTCTTTGAAAGTAAAATATTTCTGAAATAAAAGAGAGGCTTTCCAAAAGTAAAAAAAGTGTAACGGAAAAATTAAAATTTTTTCTCAAGAAAGTCCCAAGAAAACCTGATAAATTTCCGAATTAAGTATAAATAAGAAATAAAAGTTTTGAAATAAGGAATATATTTTTTCTCCTGTAGGTTTGTCATTTAAAATAGCCTTTATTTGTGTAGTGTCGTACAATAAATTTTAAATACGAAAATTTCTTGGCTTTGGAAATAAGAAGTTTGTGCAATAAATGAAAAATTCAGGAAGAAAATTAATGAAAATTGTTTTAAATTTTCCAAAATAAATTCGATATCTCTGAAAAAAGCCTAATAAAATTCTGAAATAAATGATGTAAAAATAAAATAAAAATTCCAGAATAGGACCTGCATGTTTGGCTCTTGTAGGCATTCTCCCGTGGCGGCATTTGCGACCGAGGAGGACGCGCTGGTCGATGGGCGCCGCGGAGATCTGCTTCGCCACGGACGCCACGGCCACCTTCTTCGGACTGGGCAAAGTCGTTCCGACGGTGCGCGGCGCCGGCGTCTACCAGCGCGGCATGGACTTCATGCTGGAGCGACTCAATTTGGGCGAGTGGGTGCACGTCTTCCCGGAGGCCCGCGTCAACCAGGAGCACCAGTGGCTCAGGATGAAATGGGGTACGGAAATTCATTGGCGGATTTATCATTTATTTCGTTATATTCTTAGTGATAATTTTTTGTTTATTTATTGGCTGATTTATCATTCATGTATTTATTTTCTTAGTAATATTTCTTATTTTGTGTTTATTGGCTGATCAGTTAATTCATTAATTAATTATTTTCTTTGTAATATTTTTTATTTATTTATTGGCGGATTCATCGTTCATTTATTTATTTTCCTAGTATTTTTAATTTTATTTATTAGCTGATTTATCATTCATCTGTTGATTTTCTCGGTAATATTTTTTTTATTTATTTATTGTTGATTTATTGTTTATTTGCTTATTTATTTTCTTTGCAGTATTTTTGTATTTATTTTTTCGCTGATATATCATTTATTTGCTTATTTTCTTAGTGATATTTGTTTATTGGCTGATTTATCATTTTTTGAATTATTTGTTTTCTTAGGAGTATCTTCTTCTTTTTATTATTTGTTGTGTAATTTTAAAAATATCCGATGGTTGTTTTGTATCAGTTTTGTTTTTATATTTTAATTACATTTGAATTGATTAAACATTGTTGTATTTGTTTGGAAAAAAGCCTTAAAAGAAGAGCATTTCCCGGTTAATTTCATTATTTTGGTTTGGAAAATATGCGACTAAATTAGATTTTGAAAATACTTTAACAAAATTTGTAAATAATTAACGCAGCAAGTGGTATTAATACAGCTGAAAAATAAAGCTGTTTTAAAATGTTAATCCCATTTCATTATTAGGATTTTTCTCTGACTCTGAAATTCCGAGTTTTATTTTAATATTTTTTTTATGGAGCAGTAATGATTTTCATATGTTTTTATTTACTTAGTCCTCGTGTTGATTGAAAGGAATTAGAATTGTTTTTCGGGGTTTTTTAAACAGAAACTAATTTATCATTACTCAGAAATTAGGCTCATTGAGTGCGTTCGTAGTACAGTGGCATTAGAGGATTGGATCTGACGTTGAAATAAAATTGTGCAAAGTTTAAGTGGCAAAAATTTTCGTAAGACTGTTATGACTTATGATAATACGCAGTATTTCAATTTTTCCTGGTCGATTGTCACGATCAACAAAAACAGAAATAAATAATAAAAGAAGAGAAAAATGAAATGAATAAATCGGAGGATTTAATTGTATCAACCATTAATGTTAAGAGAAAAATTGGGGCGAAAATCGGTGGCATTGCTGAGTGTTGTGTGCAGGTGTGGGACGGTTGATTGCCGAATGCGATCCGACGCCCATCGTGCTGCCCTTCTTCCACCAGGGCCTCGACACCGTCCAGCCCAACCGGCCTCCCTATGCACCGCGCTTCGGCAAGGTAAATTGCATTTAATGAGAGAAATCAATGTCTGCAAAATAACTGCATGGCAATTAATCAATTATAAATGTAAATAAAAAAATGGAATAAAATAAGCAAGAAATTAAAGCGTAATTATTGAAAAACAAATTGATACTAATCAAAAAATAAATTAATTATTATTGTTAGTTGAGATATTAATCCCTTTTGTTTGTTTACAATAGATTTGTTTGCGTTGATTCCTTTTTGACATTTAATTAAAGAAAAATAATATCTGTAAAATAATAAGATGACAACTAATAAATCATAAAGATAGGGCCTGAATGATAATAAATAAATACGAAAATATAAAACCATAATTATAAGGACAATTTAATTAGTATGTATTAATCAGCAAAACAAGGAACATTTAATTGATATTTATAAGGAAAAATTTATTATTAAGTAGAATTAATTAATATTTCAAAAAAAATCGTTTTTTAAAATTTAGAAAATTGTTTTATTAATTAGCAAAGAATTTAATAATTGTTATTAGTTGAAATTATTGTGCGTGAATCCACTTTGAATTTTTGTGGCAATTAATTTATGGTATTTTGGTACGAAGTTACTGAGCATTTTTTCTCCTATGCAAAAATCCAGTACTGTAATTAGTGTAATATGCGTTCTGCACAGCCGTGGATGTGTCTTCGGACCGAATACAATATTTTCTGTATTAAATTTATTTTGCAGAAAGTGACGGTGCTCATTGGAAATGTGATAGATTACGCCGAGAAGGTGGCCCAGATGCGCGCTGATGATCTCTCGCCGGTAAGTGCCAATTATTTTACTCGTAATTGACCAAAGATCTTCTGTGATTGCGTTTTTGTTTATTTATTATTTTGTGTATTTATTGGTATTTTTCAGTTAATTTTCCTTAGTTATTTGCAAACAATACGCACGATATGTTTTTAAACAAAATAATTGCCGATTGTTTTTAATTATTTACGGTTTTATACTTTTATTTGTTTAATATTGATTTAAAGCTAATTTCAGCGGTTATTTAGGGATAACGTTTTTTCCAGGATGTTTCTTGACGTTTAAAAATTGAAATGATGGTTTTCTTTTATTTATTTATATTTACGTGTTCAGTGGCTTATTTAGTTCTGCCATTTATTTAGTCACTTATTTGGTTAAGTTAATTATTTACCGTTATTTATTTTCGTTATGTACAAGCCTGGTGACTTTTTTCTTGCGTAAAGGTACGGCGAGAAATACAGATCCATCGATTAGATTGAAAAATAGATGTCGTAAAAGCATATTTATCGTGAAATCGAAGAATTTATCAATCGGACTGATGTATCTTAATACTTGGTTGTGAAATGAAATTATTCTTTTATTGCGATAATCGTAGTGTAGTGGCTGCTTGCAAAACTGCATCATCACTCTCAGCATGTGTACTTTTACCCAAGAAATTGAATGTCCGGTATTTATTTCAGTATTTATTTGTTTATTTATTTAATTAATAATTTTTTTATTCCGTTTATTTTTTGTCGTTGAAATAGCGGGATCAACGGCACGAGATCACCGAGGATATTCAGCGCGTCATGAAATCCCTCCGCTACGAAGCCGAGACCATCCACGCGTACCGATGATCCCAATTTACAAAGAAATTTGTCAAATTATTGCTCCCCTTCCTGTCGGACGTCCGCGGCACGTTCGACCCTTGTGGCAGCATTTTTTGGGATTTTTTCTGTAATGTCCGGGTGGTAAAAGTATTTTTGTGCGAAATTTAACGGTGTGTGTTTGGGCCAGTTTGGGGTGTGGGTGTGTGACGGTGGACGGAAGAAAATGCCGGATTTAATTCGCGGTGATTTGATGCTGGTGCCGATTTTCGAATGCCTTTTTGTAGATGCTGGATTTTACTTGTTGCGTGTAATTCACCGGGAATTTTGGGGGAAAATGTTAGTTTTTAGTTGGAGTATGTGAAATAAATTTCCCGGAGCGCGGAGAAAATCTATTTTTAGCGGTCTTATGTGGATGAATTTACCGGAAAATCGGAGAAAATATGTTTAGTGGGGAGTATGCTAAATAAAAATTCTCGCATGGAGAATACAATAAATTGATCCTAAAATCAAATTTGAAAACAATTCAGGTACGCGTACGTTCAATTTTTTCCCGTTTAATTTTCAAAACAAATGATTATGTAGCAAATTTTTTATTAAAAATTCTGATCTGCTCTCCTTGTACAAGTTTGGCGCAGATCGAATATTTAATCCATAAACGCTGCTGTTAATATTAACAATTTGAAGCCAATTCGGCACGGAGCCGCTGCACTACAACTTTACTACTGATTGCTAAACATAACGGTACTAGTAGCAGTGTTGCGCGCTTTAATAATTATACAATATTTTTACCGTAATGTACGAAAAACATTCAAGATGTAATTAAAGCGAAAATATTTCCCATGAACATTATCCAAAAAGGATCAACAAATTACCGGAAGTAGTAACCACTATCCCGAAAAAAATTCCCGGCGTGGAGATTGAACCGGAAACGAGATGGAACCGGATGCGCCGCGTTTAAATGGTGATAATTGACGCTCCCGACGCCCGGCTCTCGGGATAGCTCCCGCGTCCCGTCGACCCCCTCCCGGACTCCCGGGAACCCTCCCACGCACTGGAACTGCGCTCCCATCCCCCGTCAATCTCCACCGCGGAACTGCCGACACTGGCGGATGACGCCGGCCGGTAAAAGCCATCCTCCCGGGACGCGGCCGTCCCCTCCTCCCCGATACGGATGACCGCCGGGCCGTAGTGGATATTGTGGGTCGTGTAGAATTTATCGTCCACATACACCTCGATCGTCTCGCCCAGCGACATCTCCGGGCGCTGCGCCGACCGCCCACGCGTTACCGACGGAAGCGGACGCACTTCCGGTGGTTTCGGGACTTCCGGTGGGACTTCCAGCGGGGCGGACGCCGGTTTGGGGAGGCTGGGCCGGAAATTGGGCGGGGTGTAGGTGAAGGGGCGGGGCGCGTGTGACGGGGTCACCGGCACCCGGGGGCGGTCGGTATAGAAAGATTTCTGGTGGTTCCATGCCGGTCCGGAGAAAACATCTTCGCGAGCGGCCGTCGGCTCCTCGTCGTGATCGGAAAAAGTGATGGTGCTCTCGTGTTGCAGCGGAAACGCCGCGGCATTCATGTGCGCACGCAACGGCATGGTGGTGGAAAAATTCCAGAAATGTACGCGCTCAAGAAAAACATGCGACTGAATGAAATTCTTGAGCGCGCGTTTGTGTGTTGGATTTATTTTGCTGACGGTGTGTTTTCCGCTGAGTCATTTTCATTACATCATCCGGCGTTTTTTATATATGCAGATATATGCCGACAGGTAGGCGGCATTCCGCATAGAGTTTGTGGAGCATAAGCGATTATAAATAAATCTTTAGCCGACGTGGAGAGTATTCTGTTTGGATAGTGTGTGCTGAACGCGCGGCCGGCAGTGTGTGTCGACCGTTGCGTGTGAGTTTGCACAGCGACAAGTGTGTACTTATACCGGAGAATGCCGCCACTTGATCCTTAATAACTTATGCATCAAGTACAAACACGCGTTAGCAGGAATTAATAACCAATTCATTCCTGTCTTCGAAGCGGTTATTTTCTTTCGATTTTCTCCGATGCATTCTTTAGAAAGTCCACCGGCAAAATCTTACAAATTATTTATTTGGCATTCTTCAATAACAAAGTATGCATTTATATATACTTTAGAGGGTACTATATTTTATTTAATTTTTATAATATATAATCACTTTGATTTACGCACATTTTGAATATAAATATATGTAATTTTTAATATTTTAGTTTATATATATGTTTTTGGATTTTTTAAATGCTTTTCAAGAGAATTATTTCTTTTTGCGATTATTAGCTGGTTTCTTTAGGATATTACCTATTTTTTCATTTCCATTTTTTCCATTTATATATTGTAAAAAATTATAGGAAAATGAAAAAGGGTGTCATTTGATAAGTATTACAGTACCAGCTGCCTGAACGTTGTACGAGTGTAATTTGGAAAATTCAACACTATACCGTATAAGATCTTAATGCCATTGTGCTACGCTCGCCTTCACATAAACTGTGATTCGATTTCTACGCTACCAATTGCTTCCCTTGTGTGGCTTACTTAAGCATGAACAAATATGGAATTTTTAATCGTCTTCATAGCATTAAATCATAAAACTGGCGATCAGCATGTTCATATCAATCATATGTAGACAATGCCAGCTCTGGGCTCGAACAGAGAAGTGTTCGTTTGCGCAAATATACAGACAGATTCAGTAGCACGAAGCATTAAATTTTTCAGCCCACTGTTGTCCGATACAATTTTATATACCGGTAAGTACATAACCCGTGTAATACGCAGTCTGACAAAAAAATATGATTTTAGTTAATTACTCACTTAATACAAAGATTCATGCATACAATTTTGTACCATATTATATGAATTAAAAAATTTATCACCGTTTAGACATAAATTAGATTTTTTTTAAATAAATAGAAGAAAGAAGAATATATGTTACGTAATTAAGAGTCATATGTATTACTATACAAAGCGTACAAATAAATGGTATATGAATTAATAAATTATGACCGCATAAATTATATTCTTAAAATCTCTGTATAACAATGATATTTTTATATAAGTTGTTTATGCTGCCGGTAAGACAAAGGTCAAATCTTCAATACTGTCTGCATATAATATAATCTCCAGCGCCAGAAATACCAATGAACCGTGTGTTGATGTGGCGATTTTATGAAAATTTGATGTGATTAGCGGGGTGGCATGACGGCCGTGTGTCGGTGTAATGCCGGCTTGTTACTTCCGCTCCCGCTGCGCTGTGTGCTACAGTGACGCGCAGCCGGTGGACGGAAATAGCGAAACAGCCTTTAGAGTTTTGACTAATTCACGGCGCGGCGCTCTTAGGTGCTCTTCCATGCCGGTCCAGTGCGTGCCGATTTCCCTTACATAATTCATCAGGAGCAGCGCGGATTTTCATGCCGGTTAGCACGGCGCATTTGTTGCCGGGACATGCTTTTGTCGGCATCACGTCAGGAAGCTGTTAAAGGATCCCACGTGCTGACATTTTCCGCTCCGGTTAAAGGCAAACCTGCAATAACAAGATCTTCTCTTTTATTCATGTCCATATTTGGATGATATGCTTTATATTCAGTTTTCCGGTAAAAATAACATACTTTCTATCAACATACTTTCTATTAAAAATACGAAAGATTCAAAGATATTATCAAACATAAAAATAAAAAAAATTTAAAGTAAGAAATTTTAGATGAATTAAAAGTAAATAATTTTAAGAAGTAAAAGTAAGTAATTGTAGGTAGATTATATTAACATTAAAATTTAGTGATTACTGATTAGTAAAACATGTACAGCGCTAGCAGTGAGTTATCTGAATATAATTATATAAATCAGTTAGAAGGTATCGAAGGTATCAGCTAGAAATTACATTATATTTAGGTAACCGCACCTACATAACTATATAATTTATTTTTCTGTAAATAATTCCGCAGCCAAATGTCTAACAAAAAAGAAAATTCCAGTTCAGGTGCTCGTACACATTTTGCGTTACTTCGTTTTATGTAAGCCAATGGATTATTTCCAGTGTTTATAACGACCGTTAGCCGTTGCACTACAAAGTCTTATGGTTGGATTCAGGTTAACTGCGTTAACCTGGATGCTTTAACTTACTAAAATTTTGATGATTTTTTTAATAATTACTACCTGAATTAACGATCAGAATTATTACCTGGATTTTTGCAGAATACTTTTGTTGCCAGCACTGATTTTCAGGCAGACAATTTTTATTTGTAGATTTTTTTGGTAATATCATTATTGATCGTTATTTGGATTTGACTTATATTTTGTAAAATAAGAAAAGAGTAGTAATTTTTAACTTTGGAACCAACAAAGCAGTTCAGCCTACAAGAAATTGAAGAAAACATAAGAAAACACGAGAGAATATGAGAAAACATCAGAAAACATAAGAAAACATGAGAGAATATGAGAAAACATGAAAGAATATGAGAAAACATAAGAAAACCTAAGAAAACCTAATAAAACATAAGAAAACATAAGAAAACATAAGAAAACATAAGAAAACATAAGAAAACCTAAGAAAACATGAGAAAACATAAGAAAACATAGAAACAGTAAAAACCTTTACCGGCACCGCGTAGTAGCATATGTCAGATCGATGGAAATACATCTTAGCGTTTCTTCCCTGTTTACAGTCGAACGGAAGCCGAAAACACAGGGCGGAAACTGACAGCCGGGAGATAATTGCTCTTAACAGCCGCAACAGGATACCAGCATTTCCACTCCCGCTCTAAGACAGAGCGCGGGAGGCGGTGCCGTGTGTAAAGTGAAACCACCGGCCAATTAGCACGGCCATTTGGGCGCTCCTTAATCCCCGGCTGCGGTGATACCGGTGTCCGTATGCTGTGCAATTGAATATATATACGGACGCTGATCAACAGCGCCCGGCATCCCGCTGTTCTAATCAGCAGTGTGCCGGGCTTGAGACCGGCGTATACAGTGGTCTTAAGTAATCCGTCATTAAAAATCGATCGCCGCCGGCTGCAATGCGCCAACCGTTCTGCTGATCCCCGACCCGGGAAAACACAGACTGTGCACTTCCGCCACTTAGTGCAAGCACACTCGTTACATGCCATCCGCTCTATAATCTGCCGTGTGTTTGTCTTTAAATCATAATAATAATAACAGTAATAAGACTAATTATTAAGCGGTTTGTTGTACTTCTTATATCAACGGAATTTGCGTGCACCACTTCGAAAGATCGCGGCAATCTCTCTATTTCCGCTGTTGTAATTGCAACGAGCCAAGCGAATAAGCCCGGTATAATATTTACCAGTTTGTTGTACTTCCGATATCAACAGAACCGGCGTCCATTACTGGGAGCAATCTCGTCGTCTAACTGGCTATTTCGCTGACATAATTTACGGCGAGCCAAGCAATTATCTTCGCGTAATACCTATTCAGTTTGTTGTACTTGCAGTATCAACGGACTTTGCGTCCCCCTTTTTCGGAACCACCGTGTAAAACGGACAACTGCAGTACAATAATTCTGCTATATGCGGAATTTGCGTATACCACTTCGAATCATCGCGTCCTTAATTTTTTCCCTGGCATCATCTGCAACGAGCGAAACGAATACATACCTCCCAGTGTTATAGTTGGCCAGTTTGTTGCACTTCCGGTAACCACAGAATTTCCGTATATCAATTCGGAGGATCGCGTCGTTATCAGCATCACGCCGATATAATTAGCGCCGAGCGAAGCGAATAGGAAATTAGTTAAGTCAAGCCGCAACGCGATGGAGGACATCTTCGGGAACATGACCCGCACCCAGCAGGAGCGGCAGGAGAGCTTCTTCGCCGTGTACAACGCCACCACCCGCATCCTGACCGGGTGCGTCGCGCTGGCCGTGCTCCTCAACGCCGGCTTCCTGGCGCTGGTCCTCCACGCTACCCGCATCCACGGCCCGACCACCATCCGCAGCAACGCCCGGCTGCGCATGATGCTGCTCAACCTGGTGGCGGCGGATCTGTTCATCTGTTTCTTCACGCTGGTCCTGGAGTTGGGATGGCGGATGGCGATCCGGTGGCGTGCCGGCGAAGTGGCCTGCCGCATCCTGAATCTGACCAAGACGATGGGACTGTACGCCGAGTCGTACGTGGTGCTGGCCATGTGTGTCGATCATTACTATTCGGTGCGCCGGCCCATTCCCAGTAAGGAGCGGTATGAGCGGGCCAAGACGCTGGTGGCGCTCGGGTGGATGGCGGCGTTTGTCTTCAGTGTACCGCAGGTCAGTGAATAAACAATTGGTGCGAAATAAATTATGTCCTTTCTCGCTTAAACTCCATCGAAGGTTAAATATGACGCTGATATCAAACAACCTAGAATCGCCTGTATGAGTAAAGCCTGAGTTAATATACTTATTATTTTTTTTTCTGTTTAATATTTAATATTCGTTCCGCTATAAGCTTTGTCGCAGGCTAAGTATTCATACCCATGTCGCGCATAATTATCAAATAATTTACAACTGCCAGAACATACCTTGTTAGATAACACAACTATTTAAAAATACTAAACATAATAAACATTTGTTCCGCTGTAAACTCCATCGAAGACTAAATATGACGTGCATTACTGAAGATTATTTTTTTATTGAACTACTGAAGTAGTTATGTTTGAACGAAATTTCGCTATAGTCTCCAGGATTCCAATCACATGGTGCATACACAATAATTGTACAACGCAACGTAAAAAAAAAGAAATCGGTCAGAAATTTAAAAAGTTAAATAATATAGAATCAACAAACTATGTACAACAGGAACACTATTGCGCATAAATCGCCAACACCGGGTTCGAATAATGATGCGCTTGTTTGCGCAACGCATGTTATGACGAAGCATTTACTTTAAGATTCTATAATGCATGCCGGTATTACGTAAGATCAGATTTCTATATAATTATTTATGCCTGGATGCGCAGTATCCGGATTTATCCAGCCGGTAGAATGTTTTAACCATCTTCCGATGCCGCATCTTATTATCTCCACGAAGCCGGCCAAGTAGCCCGCTTCGATTGATCATAATAGCGCCGGAATGAAAACCGCATGTGACGTCATGATTATGTGTATTCCGGGGCGGGTACGGCTGCTTCCCCGAAGACCGTGTGCGCGTGTGCGGAAGCGAGAGTAAATGATTTTTCAGGTCAGCGGCGCACACTGCCTGGTCTTCCGGCGTGATGTACACAGCGTGTTGACTGTTTCCTTGGCGTGACCATCTGCACAACACATTACCGGCTCCCGTCGCGCGCGCACTTTGATTAGTTCCGGGCATTAGCGGCTTATGTTTCCCGTCAGCCAAGGCAGCCGATCGATTAGTGTACATTTTACGCCGCAGCAGATCGTTTCTTCCGCCGGCGTTTGCCTTTCCGCTGCTAATGTGAAGAAAGGCGGAAGATTTATTGAAATACGATACGCCGTAAACGATTAGCTTAACAAAATCCACTACATTTTTCCTGCAAAGAGGATAGGCGCAAGTAAACGGTTTCTTGAAACTTCTGCCATTTAAGCATAAGCTAAATTTCCGAATCCAGAAAAAATTGCATTTTTGCTGGACAGTAATAAATTTTAATTAGGTTCTGCTATCTGTAAAACGTGACCTTTAAGTAAGCTTGGCTAGCTGATACTTAAGCACAAGCTAAATCGTAATCGGTTTTAATTAGCATCTTTTCAAAACCACCTTTACAGAAAAGCACGCGCCATCTCAACGCACGACGATTTTTCTCGAAATTACCGGTCTTTTCTTTATAACGAGAATTGATGAAGACAGGTCCCGCATTCTTTGAATATAGTTCCATTGTACCTGTGCTTATTTAGCGGTCTCACGTGCGGCTGGTCTTTTCTAAGGCCTCGTGATTTCCCAGGGAGCCTGCGCCCAATCCACAGTTACTTTATTAACTACTCCGCACTGATTACGATGTGCGGCAGTAATCTCGCCATGCTATTCAATTTTAGGATCTTCTTTCAAAGCTCGTAATCTCAAATTCGCTGGCATGGTCAATACGTATAATCAGCTGAATAATTAATCTATAGATCCCGTGACATTTAACCAGTGGGCTCTTTGTATCGGCGCCCGATCTTTCAAGTAGCCTTTCTCATTGCTGCATTAAGTGGTTGCTGCTGGTGAGCTTTGCGTTTACTTATTTAAATAATTTGATTAAGTGACCTTTTCCTGCTGACTATAAGGTTCTTTTCCTGCTGACTATAAGGTTTTTTAGTAACGCGATAACAATATCAAGAGACAGTTTCACTTAACCAAAACAACATTTTCTACCGAACCCATAACAGAAGCGACATTACACCATTGAATTGCAATATTCTGCCTCAAAAACTCGTGCCTGCGAATCTCGCCTATTTTTAGCTCGATCCTCTTTCTGACCTCTTAAAACCGGCTTCTTCGCTGATGTACCAAAACTTCCGAAAGTTTCGAATCCGACAGCAAATTTGAAATTAAAAGTCATTAATTCAGATTATTAGTTAAGCGGTGACCTTTGTGGGTGTCTAATTAACCGGTCAATACGTCATTAATAAACAACGTTTCTATGTATCCTTTATTAATAATTCTTAAGCATTCACTTACCTTTCTAGCAATAGTTAATAACATTAAATTTTTATCTTGAACTGAAAAGTAGTAGTTATAAGTTTTTAGTAATTAGCTGGTAATCTTTATCCTCGCTTCGTTAATAAACTGTCATCAATTTTTTACCATCACTTCTGCTTTATTAATAGGCGATCGTCTACCATGTGGAGTACATGGACCCGGACTACACCCAGTGCGTCCACTCCGGCTCTTTCATCAGTCTGAACGCCGAGCACACCTATATCGCCTTCGGCCTAATCGCTGTCTACGTCCTGCCGCTGTCCATCATGCTGCCGCTGACCGGGCTACTGCTGCACAAAGCCTGTCGGGCCAAACCCAAACCGCCCCGTCCCCACCGCCTGACCCGCGTCTCCATCTCCATCAACGTCATCAACGAGGCCGGGGAGGATCAGGAGATGGAGTTGGACGGGGACGATGACTGGAGCGAGTACGAGATCGGGTCGCGCTACTCACTCAAGACGCTCTCCTCTGAACAAGGTAAAGGAAATTTGTAATTATTGCTCACGAACGAGGAATTCCCGGTACGCGCGAGTCATAAGTGTGCTGGCCGAGCGTTATGCTCGCACAGTAGTGCGATATCTGTTGCTCGAAAACGATTTTTTTGTTAAGACGGAAAAACCAGTTTTGCCGTGGTGACGAAACTGGACGCCGTCTTTATCATTACACTTATGGGCTATTGGTCTAATGGTGAAACGGAAAGAGGATCATGTTTTGAATGGTAAAGTCGTTAAAATGATAAAAGTTGCGTAATGGACTACGTGGGTACCGCGACGCTAATTGCCCATAAAGCGCCGTAATGGCGGAATGTTCAGTTAATCCAAGAGCAACTTGGACTCCGCTCCCAGCATTAACGAGAGTACGCTGCGGGCGACTATTGGTTTAATGTTCCAGGCTCAGTAACGCCAATCGCTGGATTGATCTGAGATTTGTTGTTGTAGTGTTGTGTAAAGATTTTTCTTTGAAAAGCCAAAACCTGGAAAATAAATCCTGGAACTTTTTTCAAGCCCTTATGGCAACTTTTTGCAATAAACAAAATTTTATTTAACTTTCCGTAACTGTACATCGAACCGAAAACGAGTGCCGGCTTCTGCTCACGTCAGTAAACTTCGTATGCGAAACGTTTTTTCTTGTTTAAATTTAGAATCCTTTTCAAGACTTAGTGGTCCCGAAGCCTGAAACATGCAGCGAAACCTGGCCGTTACCAGATTTAAATTGAATTTAGGAATCAGCTAAAGCAAAACAACCCACGATAATTGATATACCTGACGACTTATCGCAAGGTCATTCGTTGCTACGTAGTTTTGGCAACCATACCGAAGATTCGTAAAAACTTTATTACCCCTTAACATAATGAAAAAGGTCATCAGCTACATATACATGTAGCTACACATATATATAAATTTATGTGTGTTTTTGTACGTGCTATAGTAAAAAAACTGAACAAAATTAACTGACTGCTTACACCAGCAAAAGGTCATCAAATTCATATATATTTTAGGCAGCCATAGCAAGTGAGTCGTAAAAGAATTAATTATGTACTAAGATACAACCAAAAGGTAAAAAAATGCATATATATTTTTAAGCCATAGCAAAGAGCCATATAAGATTTAACTATCTGCTAACATAACGAAAAGGTCACTAGCTGCATATATATTTCGGGCATCCATAGCAAAGAAATGCACGAAAAGTAATTAGCTGCCAACATTCTCGCTTTACATATATTAAGAAATGGCAAAAAACGTAGGAAACTTAAATCTTTACCAACTTTACCAACATTTTGAGAAGGTCACCAAATGCGTATAATTTTTCTCCAGGTGATACGCCGGCGACACCGGCCCGGGACCGTCTCAACACCGGCCTGCAGCTGCGCCACACGGACACCAGCATCCGACGGGAAGCCCGCTACCGCGTCATCAAACTGGCACTGGTGGTCCTGCTGTCCTTCATCACCAGCCACACCCCCTACGTCGTCCTCGTCACGCAGCTGGCCGTGGCGGAGAACAACCCCAGCAAGGACGACGTGGTCCTGCAGATCAGCGACAGTCTGATGATCGTCTCGCTGGGACTCAGTGCGCTACTCAACCCCATCTTCTACGGAGTGTACCTGCGCACACTGTCCGTTAAGACGGTTGTGTAAGCGGCGTGTTTACTCCGCTGGTAAATCACAGCGCGATTGTATCGGTTGGGTTTTGTGGGATTTCTTTGGCCGTGCCAGCGGCGCGGTCATTTGTGAAATGGCTGGGGATTATAATAACGGAATAATACGGATTAATGTCTTTCTTAATAATCTCGTTCAGTGAAAGTGAATAGCTTCGACTGAATGCGCGCTGTTTCCCGAAATATTTTTTAATTATTCGCGGATTATTTTTCTGTTGTCTGCCATGACAAACATTCTGATTAAGGCTATACTTCTTTGAAGTATGGAAAAATAAAGATTAGTGTTGCGTGCAAAACACACCTTGTGTGTTGCTCTTCATACAGACAAGCAAACGCACACAGCATGTAATTGCATCCTCGTATTAAGCCGATCTGGTATTTTACCCGGTACAGTACACGGTGCTAAATTCGAACACCGAGTACATTTATGGAAATCTTTCCTTTCGCGCGTGCCAAAGCACCATTTGTAAATGTCTTTTTATCCTTGTGAATAAAATTTCAAAAATTTAACAAATGTACTAAAACTCGCGTTAATTATATTATATAATTACTTTAGCTTATAATTACTTTAGTATATAATTAATACTTTAGTATATAATAGTAAGTAATTACTAACGCGTTCCATATTCAGTAGAGAATTAATTTTATTTCTCTACAATCCCGTATAAAACTTGTCCATGAAAATGTACTTGTAATCTGCGCAATACAAAAATAATTTGACCATAAATGTCCAGATCCAAGCTGCTACATCATCTTGCGCGCACCCTCAGTTGGCGCACACACAGTGGTACTGCAGTTCAGTACAGTAGTTCTATTTCAGTACCAGTGTATTTCGTTTACTGCTTCCTGAAACTCTCTCATAAAATTTAATTGTACTTGGCAAGTTCTACATTGGACATGTAAAGAACAAATTCTCTATATTTCACTTTCTACCTGACCGTTGCAATCGTTCCGCCAAACGTTATAAATAAAAAAATATCGATTACAAGATTATTTTCAACATGCTGTCTCCCCTCTGAAATTTTTGTGCGCATGCGCACTACAGAATGCCCGCATGCACGCGGGAAAACCACATTGCTCCGTGGCGGTTTCCGTTTGAATAAACTAAACTAAGAACACCTACTAAGTTACCAACCAACAGTGGAGTAAGCGGAATTTATTCACTAGTGACTGTTAATTACGGTAATGCACAGCGTTGCCGGCAGATTGTGATGAAAAGCCAGAAAAAGTACAAACAGTATAAAAAAAAACGTAAACAAGTACAGCCACAGTTGCGATCCAAACACAGCTAATGCTCAGAATTCAACGGCGATCTAGTGCACAGCTAAACTTCAACTCCTTTCAATGCAGCAGCGCATATTCAGCTGATTGTTCCTCCTCATCTTTCTCGTTAAACGTCGAGTGGTAGACCTGACGGATGTGCTTCAAAGGATTTAAATATTAAAATACTTCATATCATGCTGCCGCAACGCAGATTTCTCACATGCTTCAGTCATTGTAGTACACATCGAGCGCGGCAAAGGTTAACTGGTTCAATACGGACACATCCAGTTGGCGCAAGTCCACGACATCCCAACGCTGCGGACGGCCGTCGGGATGAGTGCCATTGAACCTAATCAACAAGAATCTCGCAATGGAACCACGTCAGGTTTAAGAATTACAAGCCTGTCGACAAACTGAGCATGCGGAGGTACAAGAAGAGCGATACTTCTATACATATTAGCGCAAAGTTGGCGCTTGAATGATGGCCACTGCACTACGCCTAATCACAACGCGTAATTGCGCTTCGCAGTAGATTGGTATAGGTCAACTGCATTTGGGTAACCGATGCGCGTCGGGTAACAGAGAAACGGGTAAAAATCTGTCCATGACTCAGCGAAAAAAATATCGTCCAATCGTAAGGCGAGTACGCTTCCGTGCCAAGAAAGAAATTGAACAACGGAAAAACTGAAGTGGAACTGAAAAATCTGTTTTTGATGCTTTAATGCGGTAAAACGTCAAAAAAGTTGATTCTGAGTTTAGAAGTGTGAATCTGGATCGCTGGATGCACTTTTGGTTCAAAAAAACAAAAATTTTGTTGATCTGGGCAGGAGAGTTACGAGTTACTCGTAGTTTGGGTAACGGTTGCGCTTCGACGTCGAAGCGCAACGGTTACGCGGACGGGTAAGCTGAAAACCCATCACAGAATTCTGGTTTACCAATCAAATCGTTTACCTGCTTACGCGCCGTGACGTCATGTTTTTTTACCCGACTGCCGCTTGCGCGTCGCGTAATGCTTACACAGAGCAATTGACCTATGCCATTGTCCCTTACTGCATCGACCGTTTTCTAGCCACATTCCGCCCGGCAGTTACAATTATTCTCATTAAAATATCTGGCGTGCACCAGACCACCAGCCAACTAAATGCATGTTACGTGTATAAAAGAGTGGCGTGGCGTAGTACGGATTTGCGCGTTACCCGTAAATTTCTAATGTTCGCTGTATTTACGAATGCTCAATTTGTCGACAAGCATGTATTGATGCCGTTTTCGTACTCACATCTGGAAGAGGTCGCGAATCCCGACCCACTGACCGGGATAGTCCAATGTCTGCACCCAGCGCGCATGTATCGCGGTGACCTTTTCCAGCGTTCGCTGCGCAACGGCCGGACAGCTGTTGTTGGCCGCGCTGATGAAACGTTGGCACAGCTCCGCGGATGTCTGCGTGCCGACGAAGCGCACAAACGGAATCGTCACATCCAGGCGACCGGCATCGACATTCCGCAGAAACGCCGCTTCGCCTGCCGGCTGCGTCAGACCGGCACTATACAGCCACAGGGAGCGGTAGCCGGTGCCCTCGGAGGAGGCGGTATAGTTGATCAGCATCAGCGTCTCGCACACGGTCATCCACTGCGTCAGCAAACGGCAATGGAACTGCCGAGTCTTCTCGTTCATTCCCAGCATCAAGAAAGAGCGGCTCCCGGCCAATCGGGTCTCGTAGCCGTTCTTGGCAACGATAAGCGGCAGGCGAAGATCTTTATTCTGCAGCACATTCACGATCGTCTGCATTTTCGTGGCGATGCCGCGGCCTTGTTTGCTCCACTTCTTTCGGTTATCACGCGTTCGTTCGTCGACCACTGCCAGCGCTCGTGTTTTGGGGGAAATGACTCGTTCCAGGATGGTTCGCAGCTTATAATCGGTGACATGGTCCAAAGCAGAACTGATCGAGTCATCCCCGGCGGCGAACCGTGGCACAGGGATGACAAAGATGATATGACGATTGCGCAGATAGTCGCGCGCAATCAGCTTCCACAAGGCGCACACCCTGAAAGCGGTCAGAATTAACACTGAAGAAACTAACATTTATTAGAAGTACATAAGAAACACATGTCTAATACACATAAAAATATATAAGAATCTCGTGTCAAGCATGTCAAAGCTTCAAATCTTGCTTTCAACGATATTGAAAATTTCAGTGAGTGATAAACTTCTGTATTCTCTTCGTACCGAATATCGATTTCAGAATTTTATTGAATGAACCGTTAACGCTCTGTGAATTTAACATAAAATTTTGACTTCAAAACCTTACCAATTATGTAGTTGAGCCGGATGAAGAACCCTGTTTTCAAATGTAGGTTTTTTGTTGGTTTGTGCACCTTGTTTGACGTCTACAACAATCAGGAGATTCAGGGCTGAACCTGCACAAGTACTCGTACTACGCTAACTATAGTTAGGTAGAGAAATGCTCTAATGGTAATGCTTCAAGAAAAAAATAACCCAACGAAACTTGATCGAGACCAATAATAGTGTAGAAAAATCCTTTTTCTGATGTACGTTTAACTGCATGTGGTGCCGCGTCGAATTCTGATTAAGTTATCGCAGAAGGACTGAGTCCCTAGCATCTCAGCTTATTAAACGGAACAGTGTACAAGTACACCGTACAAATATCGATCAACCTTGAGATGGGTCGACTGCAGTGTCATTTCTTGGAGTAAAGTTGCGAGTGTGTGAACTTTAACGGCCTCACTCGATCCGTGAGTAGAATTTAATTGTTTTGCCAACTTACTGACTCATCCGTAACTGAGAAATCACATCCAAGCTGAGAAAGACACTGGCCAGTATCGCAATCGGAAGGTCGTAAATAAGCATTTCCTCCGTTTCTGCAAAATATCCAGTTAACGGTAATACCAGTGGTACTGGCACGTCCAGCAATACGATTCATATGGATAACCCCATAAAACGTAATGTGGTCTAAGCAGGGCGCCATCCACTGGAAACCGAGAAACGGCCGAAGAATGCACCGATGGGGGAATCGAATCCCGGCTACGTCGTTAGATCCGCGTAGGCAGTGCCACCACTGCACCACGGCGCAATACAGTGGAACCTCCGAGTTTGAACACCTCCAAGCGATGAACACCTCTGAACCTCGAACAGATTTTTTCGTACCGTCGTAATGCATAACACTGGCGGTAACTTCTGAGCCGTGAACACCTCTGAACCCTGAACGAAAATTTACGTACCGAGGGTGTTCAGGATCCGGAGGTTCCCTTGTACGTTGAAATCTTTTGAAAACTTTATCGCTGTACTTGAGCCGCTTTCTCCTCACAGTGGTTATCCGCAACCATTATCTATACTTTTGCTAATCCAAGAATTACTAGTAATATACATACCGTGTTGGGAAGCGATCGCAGCAACAATCTCGCCGGCTTCAGCAGATCCCCGCGACAGTTGCTTGACGAGGTAGTTTTCGCACGCTCCCTTTAACGCATCCTCGTCCCACAACATACTGCTTCCCACTGCGTCGCCGTGCACTTCGGCACAGATAAACGTGACGGTGTCGCATCCCGCTCGCACAAACACACGACAACCGCCATCGAACTCATACTGCCACTGTGGCCACTCATGCGGTTCGTCGCATCGGAAATACAATCTGCCCCATCCCTCATGCCTTTCCAATTGACAGCTGTTGTGAACTGGTACACCCGGGCCGAATACTGCCTGGCAAGCGCGAATCAGCATCTTGGGCATGAAATTTAACATGCGTAACGCATGCGCCCTCTCGAAAGCGATGACGTGCTTTTTGTACAAAAGTCCGCTAACTCTGCCCGAAAAACTCGGCTCGCTACGGGATGCTGGCAGGTGGAAGGTTAGCTGGCGCACAGGGACAACACGGGATTCTGCTGCCGTGCTCTGATTGGGCTGTTCCAGGCTAACAGCACAGAACATGTCGCACAGGTCCTCCAGCAGCGTGGCGGGTCGGAAAATCAACGGTCCGCCGGATTCCAGCGGCAGTGCCACCTGCACCATCAGGCCCGGTTTGATGCGATCGGCCCCGAACCAGTGGTGGGGCCACAGACGGTCAGTGTGGATCCACTCCGCGCGGATGCTGCTGGCATCGAAATCCACGAAGAACTGGTCGCCGTTAATATCCTGAACGTATCCCAGCCACCACTGGTCGTCGTCGCGCTGCACCAGCACCGTGTTCCCGTAGTTCACTTCCCGCGCGCCCGAGCGTAACTCCCGATAATAGCGTAATGTGGCCGGCATGGCGGTGGGAGACGTGAGGAATAAACGAAGACGGCAGCGGGATAGCTAAATTACTTCGCTGTTTATTCCCTTCGCTGCTGGAAAGAGTTCAGCAAAGGCTAATAGAACTGATGTACGGTATTTTTGCCAAAGTATGTACTTAATTCTAAGAGCAAGGTTATGGAAGCATTAGAGGCGGCAAGGTCACTAAATTAAAACGATGGACCGAATGGCAAAACGTTGGTTTCTGAACTAGACAAGTTTGTTCACGCAGACCAAAGCTGTTCTTTACGGGCCTTCTTCGTTACGTAACAGTATAAGAAAGATGTCATTTTTGTGATAACAGAAGACCGCCCAGAGAACGGCCTTGAAGAGAGACGGAGAATCAGTGCTGAGCTAGCGTGGAGAAACAAGAGCTGGGCGGGACAAGCAAGGCGAACAATACTCGTACGCCCCGTTATTAGCAATTAAACCGCGTTTTAATTAGACATTTGTTACTAATGGTACCCCCAGTAAAGATAATATAGTCATAACCGAAACCATTCCTATAGTTACCGTCTGACCACGACAAGTATTCGTTAAGTTGATCATTAAAAAGCAAAACCTTTCCCCGTATACATTACACAATAGAGCGACCCTGCTGTATTTGTTTACACTTTGCATTTAACATTTGGTTTTCTTAGAAATGTTACTGCTGTGACGACCTCGTCACTTGTCGAACCACACCGCCATCGCACTGCCATTAGTCACCGGAAGTGCGCGTGCAGGTATGCCGCGCACATTCCCGCGCGGTCATGTTATTTCATGCTGACGGCATATTACATCGTCATGCCGTCATGCGCCCCGACATTGGATCCTCCCTACACCAGCCCCGCCCGCGATCGTCGGGCGCACCTCGACCGGGACGATATATAAAGCCCCCCTCCACCACAGCACCAGATCAGTCCACTCCAAGCCTTCCCTGGCATAGCTAGCTTAGCAGCATTAGTACTGTTATAGTGGGCATAGTGATATATGTTGATTAAAGGTCACGGACACACGGGTGCGTTGTCTAGTTGTATAGGTACACATAGGTACACATATAGGTCATCGTTGACCTGTACAGGTAGCATACAAGAGGCGCTTACAAGAGAACTCTATACTGCGACACTGCGAGGCAAATAATTTGTTTAAATGAGAGCTTGAGCCGGCAACTCTGTTAATGAAATTTATAAGAAATCCGGCGTTCTACAAAGCTCAACTCGGGTCTGCCTCCCAATTATTTTGTAGAAACGCAGGAGACCCGGTGTGCACAGTAATGGTGTAAATGCGGTTTAGCGTGTGCAGTAAATCCGAAGAAGAAATTCGATTACTACTATTTTCACAAAGGCATCTTTGTATCGTGTCACTGATGTGCCGGTCATCGCATTCCACAATGGGCACAAATCCATCTGCAATTTTGTGCAAGATAGTGAAATTCCTACTTTTTCCAGTGATCTGAAGTATTCAGCAACTGCGTCGGCTACTTTTCTACACAGCCATGTCTCTTCCACTTTATAGTGGCAGTCCAGTAGTTCCACCAATACACAACCCAGACTCCAGATATCGGTTTTCCGACCGGGTTTCTGGCTCTCACCGACTAGAAATGTTCTCACCATCTCGGGTGACATGTAGCGTGCCGTTCCGTGGATGTGCGTAACGTCTTTGGTGCATGTTTCTCCCTGAGCCATGACGATTTGTCCGTCTAGATCAGCGATGTATAAGTTAGTCTCGCTTGCCTTAGTTCGTCGGATAAGTACATTAGCTGGTTTTAAATCTCCGTGAATGATATTATTATCATGGAGGAATACCAGACCTTCCGCGATTTGCCGTCCAAAATTTACTACATTTGTTACTGAAAAGCTTTCTCTGCTTCTTGAGGAGACGTCAATAAAGCCAGCCAAATCACCATCTGCAATAAAAAAGGTTGATGCTTTGAAACGGAAGAACTATTGCGAATGTTCACGGTAGGCGCCACAACGCAACCGGCAGTGCTGAAAATAGCCAAAGGTTGTGGACCGGACCGCGATAATCGAGATGCATTGCCTCTGTATTCACCGCACTTATGCGGTGAAGGGCCCCCTTATGTGCCCTGATAATTTTTATTACTGTTTTCCTGGTTTGTATGACTCGTCCTAACTTTCTCAGGTTGAAGTTTTCCTTATCGTAGAATAATTACGTACAATATTACTCCTCCAACAGTTTTTTAGTTCTCCTTAGTGTCGTAATAATTACGTACACGATTAATCGGTGCGTAATTACTTATGTACTGTACTCAGGCTTCTTTACTGATTATCACTATTCTGATAAGCGTTAACTATTTGGATTAGGTTAGCTATTTGGATAACCGATCCTCCAGTTGGTTGGACAATCCAGTTGGGGAAAGGACCCTTTCATCGTTTTATACTGGCAGATCCTTTCACCCCGTTACTAATAATTAATTAACCAATAATAGTAATTAATTAATAATTAATCACAATAATATAAGATTAGTTAATTAACAATAATAACAATAATTAATTAATAACAATTAATAACAATAACAGTTAATAACAATAATAACTAATTAATAATTACTAACAATAATTAATTAGTTAATAATTAATCATACGAATATAATATTCGTATTAATATTAATAATGATTATAATAATTACAATGAGTAGCCATATCAGGGCACAAATGAAGGGCCCCTTCACCGCACTTATGCGACAAATGTAATAAGGTGCTCGGGCTCTGCACTTTTGAGTGTTTCAGCTAAACCGTAGCACTCGCCCCGAATGCTGTTGGTTACTTAGTTTAACGGGTGGGATAAAATATGCGCGCCATATCGCATTTCAGTGGAGCTTCGCGATCACATACACGCTGCTGGTTCGAAGTTCAGGAATATCTTATAGCGGAGTCAAGTCCAGGAGTGCCGCATGATTTTATTTACGAAGTGGCTTCATAGCGAATCCTTTTTATTTATACTACCAAGAATTTACTATAGCTGTAAGGACTGGGAAAATTTCGGAGGCTAGAAATAGAAGAGAAGCGAAATCTGCTGAGAAAACTGACAAAAAAACGGGGAAAACGCGCACCAGATACCATGGCAGCCGCCACCCGGTATGCGAAAGCGATGACTTCAAACGGCTGGTTACCAGTCTTTTTCAGTTTTCACACTGTAGTAAGCCCATGATACATACCTATCTGAACAACGGCATAATGTAGCGCTTGAAGGATACCACACTCCCTCGCTTAAATTAGAGCCCGAAATAAAATTATTGACATCGAGTCAAAATGTTTACAAATACCATATGTCAACAACCTGAATTTACTTGGAATTTGAACACCAGGTTGGTTTTCCACGTAGAGCTTACAAAGGAATGCTAACCGCTATGTTAATCGCCGAACGCGCTTTTGTTACTAAGGAGATGCAATGTGTTACTAACATAATCACGCATAGTTGCTGATATGTATGCAGTTCGACGGAAATGGTCCGTCGAACTGACTGGACTAGGTCAGGCATTCATATAAAAGGGTGTACTAGGGAGTAGGGACCACATCCGACAATGGGCCAGTTTGGACGATCGGCCAGCATACCGTAGATCAGAGCGTTTGACTACGAATGTTTGCAACGTGTCTCTTTGATACTGCTTCAAAGCAGCTTCGAATGCGGAAAAGCCAAAAAGGCCGGGTAGCCTTTGGGTAGGCCGGGTCATTGTCAGATCGTGGATTATCTTCGGATGGGCTACTGATTAAAGAACTATCGCACAATATGAATTATTTATGCAGAGCCACCAATTTTGCTGCAGAACTCGCATATATTACAAGAGAAAAACACTAAAGTGACATTTCCTACGGAAATAGCTCCGTCAGGCCTGGATGGGAAAGGGAAATAATCGGGATAAACGGGAACTGGATGCAAACCACATGGAATACTTCTATAATTATTAGGCTATTAGCCCAACCACATTCTAGCGACAGCTATGCTGACTATGCAGTATGCCCGTATTAACTGGCATACCGTAAACCACACCCCTAACTTGTGCCAATCACAGGGGTGTAACATTTTGGTTACAGATTTCCCCATAGACCGTGCAAGAAACAAGCCGTATACACTCTTATACAGAAAGTCTCACTTTCTGTTTTTATTATAGTGTATAGGTCCTGCAACGGTGTGCAGGCCTGACGGAAAAATCTTGTAATATATGCAGCGATAGTGCAACGACTTCTGAAAATTCTTTAAGGTAACGAAATTCGGCCTTGAAACATCGCAACGGACAATGAAATGGTGGCCTTAGCCTATAGCGTTCACACGCGACGGGGGTTCAGGGATTAATTAATCGAAAAGGGGTGCCTACAGTCAAAGTGGGTACGAAAGGGGGTGCCTGTAGATTCCTGGGGGTGAAAGGGGGTGTCTATAGACATTTCCTAATAATATACTATAGTAATGCTGTGATACGCGACTGTTACCGCGTTATTTCTGTGAAATTTGAACTCATGCCGCGGAGCTTGTTGCACGCTTAAAAGCCTTTTGGTCGTCCACAAACTTGTGCGCATACTCCGATACATCGTGCTATAAAAGCTTGAAGTACGAAAGTGTTTTGTAATAATGAATACAAACTGTATAATATTATTTCGTCATTTCTAACCTGGAAAGTAGTCCATCATTATTTCGAGAGTCTCTCCACCAGTCGGCAAACGTCCATGAACGATCTTGTGATATGAAACTAACCGCTCATGGTTCAGCGTCAGTAAAGTCTTCCATCTATGCATGTTATCTCCAAAACTGCCGTCGGTTTCCCATGCAGCAGATCGCTTTTTGGGATTCGCCATAAACATCTTTTTGACAGCAACGGTGTTTGACCCGGTAAAATCACCCCGCTTTTGAATGGTGGCTTTATATACAGCACCGAATGATCCCTGACCAATCCAGTCCGTATTAGGATCGTAATGGTACGTGCAAGTACTGCCGTATGCATCAAAATTTCTGCTAAGCAACGCCCCCGAAAATCCACGCGCTAGGGCTACGCTTGGTGCTGTATCTGGAGCGTCACTATGCAAATCTAACCCGGTATCACGGGAACCACAAGTAGCTTTCAAGCCACCTATTACTAGTTCATCCCAAATGGTGCTTTCCGCTACATTTGGCTTTTTCAGCATTGTCCTTGTAAGTCGTTGCAGAAGCGGGATTCTGGTAATTTTTCCCAACAGAAACAGTTCAAACTTATCATGCGTCTGCGGTGGCATTAGCTGAAAAGAGTTACCGGTCTTCGTAGAAAATATCGGAGCTTTGCTATCAAGCCCTTCAAGTGCCATTTGTGTTTTCAGTGGGGAAATTTTCCCAATGTCCGGCCAGACAACATCCCAGATCTTGACAGCAAACTGTCTGACAATATCCAGGCAGCGATCGAGGATAAGGTGATTGAACGTAGCACGGGTCAGAGTCACAGCTAAATCTATTCTTCTATAGAAACTCTCCACGCGAATCATGACGCATCTGGAGGAGGACAACGCAATTTTACCTCTCTCACAGTTCTGCAGTAAACGCTGTAAGCTACTTCGAGGGAAACGAACGCTCTTCGCAAAATGATTGTTACGGAACTCATCAAGACAGTAGTTAAACACAGTCATGTCGATGTCATTTCCGCCAAAATTTATTTCGGAGTGCGTGATCACCTGGCAGCTAACAGGTTGCACTGAATAGATAAAACATCTGGAAAATCTCGCGTTCATTCGCAATACAGCGACGGTGGTAGGGCGTTGCGATAATCGCGGAAATCGCCAGATTAAATTGCTAATCTCCCCTTGCAGGCGTTCTATAAATGTGAACCGCATTCGGTTAAAATCGGCATGACGAAGCACTTCTCGCAAACATTGTTCAAAATGCGCTACATTATATGAGGCAATGATGCAGTTCGCAATCGTGCAGCTTTCCCCGATTTGCTGTTGACATGCCGTTAGTAGTTTGGTCATGAACTGACGATTCAGATGTACAATATTATCGTGCGAGTTGGAGAATTTCAATGCCGATAATGGATCGAAAGTAAGGCTAAAAATTAATGAAGGCTGTTGCTGCTAAGGTCTGATAATCCTTTACACTGTGAAACGATCAGGCATTTACTGTCGAAAGCATTCCCATATTCTGTTGAAAGTGGTGTCGTTAGAGCGTTTCTGTTTCCGTAAACTCTGTCGCTGCTTAACAGTATTAAGGGACTGCAAAATTTCCCCGGAAGTTGGTATGGAGCCCTTGGGTGTGTAGGATATTCCGGTTCAGCAAGGTGCTCCTCCGTTGTACCATAATGCAAGTAGACGTAAGTAGAAAGTTCTTGATAGCCTTTGAATTTTAGCTGCTGAATATGTCCATTTGGTAATTCAGCCGCTGCCCGAATAAATGCCGGGTTGAAATCCAAGAAGAGTGTAGCGGCTGGTTGAGGGCTTATCTCAATGGAATCCGAAGCCATGTGGCGCAAATAGGTATAATTCGAAATCGGAAATAAAGGTTAGGTATTCGTTAAGCGCAACATGCGCAACTCCAAACTTCTCACAATTGACTGGAGACCTGGGCAGCTGTAGCGTACTTTTATTATGATACGGTATCAGAATCATACCGTCGTATCAGAATCAGTCTGTTCGGTGCGACATTCTGTGGAAACAGTGTAATGCTACGTAATTACTATACAACAGAATTCAAGTAGGCACTTTGGTTCTGTTACCGACCCAAATCGTTGATAAGCAAAGATTAACAACAGCGGCATGAGCACTCAAATAACTGCACTACACATTCTATTAATTGTATCTTTTACCTGTTTAACTATCTACCGCTCCCGCTGAAACAGGTCTTATCTTGTCGACTGGGCAGCTGTAGCGTACGAGCCTTATGAAACAATCGTATGTATGCTACATTATGTACACAACAACATATCACCAGTAAATCCTTTATCGCATGGTAAAGCGATAACCAATAACAATTATTTGAACGAAAGAACCCAGGTGTTTAGCTTTTCAGCAGTTTGCAATTAATGACAATAAGCTAGCTCCGTCAAAAGGTCTGATTCAATCGGTGAAATGACGTAGCTTTATTCATCAAGCCGCTCTGCTTATGCGCTCAAAAGTTTACCATTGGAGCAACATACTTGACTTGCTAATGATTTGAATGACCAGATTTTACTGGGAAAGATGGAATTTAAAGGACACTACAGGTTTGCCTCAATCCTGCTTATGCAGTTGTTGATTCTGTGTCGGACTTCCATTCGAGGAGTGAAGAGATGCTGTATCGCAAAGCTCGACAGCATTCCAACAGCAGTCCTAGGGCAGATAAAGGTATGCTCGAATCTATTTTGCCAAGCTAGCAGGGGCAGGGGCTGGAAACCAGCAAACATGCGCGTACAGGTGCGCAGCGGACGCTCCTCCCCAGTAAAGGATTCCCACATGCCCACACGGTACTCTGCGTTCCGAAAAAAGATACGAGTAGCATGCACATTAATATTCATTATTTTGCAATTTCCGCTGAGCATGTCGCGGCGTTCATCGTTTTCCCTGACAACATGCGCGGGAATTTTCGCCATCGCGCACCCTCAAACGAGATGCGTTTTAAGAAACAATCAGAATCCTTAACAGGCAAGGCCTATGGGACGTCAAAAACCAGTAAACACAGTGCACAGCTGCCAGCAGGCGCAGGCTGCGGGGCGGTCTGTTGTGATTGTGAGTAATCCTGTTTGTTATCGCGTTCGCCAGCAAGGTGCGTTCAAGAAAACCTTAATAGCAGTTTTCGTTAATAGGGGTTTGTGCAACACCTTCGACTTACGGCCATGTCGTTTTTGTTAAGTTCGGTATTTGAGAGAGCGCAATTTTCGGGTTCAGAAACTGAAATTGTCCAGTTTCATAGTTACATATTGTAAACTGAGTCTTGGAAATAATTTTATGTATCGATAGAATGGGCAGCCGACGCCGGATTGTGATACGAGCGCAGAAACAACCGAAACATTCTCAGTTTCCGTGTAATAAGCCAAAGAGCTACTCTGCATAATCTGAAAAGTCTACGACAAAAGTTATAATAAATAATAAATAAGCTAAAAAATTATAATAAATAATAAATAAGCTTTTCTTAACTTTTTATCGGCATTCCACCTTTTAAGCTTTAGGCTACACAGGCGGCTTTTTCGATGAGAGTTCATAGAAGATCGGAAAATAAGCAGAATTTTTATACATATAAAAGCGTGTTTTACTTATGCGCCGGTACACTTTCTGCTGTATTTCGCAAACTTCATTACAATTTGACCCCAACTCTAAGACTCTAAAGAAATGCACAAAAAAGCAAACAAATGCATAACGAAACAAACAGAAGTACTGCACAACCGTGCCGCTATTTTATACCCATGAATGCGCTCGAATCCCGGCTTGTCTTAACGCCAGAAAAATCTCATACGTATCTTTAAGATACAGATCCTTAATCGGTCCCCAGAACGCCGACATGGGCGTGGCATTCACATGATGTTCAAAATAAAAATCATCAATCAGAACCTGCAATTGTGGATCAGCCAGTAACTGCCGCACCAAACGGTTCTCAATCTCCGGCGTGTCAATATCCATCTTGACCACGACAAAGTCCTCGGCGCTGACGACGCGCTGTAACGTATTCCACGGATTGCGATGGCTGTCGGGGTTGGCGGACGCCGGGAAATTGTACCAGTGGTACGTGTGATGCAGCTCCGCCGGGATAGATTGGAAGATGGTTTCGGGGTCGTAGGGTTTGGCTTCCCAGGCGAAGATCCGGTGGAAATCCACGCCGCGCAGCTTGTACTGATCGACTATCCATTTCTGGCTGGCACCGCCTACAAATTAAGTACAAATCAGTGTGCACAGCCCGGTGATTTATTTCGCCCTTCTAAAAGGTACAGCGAGAAATACAGATGACTGATGTACTCTTTACTCTGTTCTTCAGATACTGATACTCTTATATCGTATTTACGAACATAATGATTCTATCGTTAAACTGAAGAGTTTGTCAATCGAATTTATTTAAAATAACATTTCACTGGAGACGTAAACATTGCGATAATTGTAGTGTTGGGGCCGCTTTTGTGAAAACCTATGCATTGTAAGGTGCACTATTACGGTATTCCGTCGCTATTCCCTTAAGACATACTACCATTGGAATTTTACTTTGGCCACGGCCACTTAACCATGGCCGATGAAAATATTTTTTTTAAGTATACCCAAGGGTTACTTTGACTTCGCACAAAAAACGAAATTTTTCTGAGCCGGGAGCCGCTGGCATGGCCCTGATTAATGTCACGCCATGGCCGCGTGCTTCGTACCATGAAATAACTGCTGTCTGTACGTCCTTCGGACTTTGCCTGACAGAAGTAGCTAACTGAGATTGTTTGGCGATAGCCGGCAGAAAAGCTGTATGGACAGTGGGGGAAACAGTAATTTAGTGTGTGTTAAAGGCAACCCCAACCAACCAACCTTGATGATGCGGTGCGGTTTACAAAGCCAACATTTAGATGCTGAAACCATGGAGCGTTACTAACGCTTCCGGGAATACCAGCTACAATTCTCCCTGTATTAATCGTGGATTAAGAGTCCTGCGTAATCTCGTCTTGTGGACGGTTGTAGCAGTGGGACTGTAACGCCATTATGGAATTCTCTGGACATACGAAGTTTTCCCTTGTGGCGCCACAGTCCCATCCGACAGCTGGCCCCCGGAAAGCCCCTTGACCCGCGAAATGGGCTTAGGTGCACCAGCGGCTATTTTGTCCCCGAGGATAAAATAGCGCCTGGACGTTCGCCGTTCGACACCACGTATGTCATCACTAGGCCTTCCCGGCATCGATGACGTCGTTGGAATCGGCTCCTACAGGGGGTCGTCACCTTTGCCGGCCGCTAACTTCGCCTGGTGTTCCGCCACCTGCACTGGCTTGACCGAAGCCGGTGGCGCATTTAGTTATAACTTGCACCGGAAATGGCACAGTTCCTGATTTGCCCATCCTCATCGGTGTGGTTCTCATTTTACTACCGGGATTATGAAGTTGGTCTGTTCAGTCACTGAGATCGGGATAGAGCACCGTAAAGGGTCAGAAGTTTTGATAATTGGGGCAAGAAGACGGAGTCGACAGTGTGTTTAGTGTCAGTCGTCGGATTCCATGCTACAGCCGAGTGCGTGTACACGCGATTGTGTTATGAGCGTGATCAGGTGCACTTTACCCATTGATAGGATCCGTAGGTACAAACGCAATGTGAGACTAATGTACTTGAAACTGGTCGGTCGGTTCGCGGTTCGGAAACTTATTTATTAAACCAACCACCAGTGTGCGCTATAAACACATCGAAAGCGCTTAAGGAAGTGACCCGATGCATGGTATGAATTCGGGTATATGTGCACCAGCGTTTACTTTCGCCCACTCCCAAGCGCTTTTTACAATGTTTTATGGAGTTGCAGGCGATGTGACTTGTATATGTACTGTATGTCTTGTACTTTGCTGTGAAAGCCGTTTGTGCGCGCAACTTCCGGTTGAGAAGTTATAACTATTAAAACATTCAAAAAGGTTTGATGATTTTCTATAATGATTTCAAATTTTAAAATGAGCTTCATGAAACGCTAAAATTCACCAAAATTCCGGCCCCTTGTCAAAACGGTTTTTTATGCTTATGTTGATTTTTGCGCTACATATAAAAAAAGTCGCTCCATAACCTGATTTTTGGTACATGTAGATGCGTTTAAACTTTTTCGTATTTTCTAATTTTTCTTACAGCTATAACTTCTCAACCGGATGTAGCGCGCGCAAACAGTTTTCACAACAATGTATACAAATCACTTCGATATTTAATGTCATAAAACACGGTAAAGTGTTTGGCAGCGCGCGAGAAAGGTTTCGTGCATATACCCGAATGTGATAGTATGTGTTGGGCCACTTCCCTTAATTAAGTTGTCAGCACTGGGTGCGAACCGAGAAAAAGGTTGTTTTTATGTTTGAGCACTGTGCGTTAAAAAGGGAGCGTACACGTTTTTCAGTCTGAAATGGTATTAATTTCTGTGTCAGTAAATGGTAGAGTTGCAAATACGCCTGCCAAAAAATTAGTGTGCACACTCTGTAGTAGTTTACATGTAACGGCGGACGTATAAACCGTGCGCTGCAAAGGGGAAAATAGGCAGCGCCATGTTAATGCTAACTAACGACTCCACACCTGCCAGTATTATTAGTTAACTATTTAACTATTAATACTAATAATATTTAGCTAATAATTTAGTACCATTAGTTAACTATTGTATATTGTATATATTTGTGGTTGCAGCATTGCAGCCTGTACAGCTAAATTCTGCAGCTTACTTAAAATGTTGTTCGGCCACTAGAATGCTAATAAAGCACCTAAGTGCCTCCTGGACATAATCATTGAAAAAAGCGTTTCGCAGGCGAAAACATGAGAGTTCATACCGGGTCCGGTGTCATAGGTGCTGGCGCCCAGATCAAAATAATACGCCTTCCCTGCCGCCGTCTCCGGTGCATTCCACGCCGTCAACAGGTACTCCTTATCCGCCGCGTACCGCTCATGGTACGACGCGGTGGAAACGGGATCCGGGAGACACGTGTACGGATGCCGGGTTACCATCGCCAAGGGCTCGATGGGCACGCGGACCTCATGTTCGTCACAGATATCCCGGTAGCGGAAGGCGCTGAAGATACCCTTGGGTGCCGGCTTCACCGGACGCCGGTACTGGGCCCGTGCGGTGTAGGTGACCCAGGCGTCGGCCTGGCGGCGTTGGGCGGGGAACTGGGCGCAGGGGTCCCCTTGCCATTCGAGGATGTGGTTGAGCCATAAGAATTCGAAGGCGCTGCTTTCGTAGCCGATGAATTCCAGGGTGCAGTCCCGGTTGTTGGATAATATATCGCAGTTTTTCGGCTAGAAACATTAACGAACGCCTTGCAATAGAAATATGTACATACCTGGTTTATTTTACGCATATGTTTGCCAAATTGTCCATAAATTACCACCCTAGTGGGTGCTACTTTAATAACCGTAAACTGCGTACGCTTCTGCATCTGGTATCGAGGCTCCTAATTTCAGGTTGTAAATTGGTTTTTGTCCATGATGTACAGTTTATGAGCTGAATATCTCGAGGGAAGTTTTTACCAAGAAAAAGGTTCATTTTTAAAAATTTCGTTAAAAGCCACGATACGTCGATGACGATCTTATTGAAACATACACGCAAAGTGACTCGAAATAAGGGACAATCAAATTTCCCCGCAAACCTAGCTCCGACTTTCGGTAACACTGCGGCGTATTTTGCTCTAAAAGAAAGGTTGACGCATGGATGACACTTACATCGACCGGACTGATGATGCGGGATATTCTGTAGCCGAGAAGGAAGCAGGACGCCGCCAATACTATACAGCACAGTATTTCCTTCCAACCATATTTCGATGCCGTTGAAAACATATTGTTCCGTTGTATTAAGAGAATGTTTGTAACTGTTTGTGCACAATACCCAGCAGTTGAGCAACTTCCGCGGTTGATCTTCGCGATCATTGACACTCCGCTTTACCGGCTGATGCGTACAGTAAGTAGAGATACAGTGTACAATACAGTACACGTACCGCTGCATACGAGTATTTCTGATGTATAGTTTCATAATAAATCGTGCGGTCCGATAGGTACAGATTGTTACGGAATTTTGTATGCACGGAAAACCGGTTTTGTCTTTCTATGGCTTCTTCGGTAACGTACAATATCGGTGCTTGTGATTTCTACGGTTATTGTGGTACATATGGTTGCCTTATTGACTGCACGGGTGCGCTGTAGGTTGGATGCTTGCGGCATCGTGCAAAAGCGAGCTCGCTAAAAAGTTTATTTAGAGAATAGATTCTGAACTGCACAACCTGATCATTCATTCACCACTACATGAATGGCATTAAATGCATGGGCATGAATATGAATGAATTACACTATCACTACATACCAGTATTGTATACCACTCATTACTTTTCTAAAGATTCTAACGGTACCTAAACTAGGCTGATCTTAATTTATCACGGTTCGGAACGCTGCTGGTTAATTCTTTATTATCGGTTTCGTAAATACAGCTCTATGATGAAAGGATTTGTTTATGTACTGGCGAAAACCCACACAAGTGTTTTAAGAAGCACTAAGATGTGTACGTAAGCTATTTCAGTTTATTAAGGAATGCGTAGTACTCATATTTTATTGCACCGTCGTTAATGGAAAATCGTAGATTTTTTACGCCAACTTCTGACAAATTCGGAATCCTTTTAGCTGCCGTACTTCTTCATTGTTGTGCCTATACGGCAAATCTGGCAGTTTTTTATAATTTTGAAGTGAATTTCAAATATTTCACAATGCTTCTTTCTGTTAAATCCAGGAAAATTCTACAAACCGAAATTTCTGATTCAGAATTAAATCACTGTTGTTTTTTACAGGAAAATTTCGACACGAACGGCTAGCGATTTAACTTTTAGTGCGCGGCAACCCGTTGAAAATTTTGCACATTTAAATTCGTCTAGTCTCACAATTTGTCTCCTCTCGGATAACTAACGAAACGTTCCAGCTGCCGGTAGAATTGTTCTATATTCACACTAGTAGGAAAGCTCGTCAGCGCCACAGGAAACAGGCAATACGGTGCACAATTGTCGGGTCCATCCAGCGGCGAAATACTGTTGTCGCCATACACTGTACATATCTGTAACTGACACTCTTTAAGTATAACCTTTATACAGGTATTGCGCACTTCGGGACGGATGCCCAAAGAGCTGTATCCGTCGATAAAATCCCTGGCTGCGACGATGCTGTTGAAAAAGACCAGATAGCGCAGTCTGATCTGTTTGTGCTGCAGAATGCGGCATAAAGCCAGTAGGCTTTGATGGTGGCGGCCGTGTAGATAAATAACGCTGGTCGCTGCTGAGGCGCAGTGGTGTACGGCCAGCGCCAGACTATACGAACTGGCGATGAATTTTCCTTCGCGGAAGACAAGTTCTCTTTCCAGGGATTTCCAGCTGAGGACGTCAGCCCAGAACCTCGATACACTAATAAAAAATAATTTTACTGGGTCATTTAGCAGAATACCTTGAACGAATAACGCATTTCCGGAGGAATAAAGCCAAGTACGAATAAAGTCGTATATATGTTTGTGCAGCACATATACATACATATATATTTTGCAGAATGTATATATTTTTGCAAATTGCTAGAATGATATTTGTTTTTCTAGTGTATCATAAGTATACATGCTTTGTGCAAAACTATTGCAGATCTGCCGCACATTTTGACGATCTGTCGTTGACATGCGTCGAGGTACGCGCACACATCGCCAAACAGATCCACCGTCAGTTCTTCAAAGCCAAACCAGTCTTCCATCGAGCTAGAATCTGTTCGCGTCGGATTGTCAATAATATTCACAGTTAAATTTCTCTGCTGCAGTTCCGCCGCAAAACGTCGCACTTCCGGCGTGAAGGACTCGATCATACTCGTCCTACAGATCACCCAGACACCGTCCATCTCGACACCTACCAGCACGGTTGCGGTTTGGTCCGTCCACTCCCATTCCGCCTGGAGGTCCTGCACGCGAGCAACGGCTTCCGCACAAATCTGCTGCAAATTAATCTTGATTTTCTGGAAGGTCTCCGGTCGAACCGCTCGCCGTTTCTTCCGCCGGCGCAACCGGCGGTGCATCCAGTACGGGCCGTCATTGACGACCAACCGACCGCTCTCGGCGGTGTCTACCGTGGCAAGATGCCAGTGACTGGACGGGCGCTGCGCCTTCCCAGTGTTGGGTTGCCACTGTAGCAGTTGACAGGGATACCAGCGCTCGGGAGCGTCGTCGGTTATCCGCAGACGAACCTCCAGTTCCGCAGTTCTTGAGGTTTTCTGGATGTCGTCATCAGAATCATCGTCGCTGACGAGATACGCCCGTTCGAAAGGAACGGTCTCCTGTTGGCGCTGACGACATTGGAAGTTAACGGTCAGATGTGTGGGGTTGCAGTCAATAAGACTGCCGCGTGTCAAGTTGCCGTCGGCGTCCAGGACATCGAGCAGCAATTCTTGTCGACTACAGGCGTACTTCCGTTGATAATGTATATCCATTATGATTTATTTGCTGTCGAAATGCCAGCGCATATATTTTCTGCGCATTGAAGAGCTTAGAGTCATTCTTTACGATAAAACTATGTATATCGGAGATGTAGTGATATGCTGCGACACTCAGTATTTCAGCATTAATGCTCACTGTTAGGCCGATCAATACGTCTGTACATGCGCAATCGATAAACAGCGATGAGATCGAGCACGTCATGCCATATGAAAGTAGCAAAAGACTACGTACAGATACAAGCTTGTCCGGTACTTTCCTACGTAAAGGTACAGCTAGCGCGAATTTTGCGCTTATAACGATGGCCACTTCAATACGTTTATCAAAATCTCTAAATGCGCTCCGCAGTTAGACTGTTGCTTACTGCACCGACCATTTTCTAGCCACCTTCCGCCAGGCAGTTACTATTATTCTCATAAAATTATATGGCGTGTACCAAGCCACCAGCTAGCCAAATGCTGGTTACGTGTTTAAACAGTGTGGCGTGGCGCGCCGTAGTGTGAAGTTTGGCGTAACACGCAAATTTGTGTCAATCGCTGTATTGATTCGTCAGAAATTACCGGACAAGCTTGTACGTCGGTATAATTATCTATTGCATAACGTCGATTGCACTCTCAAACGGTAATCGGTATAATCTGACTATACCGGCATGCGTACCGATAGGCAGATTATTTTATGATCGGCATCCCCACTAGACAGCACCGCAAGTCCATGGTTAGGGAATGGGCGAGCGGCATGGAGGAACCGGCTTTCATTTTGTGGAGGCGATATGCGTTGTGTAAATGTAGAGAAGTACAAGTAACGCACCGGAGCAGCCAATAACCAGCTGACCGGTATATAAGATGCACAATTCGACAAACGACACAAGGACAAACGATGACGATGGTCATTGCAGTTAGCCGCTGGAGTACGTGAGGAAAACCGACACAGTCAATATCCGGCACCGCGACATTTCGATAATTAGGACAAGCATGGCATTTTCCGGTCGCAAATATTTCGCCGCAAAGTCACTTCGCCTTCGCCGCGTAAGGTTTTGTCGCGAGCGTTTGTCGGCAGCGCATGACACCGCAGGACATTTCGTTGCTGGGCCGATTCGCAGCCGAGACATTTCGCCTACGAGCTAAAGATTAACAGGATTAGAATAACAGTCAAGAGAACCAGGAAAACTAACAACTTTATCAGTGGGCGACGAATGCGCTACCAATGTTACGACAAGCCTCCTCGTGTTGAAGCAGAGATCCGCCCGCGTTGCTTACACCGCTCCGAAAAAGATGTTTTCTAAACAAAATGAATGTCGCAAATTTCCTGATATTATTCCGAATCCGATGGCGTTAAAGATTTTTTGTTTTAATTTGCGGTTAATCGTGTCCAGCGGTTACGGGAAATGGAGTTTTAATGTACTGTAACATAACTAAATCTGATTTTCGGATACTGCATAATTAGTGCTATACTTTAATCTTGATTACCGGCTGCTAATTGATATATAATAATACGACAGCATCTCACCAATATATAGTGTCACCTTTGCCAGAGTTTACAGCTGAATCTGCATCTTACTTCAGTCGTCTGCATCTGTAACCAACGGGAAATTATGACCAGTCTGAATCCAGTTCCTCTGAAAACAAGGCGTTTTTCCAGAGCAGGTTTGCACACAGCGTTTTGTTTGGAACACTGCTCAATAGATGTAGTACCTTATTTACATTCAGTAAAGCACACAGTTTTAGCATGCAGCCACTTATCCATACCAGTGCAGCTGTTTGGAAAACCGGAAAATTGTTCCGCCGTCAACCAACCTTAATAAATGAAATTTTGATGCGGTAATCCACTGGTTTTAATATAAAATTATCGATGCTTGATGAATTAGGCATACTATAGAGCGTAAACACCGCGAACAAAGCAAGATATCAGTGCCGTGAGCTTTATGGCAGGTGAAACACAATTTCTGGATGCACAATAATAAAAGTACATAATCTATGACGCAAGTGACTTCATGCAGTATTCAATCTTGCTACTTAATTTCGTACTATTTACAAAGTCACGGCATGGGCACGTCTGTGCTCTGGGCCGCCGGTTTTTAGAAAGTTGCCTTCCGACAGAATTCCCTCATTATTCTGCTTGATCGCTCGACAGTCGTTATGGCCTCCTTATTATCCGGAATTCGTGGCACATATCTTTCCGCGAACAACTGTTTGGGAGACGATCCCTTTTCATATTTTTCAAACCGTTTATAGAACTACTGTACATAAAATCAGCGGGGTCTCCCCGCTCTCCACAACATTTATACATAATAAACGTTCTATAACGTATCTGATAATGAACATAACAGGCAACGTCACCGCTACTGGGAACTGGATCCTTCACGATAACTTATCGAATCCCCACGACTTCGATCTTCAGCGATTGCGTGCGCTGATAAAATTACCCGAGTATACCGTGTCGTTAGTTTTGTCCGTCCTTGTACTGGGGTACTACGGCTATCAGCGTTCCCTGCACACTTCCTTCAACATCTACATTATGCAACTGTTATTCCGCCGCCATGATTCTAGCGCTCCCGACCACCGTTTTAGCGGCTATTGGACGTTCACCTTACGACACATTTTCCCTGTGCGCTGTACACACAGTACACGAATGGGCTCTGCAGACTACCGCCACCATTGGACACGTCCTCATTGCCCTGAATCGTATTTGGGCGGTGACCTGGCCAACATCATATCGCGAGCACCATAATAAAAAGTTCGCGGTTCTTGTCTGTACGGTGACATTCGTTCTGTTTCTGACGTTGCGCATCCCGGGAATTGTGGTGGGACTATCCAAGTACACCGGGGGCGAATCATGCGAAGACAATATGCGAATGCTGCTGCGTACCATGCCCGCCTACTTTTCCGCGATGAGGATCCTGCTGACACCGTGTACCTTGCTGATTCTGGCTAGTTTCCCGTATGTTCTCGGGAGAATGTGGTGGTCGAAGCGACAGACGGCTAATCGTGTCTCTCCAGCAGCGAACAACGTACTACCAGGTAACAATCCAAATCTGTATGATAGCAAGCATAATTAGACCTCGATTTAAAAATTAACTTTACTTTCCTTATAGCTGGTCGAGGAAATTGGAATTGTGCGTTTTGTATACGAGGACAACAGCGACGACCTTCACGCAAACTTATGGTGTTCTTCTTTATGGTACTCACCGTCTTTCTGACTTGGTTTCCTAGTGAATTCTACAGCTGGTTCTTTAAGCGTACGGCACTGGGAACCACGATCCTTCATATGATGTTTTATTTGTCCTGCGTAATTGATCCCATTACATTTTTCTTTACGTCCTGGCCATTATCCGCAAAGCGACCGGGAAACCGCCAGCAACCGGGAAACCTGGTGACAATCAGACCCGTTGGATAAATTTGAGCATGTGCATGCTACAGCTTTGGCGTGAACCGATGACTACTGCATTATGCATCGCATAATTGTGTTACATCTACTGTATTTTAATAATGAATCTGTACTCTAGCAGAATTCAAAACCATACCATTTTGTTAACAAAATATCTAAAATTCATCTCTACTGCACGAAGGTTAGGGCAAGTTATCTTGTAACTGCCAGTCTTTTAACGGGTCGTCACGCACGTAACAAATATTCTAATACACTGGTTGGTGTGCATTGCACACTGTATTTCTGAGCGGTTCCTCGAAGGATTTTGCACAGCTACTGCAAGCAATGCGATTTGTATTACAATAAATCTCATAGGTTAAAATAGGGCGTGTTATTACACAGTTTGTGTATTATTAAATGTGTTTTGTGTATTTTTTAAAGTCTCAGATGTGCAACATTAAAAAAGTTTAAATCAGTTGAGAAAAACATTAGAAGGGTCTGCCCGATAAAAAAATTCAATTTAAATTTGTATTTTTATTGGAATTTATTAATTTCTTAAGGCAAAATCTGCCGTCGGCTTCGCGCGTCGCGCGGAACTATATGCAACACTTTGTAACGGTGGACATCGTGCTCAAAAGACGCCCGAAAAAAACATTCTAACCAACAAGAATTCATGGCTCTTCAACAGGAAATTCGAATATGCCTAAGGTTTGTCTGTATCTTTGGCAAAAATCGGTTTCAAAAAAACCTGCACTAACACTCTGACAGCAATAACCGCTTCATTTTACGTGACCTGCATGGATCTGAGTATTTATTTAATTGTAGTAAAAGCTGTCTAAAATACTCGTTGCTTTGCTATCGTTGTTACTTATTAGAGCAAAACTCCAAGCGTTGTTTTCGGAAAATAGCTTGTGGGCTTTGCGCTACGCGCGAAGGTTTCCTCATTCACAGTATCATTAGGTTGTTTATATAAGATTACATATCTGTATACGTAGCTACTTAACAAGAATGCTGGGCTCATAACCTCCCCCCCCGGAGTGCCAGGGGCAGTCCCCTGGTGGAATGAGGGAAGTGTGCATTATTGAATTTCTACTATTTTAATCCCTGAATTAAATCTACTGATGTAACTTTTAATAAGTATCATGGTACGAGTACAAACTATGCACCAGAACATCTATGCTATCCTGATCGGGGATCGTACCCATAACACAAATCGCGTTTCCCCGTTGTATTTGCATAGATATTCGCTGTTTAAAAAACTCTTTCGCCCACTTTTGGCCAGTTGAAGTCGCTATGCCGTTTCCAACCGTTTCTAATAGCTTTTTAGTACCGTCTCCAAAAGGTCCGTAAATTTCGAAGGCTGCAGCAACGAAATCGTATCTTGTTTGCATCCAAGCGTGTTTCGCCAGTTTCTTTCTTTCAGCAAGTTCTGACCTTTTCGATAATTATGGAAACTTACTCAAAGATTTACTGGGTGATTGGGCACACTGTACGAAACAGTACCTTAGATAATATATAATTTTATGGTACAAATTACAAAGATGCTTCAAAAACCTCTGACCACTAACAGTAAAGTCCCGTAGACGGTAGCACACCAATCCCCGGACATTCGTTTTGCTTTCCGAGAAACTGCTGCTCACCACTTCTCGCTGACAGATAAAGGACCTTGGCCTACGATTTTGTTATTCAGCCAAATCGCTCTCAAACATTTCGCCGAAAATGTTAATTTTCATTGTTCGTTTCCTCTCGCTTGGCGGTCCAGTTCAGACATTTTTAGAATTTCTAGGATTCCTAGCCTTTTTTCTTACGTAACCAAGTGGTTTTCTTGGGGTTTCTTAATTTTCTGCTGTTGCTCCTTAGAATTTCTTAGTTTTCTATTCTCTTGGATTTTCATAGCTTAGTTTTCCTTAATTTGTTTGTCTCAGTTTATCTTAGCGTCTTCTTCGTTTGTTTTCTTAGTTTCTCTAAAGTTTCCGAGTTTGCCTGGGATTTAGTTTTTTTTGGTAAATTGGACCGACAAATTCCGACCGACCGACTCAACGATTTGTTGAATCGTTAAATCTCTGATAGACATATGTACGTATTGCCGAACGTTTGCTGAACACCAACCATCTGCTAACATCAAGTTGCTGACCGACAGAAAAATTTCCCAAACACAAAAAAAAGACACCACAAAAGTCTAGCGAACTAAACTACAAATCGGAAAAAGAAACAAAAGGTCGTCAGCAAATTCTCTCTATGCCGTTGTTGATAGTAGTAAACACCTTGATATTACTTCATAAATTTTGCTAATTTTGCCCTTTAGTGCTATGTGGTTTTTTTTTCTTTGCACACAAGATAATTAGGACACATTTGTAGACAAAAAACCGGTTCATCTCAGCCCAACGCTGACTGCAAGTATTTTCGAAAACGGGCGAAAGCATCGCGGCACAGCTGATTGGGTGCGGAATAATAGCGAATATTGGCGTACACCGACTGCTCCGGGTTACCATCGGACAGGACGACTTGACCTTTCTGACACACCGCCACCACGGCATCCCGCTCTGTCGTTTCGGAAACAGCACTTTCGACAACGGTGTTCCGTTGGGAGAGAATGTGCTTGTGAATGTTGATGGCGATCTGTCGGCAGCGGAAACTGTCGTCCGATTCGAAAAGCAGAGCCGTCGCGTTGGTTGGATCTGTATGGTTGTACGAAAAGATTGTAGTCGTTCCGTTGCAGCGCACAACCAGCGGTGGAACTGTCGTGCAGATAAGGAACTCCTTCGTCCAGCGATCTACCGGGATAATTGCTAGGGAAGTGTTAAGGTTCTGGTTCGGGTTCCGCGGGAACTTTTTCGTGTAGATGAACGTAACGAACTGGTGAAGTTTCTCCCGGCACTCTGCACTGGAGTCACTGTCCAGCGTCAGTTTGGTCACACTGGCGGTGTTGGCATCGCTTACATCCGCAGTCAGTGTTCCCTGAGAACACACAGCGGTAACGATTCCTGGCAGGCTTTGATTGGAGTGGCTGATGTCGGCCATTTGCAGGAGCTTAACGTGGATGTCATATAGGGTGCTGCGGCAACGAAAGCCGTTTATGGCGGAGAACGCCACAGCTGAAGCGTCGCTCTTGGGCAGATCGGGTTCGCTGGTAGCCATTTCGCCGTTGCCGGTGCAATTGATGACGATGGGCGGAGCTTCGTAGCACACCGCGTTCTGGAGAGTGGCTGTTTGTGAAGGACCTTCAAAAGAGCAAACGGTTTCTTATGACCCTGGATTTCATAGGCTTTTCAGCTTACAATTTCGAAACAGGTCGAGCGTGAAGGCGGAGCGGTCGGTATAGGAACGTCCAGCGCAGCTGAACAGAATCCCGGTGTTTGTCAAGGGTTTTCGAATACTGGATGCCCATCGCAGTACGTTCTCCATTTCACAGCAGGAGCAATCTGTTTTGGATGTACTGGAACAGAAACTGTTACTTTCCAGGTCAAAACTGAAACTCGACGGCTTCCGCGGTGCGATGGCCTGTAGGACTTCGCGCGATAAATTCGTCAGGCTATTAGAGCGGACAGTAAAAGTTGTCAGTAAAAACTGCACGCTGGGGTCGCTGTGGGTAAGGGAGTTCAACCAGGGACTTTGAGAGCTCAAATCCAGAGTATCCTGTAATCAGATTTTCTTAGCAGAAAGTATGATACGCAATGTACTGTACATAGGACAATACTTTTTTTATCACATTTATCAAGTACAGCGCAAACGGCTGCATTCTGTTTTCAAAGTTTCGATATGATTTCGTAGTTTATACTCGTAGCACATGCATATATTTGTAGATCATAGCAAATCGTACGAGTATGCACGATTCGCGACATCTTATCCGATTAGTTCATCAAGCGCTATGGAACACGCACCAAGCTTTGAGCAACTGGTCGGAACACTGTTAAATCGATGTGGCGCAGGGCGTTGCTGTTCAGATTCAGCTGCCGTAATGTTGGCGCAACAGTCAGGTTGAAGTCCGGCGCACGCGGGTAGCTGAGCGCCTGGAATGCGTCAGGAGCGATCGCCTGGATGCGGTTGTTGGTCAGCGACAGCACCGTCAATGCTGCAAATCTTCGCAGCAGCTCAGCGTCAACAACGTTAATTTGACTGTAATAGATACTCAATTCCGTAATCTGATGGGCAATATTCTGAAGGAAGCGGCCGAACGGTGGGTGATCGTGACCGGTTGTGGCCTGGAAACCCTGGAGCGTCACCCGCACCAGTGCCGATCGCCATGGCAACGGTTCGCAGTCCTCGCGCAGTGTATTGCAGAAAGTTTGGTAGTGAACGTTGGGGCACGACAACTGCAGGTGGCGGACATTCGGCACGAGGCTGACGTCGAAATTCCCGGGAATATCCAGGTTAGCCTGCGTGCAGTCCAGGCTGGACGCGGTGTAAGCACAATTGGGATGTGGCAGACCGTTTAGAGCAGCAAAACACAGCAGCAGCACCACGGTCTTTAGAACGCCACTATACAGCGGAGGCGACTGCATTTTACCGGTAATGAAAAAAGCGAATTAAGAAAAACCGTACCGCGGCCTTAGTGGCGGCAAGGGCTCATACTAAAGCCGCATTCAATAACCCGGCCGGCGTGTGCAACGCGGAGATGCCAGCTTGCCGGTTAGATAACGCTGATAATGCGAGCTTGGCCACTTATCAACGGCTTTTTATCAGTATTATTGAATGCAGTTATGCAGATATTGTATTTGCAGCTCAGTTGTGCGATATGTAGTCCTATTAAAACTACAATACTTCTGCATTCATAGAGAAGCCTAACCGCAATCTCGTAGTCATTTTGTAGTAGTAACAAACGACGAGCGCAACTAGCACCGGTAAAGGAACGTGATATTCAGCACACTGAATAATAAACGGCAAGTCTTGCATCCGCCGGTAAAATTATTATTGTTTACGTCTATCTTCGTATTCATAAGATATCCATCAATTGTTTCGCTTTCGCGCGTTTCAAAACACTTTTCTTCATTGTTTCTCTCTCATCCTGTCCGTTGCAACCAATTAAGTTTGTAGACTTTGACCCTAACACCGTTTTGTGCTGTGTGTAACCACAAGATTGCTGAAATATGACGAACTAAAATGTCTAAGATGTTAAACAACATTGTGTCGCATCCGAAAGCCAGGTTATCATCCGGCACTTCTTGAACTTTGCATCAAAGGCCCATAATCACATTTCTAAAACATTTTGACCTAGTTGAAGTTTCACAATGAGTACACATGTTTTGAAACGAATAAAAAGTGGAAATGTGCAAACGATTCATGAGCTAGAGTCTACCAGTGCATATTTTCCGGGTCTAAATTCAGAAAATTCTGATATTTTCTGGAAAGGACCCTAATAGAATTAAAAATTAATCTGCAAAAATAATCTAATAGAATTAAAAGAATAATCTGCAAAATAATCTCTTTATCTGCAAAGACTCAAAGGGCGTGGCCAACCAACAATTAAATGATAACGCAGTATTACATACCATTACTGCTATTTAGAGCACAGGTGGTGCGCAGTCTAATTATGATAACTTCGTTTTGATTTTGCGAGCGCCGCACTAATTGTGGACCCTTTCAGCACGCACCCTCCCCACCCCTCACACCATCCTAGCCAAATTAACATTGTCGGGAATTTTGTAAAGGATGAGCGAAACCTTAAACAAGGAGTGCCTGCAGGAGTACCTTAAAGGAGGACTGCAAAATTAAACTGCATAGTTAGCTTATGCAGTTTAATTCATCGTAAAAAGATTCATGGTTAAATTTACATTAAAAAAAATGAGTGATTTCCGGCCAGTATGCAACAGGGTCAACAGGGTTTCCAGCCATATTTATGGTTGGCTGCTTCGATCACAACGTCGTTTTATTGTTCTTTTTACCTATTGCAGTCGAAGAAGACATTGTGATATGATAAGAAAAATGTTTATTATAAAAGCCCTCAGATGTCCTTATGTGTTTGATATTTTGATCAGTTGGCTGACAGTGTTCTGGTTTAGATACTCTCCTAATGTGCAACGGCTGAAGCATATGAAGTGTGCGGCTCTGGTCACTGCACTGTGCCTGTTCAGGAAGCGTGTTACTGTCCTACGCCAATGCCCGAGCGGTGGAATTTCCACTAGCTGTTTTAGAAAATTCACAGCGTTTTACAGAAGAGCTGCAGACTTTTGTGTGATACTGAAATTGTGAGGTACTCACACGAAGTTATCACTAATTTAATCCCAAATTTTAATCATAACAGCCGTTTAGATCTCTTCGCAGAAATTTACGTTATCTTTTCAATGTTTTTTATTGAACAGTGCAGGATTTTTATGGCGTGTTGATAAAAAAACTAAATTCACTGTGCAAAGAGTTATCTTTGCTCTATCTGCATATTTAGCCCAGTCAACGAAAATAGTCCTGACGTTGTAAAAATTGGCGAACTTTACTAGTAGTTTTTCCACCTAGCAGGCGTTGCCGGGATAAAGGCGGTTAATAAACATACCTAATTTTTTGGTATGCCCTAACAGTTTCGTCAGTTGTCAATCACCAGCTAAATGTTGCGCGCACAGCCGATTGGTCGCGGACTAGCGACATTGTAAATAAAGCGATCTGTTAGCCCTTGGTTTCTACTTTCTACAATTGTGTTTTTCAATCAAGCAAGCTCTTCATTGGTAGAAGGGAACCCCATACGACATTACAGTAACGAAATCATAATTCCAGCGTTATGCAATGCCGGCATTGAGTCGTATCCGGAGCTTGTTGGCTTTTTGCGCGAAAATAAAAAGCGCCCGGATGTAGCCACGCGTTGGAAGTGGTACCACGACAGCCTTTACAGACAGAGACACGATAGCGGATTCGTAAAACGGCGCGACTTCAAAGTGTGCTGGCGCCGCCGCCGAACTTGCTTTCAGAAAGATGATGGAGAAGTACAAGTCTTTTACTGATCGTACTACAGATATTTTGTGCCGTTTGCATGCGAGGCTTTTGGCACTTGGTGTGAGGCCGGCATTGTCTTGTTAAAGGAGATTTTGGAAGAAACTGTTTTTAAGGACAGGCGAGAGTCGCTCTATCTGTTCGTGTGTTTTGTTTCAGCATTTAACGGTAGGGATTATGCGTGGTAATGCTATGAGTGTATTGTGCACAGTCCCTTGTCATTAACTGGGGCAAATTCTTCATTTGAATAAAATATAAGAATAAAGCGTGCTGTAATGCTTGTGCAGTGGAATACAAATTACAGCTGCAGTGCATAAAGTAGATGCCGGTCATAATTTTACAAGCGAAGGTCGTCAAAAAAAAGGCCAATTAGGGGCAGGACTTTCAACTGTTCAACATCATCCCGAATGCCCTCCATCGTAATCCCATACAACTTTTCATTGAAACCGTCTGGTAATTGAAAGCCATCAGTCCGCACGTCATCCCAGAATTCCGCTAACCGTCGATAGTTACTCAATTCGCGTTCGCGACTCTCCAGTTTAAGTTGATCACCGCCAGCCGCTACGTCCGCAGTTTTGGTTGCAACCAAGTTATCCAGCAATTCTTCCATGATATCTTTCCCCGGCAGCGCCGTGTGTATTTTTAAGAAGCAGCGTATCTTCGCCGCCAATAAAAGCAGCCAAAATTTCTCGTCGCTTTCCTGACTATCGTCATCAGAGCGCTGGTTCAGCGCTGTAACGGTGTCTTCCAACTCGGCGATCTCCTGGTCCTTGATCTCCAGCACACGGCGAACCCGCTCATCCACGGCATTGATCTCAACTGGGCGCACTACGCTGGTGATGTGCCGGTGCGAGTCCCACGCACAACCACAGCGCCGGCACCGCTTTATTTCGACATCCATGCAACAGCACTGCAGTCCATGCTGCGATGCTTCGGCCAGACAGTAGCACACGCTATGGCACGCACGAGAGGTGGCGCATCGGGGACTTACACAGATGACACGCGGATGTGGCAGCGGAACCCTCTGCCAATCAATCGCCGACCAGTAGAGCTCGCGACGCAACCGGTTGCGGTCTCGCTTGGCGCGTTCCACATCCGCTATTTTGCTCTGGATCATACCAGAAAAAAATCGTGGCGCAATATCAGCAGTGCGCGCCTGGGCAGCGATCATCTCCACGAGTTGCTCCAACAGTTGCCGCGTCGCGGTTAATTGTTGCGTTGCCTTCACGTTATACGGAGGCAGCGCCGTTACGTGCTGCAGTAGCCGTTCGGATTCTTGCACACCGATTGTCCAGGAAGCCGACATGGCGTTCGTTACGGCAGCACCGAACTGAATTCCAGTTTGTGCTGCCGTTACACAGCGGAAGACATCGTTGTCGAAGCAGTATATTGCTTCAGGATTTAATTTAACACCAGACAATTCCCATTCCTGTAGTTTTGCCACGGTGTCAACCGGGAGGTTTACCGGTGACCCGGCATCGGTAAACACGAAGACGATATTGAGAACGATATCACGGTGCAGGCGACTCAACAAAGCTTTCAATAACTCTTGCAGCGCCGGTGTCATGACGATGTTACGGGATTTCAACAGGATGCAGATGCCGTGGAGCTCCACGTAATTTTCCAGTAACTTCAAGATAGCGCCCGCTATTCGCCGGATTTCTCCCGGTTCGCCACCGTTACTAACAGTGGGTGTGTTCAGTATGCGAATAATTCGGCCGGATTTTTTTACAGTACAGATTTGAAAAGTAACCACCCCGGGGCGCACTGCAGCGTTGTCAGCGCCACTGGAGTCATTAGAAACGACGTGTTTCCGCAGATCTTGATCCAATATCTCGAAGTGTACCGGAACGGCAATACCAGGTTTCGCCAGAGCTTCATCCAGTGATGAGCGCATTAAGGAGAGTGTGAAGCCGTTAATCCAGAGGGCTTTTTCCGAATGCATACCGTCGCCTGTTGCATAAAAAAATAATGATTTTGATTGATTTTGATGTAGCGATGTTCAATGACAACTGCATCTGTTAAGGTTCCTGCTACATTTAACGCATACTGTGCAAAGCAGGCTCTCCAGTTCTGGCGACTTATGCGCACTAAATGTGCCTCTGTTGCACACTTTATAAATTTCGCTTTATAAATTTTTGGCCCGCGATCGATTGGCCCGCTTCCACGTTTTTTGGTAGGCCTGCACTGTGCGTGTGCTTTAATTACAATAAAGTGTATGACTGCTGGTCCGCCATATTGTAGTGCTTACCGAGAACCAGGATGGTTATTTCCTTGGCGGATTGCGGCTCGTTCACGTCCGTGGGCGGCCTTTCTTCTGTCTGCTTAAGCGGCTGCGATTCTTCCACCTCCTTCAACAGTGGTACCTCTAATTTCCACGGAAAATCATTAGAGATTTTTTGGGATAACCGCGCCATTTGTTCGCTCTTAAAAACATCCATAGTGGAGCATTAAAACAATTGACTTGGAAGTAGTTGGAACAAGGTGATATTGTGATAATTAACCGTTTACTGGCACGGGCTGTTCATGTTTCGTTCCGATCCTTCAATTAAATGAACGTGAGTACCGAGTTTCCGTTAATTTTAACCGCCCAGAGAAAGGCGTTTCAGTGATAATGACCGTAGAATACATACAGATCTGCCACATATCACAGAGCAAAAAAAGCACAAAATATTAGAGTGTAATAATAGCAAACATCTGTAGTTGGAGCACACATCACCACGATCAACATTGCGAGTCGCTTTGAGGTATGATATTGATTACTGTATATGGACTGAAAACGGTGTAAACTTGAGGAAGGCATGTGCAGTGTTGTACTACGTTGCAGCGGTTCAATAAGCCGCCAGCTCACCAACCGGTTCCTATTCTACAATGCGCCTCTATAACCTCGTTCATGCTGCTTTACCGGCGTAGTACTTAACGAGTGCGTTCGGAGCAGCTGGGCCAGTAACTGAGTAATGCACCTGTCTGCCGCACATCATCAGGCCTGAATAAGCGTTTGTGTTGGTTCAGCGTGTTTGCTTGCTCCATTTTCTACGGCGCAACGGGAAAGTGGCAACAAAGGAAGCGAGGTCGATGAACCGGTACGTCGATGGTAACCATGGGTACGTCACAGTCCAAGTGTGAAAAACAGACAAAAAAGCCGTTCTGAATCACTGACTACCACCAAACGGTATTAATTATTTGATTGTAAGCCGCTTCAGTCATTTGGATTTTATTGTATTATTTGCAGTAACTACGAAGCACACAAAAGGCACAGTTCAATGAAAATCTTAAAAATGCTGCAGTTTTTTGCTTGAGTCAGTTGCCGTTACCTAGGTTGCCGTGCATTTTGCGGCCGTTTCTCGGTTTCCATCGGATGGCGCCCTGCTTAGTTTTATGTTGCTCTTATGCAGAATCATAGAGTAAGGTCGTTTTTCGTTCTTCAGGATGTAAATGTATATAATCTGAACGACAAAGTACGTACAGTATCGACGCTCTGCATCTTACAAAGCGTATTATTTCAGTTCGTAGTTTGTGACTGAACAAAGTTAAGGGCCCTATTATGGGCCCTGTTATGGGTATCTTAAATTGACCCAGGACTTTAAATTACAGAGATGTTTAGATTTTAATTCTGTTGTCTGGTTTGTGTAACTTTAAATCGCACTTAGGTATCTGGCTTCGAATGTCCCTGCAGAGTATTTTAGAAGAAGGGCATCCGTATTCCGGCATCCTACATTTTTTTAACAATCTACGCAGCTGCGTGCTCCTTCAGCATTCAAACCATTTTGAGCCGAAGATGCTTTCAGCAGTGCTGCAGCAATATTGCGTCAGACAAAATTTTTACTTTCGAAATTACCTTAAATGCTGCACTTCGCTGCGTTAGGCGCAAATTTAGTGTTATGATTGTAACCATTGCAAAGACAGCAAAGCAAACATTATAATGCGGCTGTGATTAATTTGGCCGGGTTCACTGTTTAACAGCAGGGTGATATGCCGTGCATCGCTTGCAACACCATATTTTTCGCTATCAAATACCGCTGAGCGATACAACAGAACTGTTTTGAATGAAGGTTGATTAGTTAATCGCATTGTTCGAGAACTAAACAGTGATTTTCTCTCGTATCCGTAGAACCGTATCTTTTAAACAGTGATTACGAAATAAGCCGCCTCTGCGTTTGTAAGTAGGTAACAATTAAAAGGAAGAAGAAGAATTAAAGGTCGGTGATAAGCAGTTGTTCTCTTGGGCACAGAACGTTATCTTGCCGGTAAATTGCCGCTTCTGCAGCGCCTCATTGCGTAAGTGAAGTAGGTATTCCATATGTCGCTTTAAAGCACCCATGACATGACTAACTTTGCCAGTTATAACTGCTACTAACAACCGGCAAAAATGAGGTTTCCTATTCGGCTTCATAGTGTGCTGTACGCACTGGTTTCGCTACTACACATAATCCCGCTCCACGGCCTGCCCCATCCCAACTGCCGTTATACGTCCTCTAATCTGGAATGCACCAGCACCAACCTGGATATTCCCGTGAATTTCGATGTGACCATGGTTCCAAATGTGCCGCTTCTGCGTCTATCCTGCCCGAATTACGCCGCGAAACTGTATTGCAATACTCTACGGGAAGACAGTCCACCGCTGCCCGGGCGACCGGCACTAGTCACTGTGGAGCTGAATGGCTTTCAGTCCGCCGGCTCCGGTCAGCCGGGTTTTCGCCGGTTTCTGCACAGTTTGGCGCCGCAGATTACGGAACTGCGCATTGGTTATAGTCGAGTGGGCACTGTGGATGCACACCTGCTGCGGGGATTCGCGGCGCTCCGTACCCTGTCGCTGGCTAACAACGATATACCGGCCATTGCACCGGGCACCTTCCAAGCGCTCCGGTTTCCGCTGGCGCCCGCTGTTCACACTTCCGTTTCAACGAGACTCCGGGATCTCTATCTGCAGGGCAACGCACTGCGCCAAATCGATTTATCGGTTTTTAAGCCGATTGCGCAAAGTTTAGTAAGAGTTGCACTTGGGCAGCTTTTGCATTAGAATCGCTTGTGCTAGCTCTGATAAGATATGTGTAATGACAGCAAAAAAACCTTCGCCACATATATTTTACCGCATCGCTCCACAGGAAAAAATAGTTTTCTTTAGCTACGTTTTTGTACAGGCAAATATTATAGCTACTTCTACTGTATGTACTATTGTAGTATTGGGAAAGTCTACTTATTCGATATAATGTACAGATATCGTACAGATACTTATAAGTATTATAGCCTTATCAAATACGAGTACATTACTGCGATACCGAGGCATGACGAACATTTCCTGACTGCAGGAAATCTTGGAGTTGAGCGGTCAGAATCCCAGTTTAAATTCCATCATCCAGAGCCATCCCGGTTTCCAGCTGGCGCTGACGACGTTCAGCGTGCGCTCTAACAGTCTGACGAATGTTTCCCGGGACGTTCTACAGTCCATTACGCCGCGTCCATCATCATCGTATGTCAACTTTGATTGGCAGAGTAACGGCTTCTGCACCATGAAAACCGATTGCTCCTGCTGTGAACTGGAGGATTTCTTTCGCTGGGCGTCTAGTATCCGTAAACCCGGCGGATCATTCGGATTGCAGTTCACCTGCAGCGGCAAATCCTTCAGCCAGAGCTCCACCTTGGCCCTCAACCTTTTCAGCAGCTGTAAGTAAACAAGGTCCCGGGCACAGTGGAGTTCCTCGGCCAAGATTTATAAATTCGGATTAGTCTATTAGACTTAAATTTCAGTGCCAAAGTCGACCCGCATTCAGGTGACACGATGCAAATTACAATCGGTAAACTATTTCAGGCATCACTCAAAAAACCGGTACATGTGTCATGTACTAACTCTTCCATGCATTATGCTTTGTATCGTACGAACACTTGGTTGCGATTCAAGCAACAACACAGTGTAGGACAGTAGGACTAAAAAATTTAAGATTAGGTCCACAGTTCAAAAATATAATAAATTCACCAAATAGTATGCTATATCCACCTTGCAGAAACCGCCAACATTGGTTTTGAACACAGAACCACTTCGCAATACACTTTTACACTGTAGGTGTAAAAGTGTATTGCGAAGTATTTAAGTTTTGAATTCCTCGTTATATTATTGCTTGGAGCAAAATCAAGGGAATCTGTATTCCTACAAACGAGGGAATAACAAATTATTTTGCCAAACTACATATATCCGCATGTCTCTGTTTTCCAGGTCCATTAACATCAGTTAACTCTGATAAAACAGTTTGTTACGAGGCTCCGCCCATCGCCATCACCTGTATTGGCAACGGAGAACTAGCGACCAGCGAGCCCGATCTGGCCAAGAGCGACGCCTCGGCGCTAAGCTTTTCCGCCATTAACGGCTTCCGCTGTCGTAGTATCTTGTACGACATTCACTTGAAGCTCCTGCAGATGGCCGCGCACAGCAATTCCACCCAAAGTCAGCACGGAACCATCACAGGGATTTGTGTCGAGGGACAGCTGACCGTGGATGTTGGGGACGCAAACGTTGCCAGCGTTACACAACTAACACTGGACACGGACTCAAGTGCGGAATGTCAGGAGAAATTCCAGCAGTTCGTCGCCTGGATCTATACGAAAAAATTCCCGCAGAAACCGAATCAGAACGTCACGTCATCGAGCACCCAGATTGTTCCCTTGAATCGGTGGACGGAAGAGTTCCTGATCTGTTCGAAAGTCCCTCCACTGATTGTACGTTGCAACGGAACGGCTACGGTGTCCACCTTCAACGACACAACATCGAGCGATGCGACGGAGCTGGTTTTCCAATCAGATAACAGCTTCCGCTGCCGACAGATCGCCATAAACATACACCGGCATATTTTGTCCCAACGGAATACGGTCGTCGAGAGCGGGGCTCCCGAAGCGTGGAAACGGGACGCCGTGATTGCGGTGTGCCAGAAAGGTCAAGTGGTTTTGTCTGATGGGAATCCGGAACAGGCGGTCTTCGCCAATTTTCGTTACTATTCCGCACCCAATCAGCTGTGCCGGGATGCTTTCCAACGTATCATGAGATATCTGCAGTCGGCGCTGGAATGATTGCAGAACACTACATTAGACTTACCCGTATCCGTTTCTTTCTAGTCAGTGTGCCTGAAGACAGTTGACAGCACCAATGGTATCTGATCGGCACATTGTACGAAAGCCAGCAGCATACACAGAACTTTCGCGCACTATCTAACATTTTTTCGTAATTTTGTATCATTAGTCTAAATTCTAAAGCTAAAATTAATAATTTGTATACAGTGCATTTGCCTAAAAATGTTTTCCAGTCCAAAGGATACACGGACATTTTAGCGTTTTCTTGTCTGCTAATAACCGTGCAGTTTGTACTAATGTGAAGGCTTCAGAATACAAACCCTATTAATATAAATCCACTGTGACCATTTTAAAAATTATTGTTCATGCAGCATGCATTATGCTTCCTTTGACAAAACATTATTACACCGTGTTGTGCAATACCAGTTTGAAACAAGGAAAGCGTAAAGGGTAGACCAGGATCACAACGCAAAATCCCTGAACATGAGGCCATTATTCGGGAAAGTCTTGAGTATTTTAACATCCGCCCGAATGGCTTCCATCGTTACGCGGTGGGGATTCTTAGTCCGAATCTCCTCATTCCAAAACATCAAATACACCCGGTATTCTTTTAAGTCGTGCTGACGAATGCTCAGCTTATCTCGACTGGATCCCGAGGCCACTTTCTCCGTTTCGGCTGCCACCAGATCCATCAGCAGCTGCTCCATGGTGTCCTTCCCTGGCACAGCGCAGAATTCTTTTAGGAAAACCCGCACCTTAGCCGCCACAAGCAGCATTGGCCCCATCTCTTCCCGTTGTCGCCGGTCGAAAACGGTGGGCTGGTTCAGCGGAAGGCTGGCGGCGATACTCTCGTCCTTGGCAATTTCTTGGTCTTTCTGCTCCAATAACCGGCGTACCTTTTCAGCCTGTGGATTGATTTCCGTTTGGCGGCGCAGCTCGTCTCGCTCTGTTTTGGCTTTTTCGATCTCCGCTAATTTATCCTGCAGGATCCTCTGTTTAACGACCGGCACAAATTCACTAGCCCACGACTCGGCCGCGATCATTTCAACAATTGCCTCATACAGTTCTCGTGCCATCGCAATCGGTTGCGTCGCTTCGGTCTTATACGGAGGCAGCGCTTCTATGTGCTTTAATAAACGCTCGGCTTCGTCAGCAGCGATTGCCCAACAACTCGACACGCCTTTCATCATGACGGCACCGATCTCGACTCCATTTTGCAGCGCTAGCATACACCGGAACACATCGTTGTCGAAGCAGTACAAGGTTTCCCGATGGAATTCGACACCGGCCGCAAGCAATTCCTCTAGTTTTGCCACAGTATCCACTGGAAGATTGATTGGCGATCCCGCGTCGGTAAACACGAAGACGATATGGCGACGGGCATCACGGTGTAGGCGACCCAGAACGACGCTTAATAACTCTTGCAGCGCTGGCGTCAGACCAGTACCAGATTTCAGTAAAATGCAGATGCCGTGAAGCTCTCCGAATGTGCCCAAATGTTTCACGATTGCTTCGGTTCTCCGATATTTTTCGGCCGTATCGTTACCGTCCCGAACGGAGAGTGGGCTTAGCATTCGAATAATGCGGCCAGTATTTTTCGCAGGGTAGGTCCCGAAGGTGACCGTACCCGCAAAGGGCACGGTAGCGTTCTCATCGCTGCTGGATCCAATGGAAACCACATGTTTGCAGAAACATGGATCCAGGATTTCAAATTGTAGCGGAATACGAATACCGGGTTTATTTAAAGCTTCATCCAAGGATGAGCATGTTAAAGAGCTTGCGAATCCGCTGATCCAGATGGATTTCCCCGCATCGATTTCTTCACCTGTCGCACAATAATCAGGTGATATACTTTCCATAAGGTTCAAGGTAACAGAAATAATTTAAAGTTCGGAAAGCGGAGTTCGAGACAGTCGGTCTGCGGTTCAGAAATCTAATAAGAAAATCAATCGTTGTGCAAAAGGAACACAACCGGCATGCTGCCTGCAGAGATCGTCTGCCCTGGTTCCGAACAGAGAAGCACTGGTTTGTGCAAAACCGTTAGCAACTTATAATACAATAATTGTATAAAATTTTATGACTGCGTGTATTACGCCGTTTACTGTGGCGCTTACCGAGAATAAGCAGATTGACTTCCGTGAAGTGAAAGTCTTCCTCATCCTCACCCGGATGTATATCTTCGCTTGGCTTGGACAACTGCAACTCTTCCAGTTCCTTAGCAAGTGGTAGATCCGCTAGCGCCCACGGAAAATCTTTGGAAATTTGCTGGGATAACTGCGTTAATTGTTCCTTATTAAGGACCTCCATATTACGTATATTGTGGTGTCGAAGCAAATTAACGTTGTCAATGGCGGCGCAATGGCCTGGTCTCATTAACCGATGATTACCACTGGATGCTGGTGTTCATGCAACCAGTGAAATTAACGATAGTACCAAAATTTAGGCAGGTTTATGCAGTAAAACGATTCCCTTTAGAAAACATCAACACAAAAACATTATGTGCTGTGAGTTTGCTACTTGTACATTGATGGTGTCCCTTAATACAGAGCCCAAGAATAGTGGCTGAAATATTTTATAGCAGTACGACGCGCATGTGTAGCAGGACTTGCACGGTTGTGATTATTGCAGTCTGAAAAATCTTACATGTGACGAAGATGAAAATTAATGTGCTGCTTACGCAGCGTACCACGACAAACTGCTGCCAGTGCACTGCTCATAAGTGGATAACTCACCAACCGGTTATTGCACTACAGCTTACCTCTACAACCACGCCTTCACAAGTAGTGTGCATTTCTCTTGCACTTGACTTTTAATCGCCGACAAGAAAAAAAATTTAAAGCAATGAAAGTACCCTCTTTTTTTGTTTTATTCGTATTGACAAGTATTCGTATATATTCGTATATATTCTTATTGGCAAAAATTTAAAGCAATGAAAGTACCCTCTTTTTTTTGTTTTATTCGTATTGACATTATGTAGAAGATGTGGGCAGTGTGGTGGGAAACGGAAGGAGAAAGTATAATACTCGGCAAATAACTTTAATACTGAACCAAAACTGAAATGCTAACAGTGATGGAAATATCGTACATATCTTAATCTTATATACTCCCGAATACGGGGCGGGATAGAGATGCTGGAGCAAACATACAGGCGTATCATACAAGTACGAGAGACGGGACGATTCCCTTTACAGCAGTAAGCAGTAAGTAGTAAGTAGAAGATTTCGATTACATACTGTAATTTTAGCTGATGGATATGCATGCGAGTTGAAAGGAACTGAACATGCTGCTTCATTGTCAAAAATGAATGGAAACCGATAAATAAGCGGAAATATGTACAGATTTAGAAAACGATAACACGGAAAACTGCATATTACTTTGCTTAATGTGCTCCAAGAGAGGCGCTTAAAACAAGGAGCGTTTATTACAGAGATGTTTAATGTTGGACATGACCAATGCACTGATGATATTTCAGCGCTAGCTAAATTAATTTATTCATCAAGACATCTGTCAGGAATTAATGATCTAGCGAGTGTGCCTAGAGTGGATTCTGACTAATAAGAAAGAGCAAAAAAAGAAGATCTGTGAAACAGAGCATCAGCAGTATCATACTGCTGCAAAGAGTGCACATATCTGTACTCTGTACTGTCCGTATAATTACGCATCCGCGATGGGTATTTGGTTTTGTTACGGTTTGAGTGTCAAATAGCACGTGCCTTGGTGGATTACGGGATTCATCACGTGCCTTTGTTCATGGATACATAGAATATTTACAACGCAGAACGTAGGCGGACGTTTTCCTCAGTAACACCGGACAAGCGCTAGGTGCGCCTAAGGGTGGTTTTCATCCCGATGGGATTCATGGGGCACCCTGCTTACATAAATCTGTTCCCTGAGTCGAAAACAAAACATACTGTACCTTCACATTTACCGTACAGAGCGTCTTTTGTCTCCCTTGTTAAGACAACCATCCAGTCAATTAGCTGGGCGGCATGCCGCGGATTACGCTGAAGAGAACATACTGTGCCCCTAGTAAGCCGGAAATACGCCTTCGCAAAGGTGCGCTGGTATGGCTCCAAAGGACACTGCACTATAGGAGTCCTAACTAACCAGAAAACCATAATCGCTGTACCGGGAAAGGGTCTCCCTCCGGATCACCAAAAAGCCAGCAGGTGCTTTATGGACGCGATGGGATACTCACCGAGAAGCACATACAAGTAGCGAATGCAGCACCACGCTTTGTCCTCATCGATAAACTGTTGCAATATAAAACGTGCAACGACAGCTTTTCCGTAAATGTTAAGGCTTTAAAATGAATAACACATCCACAGTTTTTAATGTTTCTCTCCGGCAACAATATGAGCCGATCCTAACAGCATGGTTTGCCGTGAATCTCACCCTTTTTTCACCGGCCATCATCCTGCTGTGTCTACTGATTTATGTTATCGCCACCGGTACACAGCGACAGTCCTCGTCCACCATTCAGATTATACATCTTCTGGCAACGGAATTCGCTATCTGCGGTATCATGTTCCCGGCATTATGTTTCATGTTCTACTTGCCGACGTTCCGGTTCGTCTATATGACCTGCGATTTTGCCCAGTTTTTCTACATGCTGTTGATTGGTGTGGAGCAGTGGTCGACGTTCTTCCTGGCCGTTAATCGTGTCGTGGGGATTTTTCTTCCGCATTTCTATCAGACCTTCGCCATGCGCCGCCACACAGTCATCATTCTGCTCACCAGTTGGATCATACCGTTTCTGGCTAATCTGCTGATTATCCTGCAGATTGGCGGGAAATCCACGGCTATCACCCAACCATGGAACAGCTGTAGTGTGCAGAAAGCCAACGGTGCGGACTGGGCGCTGCAAGCGGTTAATTATATTTGCACGATTATTCCTGTGGCTGGCACGATGACGGCGTATCTCAGCATCATGATCGGATCATGGTGGACGCGGGCGCCTCAGCGCGTAGGGGACACCAAGACCATCGTACCCAGAAACGCCGCGGCACGCAGACAGAATTTTAAGCGCATGATCAAAGCCCGGATGCTGTTTATAGCAGTGCTATGGTACCTGGTCTGCTATTTGCCGCACACACTGATTGTGTCCAACTTTCCGTACCTGTACGCCAAAAATCCACCGCTGGGTCTGTGGATGCGTACGATCTATATTGCGGGTTTTGCTGGATCACCGGTAAGTATGATTTTATTCAATTCTGTAATACCATGAAGAGCTTTAAAAACTGGCAGAACCTTGGCTAGCTGAGTCACTGTTTTTTTTTGCAGTTCATCTTCCTCATAATGTCACAAGAATACCGCAAGAGATTATGGTCCTTGTTTTCTGCGTTGAATACGAAGACCGGCAGTAGCACTTCACATACGGCCAATTCGACTTCCGGGCAGAGTAGCCTGCATCCCACAGCCGTTAGCGGGACATCATCCGGCCCTTAGTACAACAACGAGCGATAGTATGTTTTCAGCTGTTACAGTGTTTATTTAATGCTAATCATCACGATAGTCAACAGGTTCCTCGCCCGAGTGTATGCTCGTAATTTACAGCATAAGCAGCGAAAATTGTTATTAAAAAATTTAATATCTGTATCTACAAAATTATTCGTCGACGGTTCATGGTTTCATTCGGTGCTTGTATACAAAAAATGCTGACTAAGAGCCCTGTTTCATACAAAAATTGTCGTGGAGAATCGAATTTACGTATCCTTGTGTGAAAGCAATGAATACATTTAATAATTATTATTTGACACCGGAGGCGGATACAGACTTAGTACTAAAAACGAAATAATTATTATAACAGAAAAACTTCCTCTATGCTATCCTTATCGGGGATCGTACCCATTACCCAAATCGCGATTCTTCGTCGTATTTGGATAGACACTCGCTGCTTTCAAAATTCATTCACATGTTTCTGGCAATGGTAGTCGCTATACCACTTTCAGCTTTTTCCACTAGCTTTTTAGTTGCGTTTCCCCCTTTCCGCGAGTTCGGCCTCTGCGCCTACTCTCACGCCGGTGCAGTCGATGTACGAGGCTGCCAGTGTGTCCACGCAGGTGACATCCACGGTCAGCGGTTTTCCGCGCTCCCATGGCACAAGGAAGATCACATCTGGCCTGTTCTTATCTTTCACCGACAGACCTTTTGGTTTCATCCTCGCTGGAAAACGGGCCATTTTTAGCCCACAAGTAATTATACCGTCGTGGCGTGGCAGTCTTCCGGGTGACCGTTTACATCGGAGCCCATGCCGGCCCGGACTGTACACCAAACAGCAACATAAACCCACGGCCAAGACACGACTGCAAACACGACATCGTGCGCCGGCCGGTATCGCCGCGAGAGCGCAACCCAGGGGAACGCTCTATGAAAACGAAATCCGTCTTTGGAAGGTGTTAGCAGGAAAATACTGCCTGTGTCATTCGTACCGTCGAGAGTGGTGTTTTGCTGTAACCTTAACTCTTGATATTGTTATCGTGGTTTAAAAATCAAAAACAAGAAAAAAATGTGTGAACGTATGGCAGTATTTATAGAACAGGGACAGTTTACAAAATGTCGATATTCTATTCCATAATATAAAAAAAGTTTAACGGCATCTGAAAAAGTTCAAGATGTTTCAAAAAGTTTGATGCAGAAATATAGTACATAAAGACTATGCACTTGTAACATGCGTTGCGCAATAACTTAATTAAAAAAGATCTGAATTGTGTTCTGGAATTCAGACTCGAATTGAATTACTGATTTACAGTAGACGCTACCGGCAACCCGAAGTCTTTTATGATCGATCAGCGAATAACCGCGCATCAGAACGACTGAGAAATCATTTTTGACTAAACACTATAAGCAGCTTGCACGTGCAGATATCCTATCAAATGTTTTGTTCTGTCGTTTGTTCCGCTTATCAGCGCAGTTGCATTATTTCCTCAGCAACTGTGTTTAATACAACAGAAGTTGGCGGTTGACGCCGACAGCCGATATCCAAATAAAAACTTAAGATAGCCACAATGGAAAGTTTGCATTCTTGCGATAACAGCGTGCTCATCATTTATCCTGTCCAAGATAAACGTAGCCCGACCATCGCATGATGACATTAAAGTTGTAATAATCGCTATCAAGCTGCTCAGTCTGCAGGCTCCCGCATCGCAAGAAATCGGCACCATGCATCGCCCAGTGATCCTCTTCGCCACGTTACTGCTGTGTATATCCCCGTATGCCTGTCTCCCCCACCCCAACTGCAAATACACCGCCAGCGCCCCAACCCTCCTGGAATGCTTGACCGGCAATAAAAACCTGCCCAGGGATTTCGCCGTGGACCTCGTACCGGACGTGGCGACCCTGCGCATCGGCTGTCCGTCGTACAGCGCCTCGTATTTTTGTAATACGTTGCACGATGACTGCGACCCAATCCCCTTCCGCCCCGCCCTCCTAACTGTCACCTTACAAGGCTTCCAATCTGCCACCAACGGTTCGCGACCGCGCTTCGAGAAGCTCCTGCAGAACGTGGCGCCCCACATCACCGCACTGCACATCACGAACAGCAAAGTTGGGTATCTGGACGCGGAGCTGCTGCGCGGGTTTGCCTCGTTACGGGCGCTGAACCTAGCGACGGATTATATTCAGGATATCGCGCCGACTGCGTTTCAGGCGCTACGTTTTCCTCTGGCGCCAGGGTTTAACGTCAGCGTGTCGTCAACATTGCGCGAGCTGACACTATCCAGTAACGCGCTGCGACAGTTTGATTTAACGGTTCTGAAGCCGGTGTCGTACAGTATGGTAAGTCTAGCGACGTTGAGTTATGGATTTCACTTGGAAATGCAAATACAAGTTTTATCCCGCAATTTCAATCGCATCAACACAGGGACAACACATTTTCACTTTCTAAAAAATTTTGTAATAAATAAAAATTAAAATATGTAATTAAATCTTTTTTCATACAGGTTTCTAATTAAGAAACAAATGATTACGCTACATTACTGCTTACACAGCTTTTTAAAAACTTTAATGAGCAGAAAAAACAAAAAATAAATTCTCTTTGCTATGTTTTTGGAAAACAATTAACCACACAAAAGTCAAATTAATTTTTTATTTTTTGAAAATATAATACTAATTTATTCATTCTAAAAAACAAAAAAACATAAATTAAATTTAACTTTAAATATTATTTAAAAAAATATAACTTTTCTAAACTATAAAATTATTAAACATTTCTATTTTTTACTTGCAACTTAAGATGGTTTGCAACTTAAGATGGTTTTAATGATTTTTATTTCTTGCAGGATGTTCTCGATTTGAGCAGCCAGAACCCTCCCATGACCGCCCTGATGCGCAGCGGTCCCGGCTTCCCGCTCTTCCTCACGAGCTTCGTCGTCAGCTCGAACGGTATCACAAACGTCTCCTACGACATCCTCCGTCCCATCGTGCCGCGAAATCCGTCAAACTAAGTTTTCAACTTTTATACTAACGCTTTCTGTAAGGGCTTCAGCTCGCCGGAATGTGGCTGTTGTGAAGTGGAGGACTTCTTCCGGTGGACACGCGGCTTACGCAAACCCAACACCAACAGCGGTGTCTATTTTTCTTGCAATGGAAGGAGCTTTGATGCCCGTACGGCGTTTACCTCTGACCTTTTCCGCTACTGTACGTATTTCACTGCTTTTTGGACTATAAACGTTTCTTTAATATGCTTTTAAAAAACACACAAAATTTTCGGTATTATTCAAGTCAAGACGTAATTTTCCCAGCCTTCATAAGAAAATAAGGTAGCAGTTCACCAGAGCAGCTGATGATGCACTTGAATGGTTTTTACGTAACGTAACGTAAGGAAGTCCATGCGTCTCTAACGCGGCACATGTGGTACAGAGTAGTAGTTGCTTCCATTTCAAATGTAATTCTTCGTTTGGATTTTCTTTAAGGCCCTTCGGCACCAACTGCGTCAACTGCTGCGACCTGCTACGAAGCCCCGCCCATCACGATAACCTGCAGCATGGCCGGGGAAATGGCAACCAACGAACCGAATGTGGATAAGAGCGACGCGTCGTCCCTGGTTTTCACCGCCATACAGCAGCACGTAGGTCCGGTCCCCAATAGGAATCGCCCATTCTAGTAAGGACTGTAGCCCATATAATTGGGAAAATGTCTATGGCTACAGTCCTGCGTATGGTGGGATACGGTGTGCGGGTGGCGTAACAGCGTGCGGGTGGCAGTTAGCACACATGGCGGTCAACCACCGCCTGTGCACAGTTACCAACTATTCAATTTTGCATACCAGCCTCCTATGCAACCGCTCCTATGCAAATCGTGGAAATTGTCTTTGTCTACCGAACTGAGCCACTTTGCATAGGACAGATTGTGTATAAAACACTATGTACACTGTACCGGAATAAATGTTAATGATTAATTATTGTTGTATACTTACACAGTATTGTGCACTTTTTGTGTGTGTGTAGCACTGTACTTGTTGTTACTGTATACTGTTCTGTACTTCATCTGGAAAATGTTCCGCTCTCCTATTTATACCACTATTAATATGTTTGCGTACTTGGCTGACCAGCCCGACGACGCCAAGACCATCATCCTGGATGAATTTCCTTTCAGCGATTTCCGCGACGTGCCGCTGCTGCGCTTCACGAACCTGCGTTGTCTGTCGGCCAACGCCTGTGGAGTGAAGTCGGTCCTTGGACTGCCACCGCTGCCCAACCTGACCTATCTTCAGTTGAACGACAACCAGCTGGGATACAACCCGGACAGTCCCCATTTCGAGGTGCTCGCGACGGCTACACCGAATCTGAAGCGGCTTACGTTGGCAAACAACGGGATCAGCAGCGACGACATTCTGAAGCCATTGAAGGACTTGCCGGCCCTGCACACGGTGGACCTTGGTTACAACAGCGTGAACCGCACCCATCACCGCCAGCTGTACGATGCCGTGCCGCAGGTTATGCACTGGGACGGAGACGGTGGAGAGACCGACTGCGACAGCGATGCAGAAATGAGCGGTGAGAATTATTCCTTGTCACCGTGATAAATTAATTTTTAATTGCGTTTTATGAAGTTTTTTACTCAGAAAATTTCATGTATTTTGAATCAGGGTCAGAGAAGGAGGAAGAAGCCGACGATGCCTCGATGGCCGATTCAGGTAACTGCTCTTACTAACGTAATTGTTCCAACCTTCGTTTGTAAAATTTTTTCGGCAATTCTTGCAGACAGCACATGGCTGCTGTCCGACGATGATGTGGATCATATTTCGGATTCGGCTTCCGAACCGGGCATGGACGCCAGCGACCACCAGGACGAAGACGGTGACGACGTCATTATGCTGGACTAGTATGGTTTCTAGTATTGTTGAATTATTTCTGTTGTTTTCTGTTACCCCCACCGGAACCCCCACGGGAATTTCCGTGGACAGTATTTTTTGTTCTGCTTTTTGTGCTAGTTACTTCCTTATTTTCACTTCCTTGTTTTCAGTTATACTTCTGAACTCGTACGTGTCCATTGTGAAATAAAATCTGCAAATTGCATAGGAGGCTGGTATGCAAATCGGTGCTTTTCGAAATATAAAATCTGTTGGTCCAAAAATCACTTCGAGTTAGATTCTGACAGTTGAAATTTTGCTCTTGTAATTTTTCGACATTCAAAAATCTGCTGTTGTGCACATTCAGTGTTCGTAATTTCGTTCCGTCGGATTTTGTTATTCTTGAAATTATGGATTGCGAGTTATCGGAAAATGACCTTGTTGATGCGGCAGCTTTAGCGGCCTTAGACGACTTGGTCTTTGAAGATGAGGCAATGGTTTTGTCGCATGAAGACATTATTGATGCTGCCGAGTTAGCCGGTATGAATGACTGGGTGTTCGGTGTGGCTCAAGTAGGAGGTGGTGGCGGTATCCCTCAGGATTTTTGAGTGGTTGAACATGTTGCTGTCGAGGCCAAAGGGCACCGTTTTTCAAAGACTCACAACATGCGTTTCAAGTGGTTTATGGTTAGCGTGCATGATTTGGACGCCATCAGTTTTATTGAAGCACCTGCTGTAATAGTGGCTGTGTTGGATTACATCCTTGCTACTGTTCTGGAGGGAATCGCTGATCACCAGTATGTTCGTGTATCAGTGGAGTCGGCCCATTTGTCCTTTCCTATCTGGACGCCTCCGACCTTACGATCACAGCTGACCGTGCAGCGTTGGATGGCGGAAATATCGAAGGTCCTCAATTCGCATCAAGAGTTGGTCATCGATGATTCGTTTGCGGTTTCCATGGAGCATACGGAGATTCCTTCTGGTCGATGTGTGCAGGACGTCCCGTTGTTATTTCACCAGAAGCTGAAGAAGATGAGGTCGGTCATCTTGATCAACAACGACGACGAGATTTGTATGGCCCGCGCGCTGGTAATCGGTAAAGCTTTTGCGGACGGCCGGGAGGATTATGCCAAACATATTGCCAAGGGAAAAAGGGAAATCCTCGCACTGTCCAAGGACCTTATTGAAGACGCTGGCTTACCCATCCGAGAATACACGCTCGCCGACGTTGCGGCCTTCGAAAAGGTACTCCCTGGATACCAAATTGTGGTTGTCAGCACCATGCAAGCTAATAGTATCGTCTACAGTGGAAAACGCGAGAAAAAACATATTTGTCTGTTGTTCCATAATCGGCATTTTGACGTGTTGACATCAATGACGGCATTCTTCAATCGTGGCTATTAGTGTTTTGAATGCAACAAAGGCTACAACGACCGAAGAAGCCATCGTTGCACTGGGCAGTGCAATCAGTGTTTGCGTCCGAGTTGTCCAATGGACACTTCCAATATGCTCTCCTACACTGATTGTAAAGTTTTATGGACAGTCTTGTTTTGACCACCATAAGTTGGGCCCCAGCACGGAGATGTTATTTCGCAATCGGCGAAGCATCTGCAGTACCGTGAAAATGTGCGACCAGTGCGGATCTGTTTATTCTCTGATGAGACGACAACCAGGAGCGAGTCACTTGTGTGGAGAGATGTTCTGCAAGACCTGTCGAGAACACGTCGTAGGGGACCATCGCTGTTATATGAAGCCACAGAAATTGGGCCCGTTCCAGAAGATGCAGTACTCCGATGCTCAGTTCTTATTTTTCGACTTCGAGACTTACGTTGCTGAGGCCGGGCGGCTGTACCCAAATCTTGCAGTAAGTGCAACGCACGATAGTTAGTAAGATTTTTCAAATTTTAATAAAATGTGTTTGCTATAACTGGTTGCGCAATCTTTTATACTTGGAAACAGGGGTATTTTTTGAATAATATGTTCACAAAAACTAGACAGTGAGATAACAGATGTGATTTTGCTACCCCCACCAAAACCCCCACCGACAGTCTGTTGTTTTTGTGGCCACTGTAGGTGATGCAAAATGACGATGGCGAAGAGTGGATATTTCCCAGAGAGAATGAACCGCTTTGCGACATCACTGATCAGCTGTGCCGATTTCTGTTCAGCGACGACCACCGTGATCATTACATTATTGCCCATAATTTTCAAGTAAGTTCTCCGGTGGCTGTTTGTTTTCTTAGTACATGGTGTTGTTAATTTGAAGGCATTCGACGGGTATTTCATCATGAACTGGCTTCTGACCAACGGTATTGTTCCCCGAGTGATTATGAACGGCGGCAAGATAATGCAACTAGATGTACCGCAGCTCAACATTCGCTTTCGGGACAGCATTAATTTCAACCCGCAAAGCCTGTCCAAATGGCCCGCCACGTTCGGCATTGCAGATACCGCTAAAGGCCTTTTCCCACACCGTTTTAATCGCCCCGAAAACTGGGACCAAGTGACGGAGTTCCCTTCCATGGAGGAGTACGGGTACCGGTTTATGAACAAGAAGGACCGGGAATCTTTCAAGATATGGTACGAAGATGAAGTTGCTGCCAAAGAGAACACCTTTGACTTCCGCAAAGAGTTTGTCAGCTACTGCAGTAACGACGTAACTGTGCTTCGTAAGTGTTGCCTGCAGTTCCGCAGTCTCTTTTTGGGCATCAGCAACGGAATCTGTCCATTTTCGTCGTCCATAACCATTGCTGGATTATGCGGTTTGTATTGGCGTACAAATATCCTCAAGGCTAACCAGATCGGTTTGATTCCACCACAAGGATACCACTCCAACAGAAACCAGTCCGCCAAGGCACTGAAGTGGCTGCAGTGGATGGAGCTGGAAGAGAACTGTCCTATCCAGACCAGAGCCTCAGGAGCAGAATTCAAAATTGGACAGTATTTTGTGGATGGGTACTCGGCCTCTACCGGTAAAGTTTTTGAATTTCACGGTTGCTGGGACCATGGATGCCCTGAATGCACTGCTCCGGATACGTTCCACCCTTTCCGAAACCTGCCCATGAGCAAGATTTATGAAGAAACCATCCAACGGGATGCTCGTATTCGTAGCATGGGCCATGAACTTTGCGTGATTTGGGAGCACGAGTTCGACAGTCTTGTGAAACAGGAGCCGTTTTTTGCAGCCTTTATTGAAGAGATCACTGTACGGCAGCCCATTAATCCCCGGGATGCGTTTTATGGCGGTCGCACGAATGCCACCAAGCTTTTTCATAGCGTGAAGGACGACGAAAAGATTCGTTACTTTGATGTCTGCAGCGAATACCCCTACGTTAATAAGAACAAGCGCTACCCCATCGGACATCCGACCATCATCAATAAGGATTTTGATGGGATTGCCAATTACTTTGGGATAATTCAGTGTGAAGTACTGCCACCGTCAGATCTCTATCTTTCCGTCTTGCCATACCGATCCAACGGGAAGTTGGTCTTTTCTTTATGCCGCACTTGCGCCCAAGAAAAGCAGAACGCACCATGTACACACGCGAACGATGAACGGGTACTCATTGGAACTTGGTGTAAGTATCGAATTCCGCATGTGTAAAACCCCCACATAAACCCCCACGGGAACTTTTTTTAGGTTTGCCGGAGTTACACGCTGCAATTGACCGCGGTTACGTCGTGATAAAGATATTTGAAGTTTGGCATTTCGAACAGTCCGAAGAGCGATTGTTCGCGGACTACATTGATCGTTTTCTCAAGATCAAAACCGAAGCGAGTGGATGGCCAGCGGATGTCGCTAGCGACCTGGAAAAAGACCAGTATCTGCGGGATTTCCATGAACACGAAGGGATCGAACTGGAGCGCGACAAGATAGAAGCCAATCCAGGGATGAGAGCACTGGCAAAGCTCTGTTTGAATAGGTATATACTTGAACTTGTTGCTTTGCAAAGCGCACAATGACCGCCTTTGTTTGCAGCTTCTGGGGCCGTTTGGGCATGCAGGACAACAAACCAAACACCAAGTATATTTCTTCGCCGGAGGAATTTTACCGAATGCTTCTTTCTGGAGAGTATCATATACACTCGTGGGACCTGTTCAGTGACGATGTGCTCCAACTATCATACACCAGGGAAAGCCTGTTCGTCGAGCAGAACCCACACGCCAACGTAGTTTTAGCTGCGTAAGTGTCAACTGACTTTGGGGTGCACCGGTAATTCATCGGTGAAATTTTTTGTTACAGGTTTACGACCTGCTGGGCACGCTTTCACTTGTATGGTTACATGGAACGAGTGCAGGACACGTTATTGTATTTCGACACTGGTGAGACACCTGCTCAACTTCTTGATAAGTGACAAAACGTGATCCTTGCGTATTTTTCAGATTCCATAATTTTTGTGGACAGACCAGGAATTTCCGTTCCTCCGACGGGCAAGTTTCTCGGCGACTTGACGGACGAATTACAAGCTGGGCAGTTCATCACCCAGTTCGTCAGCCTTGGCCCGAAGACGTACTCTTACAAGACCAACGACGGAAAAAGTGTAGTTAAAGTTAAAGGTTTTACACTTAACGGTCAAACTAGCGAAGTCTTAACTTTTGAAAAAATGGTGGGAATTCTGGAGAAGAAAACCGATTTTCTTGTGGCAGAGTACCCAGACAGTATTAAGCGCGATAAGAAAACTATGACTTTAAAACAAGTGGATCTTTGTAAACGGCTAAGTTTTACGTACGATAAGCGAAGAATTGTTGATATCGATTGGAGTACTTTGCCTTACGGTTATACGTCGCGATGAAGTTCTGAATAAAATCCGAATTGATTTTTCTCAGTTTATTGGTAGCATTAACACCAAATCAACCATCGCCCAAGTCAAATCAACTTCAGACTTCGCGCCTAGAAAATTACAGCGCCCACTTGCAAACAAAATAGCCGTACACTCTGGCAATTTGATTCGTAAACCAAGAAATCTATCAGCAAAATAGGGAACATTCAACCGCTTACTAACACTGTCGAGGTCAAACTTCTGACCAAAATCATGCGTGCCCACAATATTGACCACCATATAGTCGGTAACAGAACAATCATAACCAATTTTACGCAGTAATCGCACAAAATATTTTAGCAAAAAAACGCGATACGTCCAGATTCTTGCCACCATTCACGGTCACTTTACCGTTGACATACAGCTGACAGTGTGCTCTGGGTGGTGCAATCCGACGAAGGAGGAGTCCGGAAAACGAACGGGGGGTATACTGAGCCAGCGGCAAGCGTTTCTCAATCTCGGTCAGATTCAGGGGGCAGTTTAGCTTCGCGGTGGCAACAACATTGGTGATCCGTACCATTTCTGTGTAACCACAGTCCGAAGATGATTGCCTTCCGCTGGGTGGTTTGGCTTGCAGATGTCAATCGCCGGAACGTTGGGCAGTGATAATCCTCCAGATTGATGACTTCCGGCAAGTACTTTTCCAGGAAACGGCACTTTTCCAATCTCTTGGCGTAGAACGTGACGTCAGCTGGTCGGCCGATTCTTTCAAAAATATTCTCAAAAACCACCGTTGTCTGATTGTGGCGGTAGTCACCGTAAGTGTGCCAGATCAATCCGTGAGAATGGCGCGCTTGTCTCTCCAAGTCACGTGCACACTGGGAAGCACTGCGCGGTAGCGTAAATGTGTAAAAGCCGACTTCCCCTTTTTCGGGACAGAAAAACGCCAACTGTTTTAAGAATTTTAGTTCGTCAATCACGAACCAATCAGCACCTAGAACACACCTTAGACCCATTTTGAACTGTGTGAATGAATCGAATGAACTGCAACTAACAAATACGCGTTGCTTTTGTACTGCAACAATCGTACGTTTTTCGTCTTCCCCAAATTTGCATAGGAGAGTGGTATGCAAAACCAGTATGTTCCACTGGTAGCAGGTCTTTTATGTACGTACAAGTGCAGATTTACTCAACTTGCATAGGAGCGTCCTATGCAAAACTGAGCCTGCAGCACCTTTCCAGATTTTGCACAGGATAACGCTTGTCTGCCAGCCCATAAAAGCAAGCAATAAACGAATCACTATATCATTTTTCGATGCTTCTGTTTCCTAAACTACTTTAAAGACGTTTTTTCCTTTGCATCAACTATGGAGTTCATTCCTGATTTAATTTCCTCTGAACGTGCCATGTCTCCCAAGCCGTCAAGCAGTGGAGCCGCCCGCGAGATTCCGGCCACGCCTCTGAAGCCACGTACTTTTGCCAAACGCCGTGCCCCGGAAGTGGATGATGTGAAGCTAAGCCTAGCCAAGAAGTTCAAGGAGCAAGAGGTCAACAAGCATTCTCGTCACGCCTTTACCCATGAAGGTGCCAATGTCTACAAGATCGGCTTCGAGAAGTGCGTGTACGCCCGTTTCCAAGACGGAGTCTCGGCCATTGTCATCGGAGAGTGGAAGAAGCAGAGCGACGACACCTACCGCCGCACCCTGGAAAAGTCCATCACGGTAAAGAAGCCTGGATTCATGCGCTTGTGTGCCTTGATTATGAGCGGCAAAGGGGACCTGGACAAGATCTCCCAGTGCAGCAGCGGGACCGATGGTAAGCTGACACCACTGTACGCCCTGGAGAATGGATTGTACTTTGGATGGGGACGCTACAACCGTGTCAACACGGCCACCGTGCGTCGTTACACTCTCGGCAACAACGGCGACCTGATTCCCACCAAAGCTGGCGTTACGTTTGGGTTGAAAACCTACGACGGACTGAAGGAGCTGGTTGTGGACATGACTCTGCTGAAAGAGCTCCTCACTGTGGATGAAGCCAACCATGTGACGAAGACTTTGAAGTCTGCCTTGGCTTATGACAAGCTGAAAGAAGTAAGCGGTTCTGTCTTAAGTTTTATTTGCACGTATCCATGTGTATCACTTAATCTAGGAAGTGGCCGAAGAGTTTACGGAGCTGATCCACCAGATGCGTGGACGTAACGCCAAGATGGTGTGCGGGAGCGCCAGCGATGACGAGTGGGCAGCGGCTGAGAAGGCCATTTTGGAGTCGCGCTACGTGGAGGCTGTGTTGTTGGAAGCTGACCAAGTGGACGTTGGGCAAGTTATTGGATTGGACGTTAAAGGGTATCTTGAACTTAATGCTTTGGAGTTTCGTGCCATGTTTGCAAAGCTCATCTGAGCGATGTCAGTGATTGCTTCTTATTGGCTTAGCGTTTCATTTGACTCTTTTTTCTTAATCGAATAAACCGCGGCTGTTTTTTCCGTCATTTTAATTCCGATATGCGTTTACATATTTGTCGGATAAATGCACTGTCAATGACTTTAGTGTTGATGTCAAAATAAGAATTAACATACTGACAGACCATTTTGTCGTTGCTCGCTCGATTATCGGTAAACAAATGCACAATATTAGTGTAAGATTCACCACAAACACGTCGAAGAATAAAAAATAAACAATATTGCCCACACACGGTAGAATATTCAGATTGAAATTGTTCGGATTGCTCTATAATCCGATTCGCTGACATTATGCTCGCAAAATTCTTGGTATACGAATCCAGTTTCCTCCCAAATGAATCAAACACTTCCAGTACTCCATCTTGTTCTTGGTAAAGAGCGATCCAGTGTGATCCGTCTTGGTCCGCTGGATCAGTGTTCACCACCGCCGCACCAGGGTAGGGCGAAAGTGTATTTTTCACTTTGTCGCTGGCATACACTCCACGCAGCACTGTTTTCGTCGATGAGTTCGACTGTAGGGCACTGAAAATCTGGTCCGTGTTCATGTTGAAAAATCCGCAATCAACTGGCGATGCTGGTTAATTTCGATAATGCTGTCGTACACCAACATGGCGACCATCATGACTGTTTTATCCAGAGGTTACTCAAAGTTAACCGACACGCTTAAATTGCCTTGCTTCACCAAAGTCAGCGGTCCTCTTCCTGTATGTCCCGGTGTCAAGTCAAAGCCGAATAACGTGTAACCACCATTATAAGCCGTCCGATTAAAATGAACACTGTTTTGTGGATGTGTTCGATATCCCAAGGCGTCCAACAAACCATCGTAGCACTCTAACGACTGTGACCGTCCAAAATCGGCAGTGTATGGTTTTGTGGGGTAGCTCTGTCCATCCACTTCCACACTAATCTGGGTGACGTTAAAGTGTTGAAAGTTGAAAGGATTTGTTTTGATGTTGCCGTGAAAATCGTCGCTTTCCAGGAAACCGATGATCATAACCTTGGGAATCTGTCCGATCTGCAGGTTGCTCACCACGGTGCTCTGCGTCTTTTGTGGAATATCCGACACACGCATCACCACGCGCTCAATGTGATACTTGACGGTTTTCTTTAGCATTTCCGAGGCCACGGCCGTCATGAAATCGGGTGCCGGGATATACCGGCGGACCGATAAGCGAGCATTCCGAATGAACGGTTGAACTGTTTGGTGGTGTCGGTATCCCATACACGCAAACAGAATTCCGGCCGGCTCATCACCAACCGGATATTGATGGGAACACCAGTGCACAATGGCTTACTTTGGTCGAATAAGTCCGCAAATATTTTACCCGACAACTGCACGTAGTTACTGCCAGCAAACAGGGCTTTGCGGCTAACTTCTCCTTTGTTGTCTTTTTCGTCGCTCATCTTGTGTGCAGTGTCAGTGTAAAACGCAGCAGATGACAACTGGGACCTTTGGGCATCCACCGAATAAGACAGCAGAGAATCCAAATAAGCCCGATATGGATAAAATGTCGCAGCATCCGAGATCAGTCGATTTGCCACAGTTACGTGGCACGAAGAGAACAGCGAATGCAGAAAATTGTTGACGGGGGCCACATTGTCAGCGTTCGTTACCAGCGTCCAGTCAGCAGCTCCTTTCTTTACTTTGATGCCGACCTCCAATTCTAAGATCATATCTGCCAGGCTAAGCAGTCCAGCTGTACTGGGAGGGATGTAAAAATTGATATCGCCAGCCGAGCCGCTATCCGTCAGAATCGTGGTGGGGTTCAACTTCTCATGCTCGGTACGCCACCGATCAGTTAGCGTAGCCGGTAAGGCGAACAGTTGGTTCTCTAGCTGCATTGCTGGTTCCGAATTTTCCATCATCAGTAAGGCCATGGTCAAAAGTAGTCGGGAATACTTGTTGGAGGAATGCGTTTAATACGCCGTCGGTTACGTACAACACGGCGTTTCTTACGTATACCACTTCCTTCTTGCGGTGCTAAACGCTTGCTTATGGTTTCTTTGGCTTTATCAGCAACCTCTTTAATAGCCCCGGTAGCGGCTTCTTGCAAATGCGGCGTGGCGGCATCCAACGCTGCTTTGCCATGCGGAGCGGCACGGCGTATGATGGGTTTGGCGAACGCCGATATTTTGGCGAATAAGCTCTTCAGGATTTGGGGAAGGCCAGAGCCGTTTTGTAGTGTTCCACGGTAGCGAATGAGGGCGCTACCTCCAGTTTGGCTAACGAATATTTCGTTGTAGCGGCGCGGATCAGGAACATACTGAATGAAAGGCATTTTCAGTAGAGACGCTGTGGTCGGAAGTGCAATTTCACAAGAGACTTTCCCGTTTGGAATTTGGCTTCGTCTCCGAGATCGTTGGCAATAATCAGCTTGATAGTTTCAAAATGTTGGCGAAGAACTGGAACATAATGGGGAATGTCGAAGCGTGCTTCCACGGTTTGATTTACTTCGCCTCTAATAGGTACGGCACGCAGAAATTGCGCCGCGGTGTCTCCAATCAGACTGTAGTCGGCCACATCGCTGTATAAGAATAGGCTTTGGTTACCGAGCAGTGTGTTGACTGGTCGATCGGACAGAAATGTCGTCAGCTTTGGCGTTGGAGCTTTGTCCCAGAACGAAAGGTATTTAGCTTTCGCTTGACCATGCGCGGCGTCAATCGTTTCCGCAGGAACCTCCGGCTCAAATTGGCTTTGATCGAAACCCAGAATTTTTTGTAACGTTAAAGATTCGGGTGGAAAGCTAACAGATACTCGTTCATTTCCGATGCTGAGCTTGACCTTATGGTTGGTTGGCGTATAGAATTGTACGTACAACATTTTGTTGCCCGGCAATGCACTTTTGTAGTCCATCACTTTTCCGTTCATTAAATAGGTCTTTATGATAGGAGCCAAAGAGTTGATGGTTTGCAGTAGCAACTCTGCGTTCTTGTAGTTGCCCGGTGGCACCACAATACTTTTTTGGACACTGATATATCTAGGAGTTTGGATGAACTCACCATCTTTTTTCAAATAAAACTCTCGCACAACGTTTAATTGGATTTTTTGCTCAACAGGCAGAGTATAGAAGGAATTCAGATACTGCAGTTCCACCAGTGCCATTTGCCTTTCAAGGTAATAGGATGCTTCAGTTTGGTGGTCCAGTTCGACGGTGTGTTGGCAGGATCAGTAGCCACATCACTTGGCAGGGTTAGGTAGAATGGCGCACCTTCGTACATTTTCCATCTATCCACTGAACGTGTTCCGGTCCGTAGCCTAGCCAACGAACTAAGACTTTCTTTCCACGGCGTTTTACAATAAAGTCCACAGTGCGTTCTTTGTCAGGAACGTTTCGAACGAGAGATAACTCTGGTTCGTAGAATTTTCCGTCAATAGTGTCGTCTTGATAGTCTTTCAAAACATAAACCGGTACCGGATGAGGAATAACTTGTTGAACGAAGAATATCTCTTCCTTAAATCGATACCTGTATCCCTTTTCCACTTTTCCTTTCCGAATGGAAATCCGTACGGCATCACCAACCTTGTAGCGCGGTTTCTTTACCGTGGGCTGTGGGTACAGCTTGTTGTACACGGACAACGAATTTTCTTGCTTGACATCGATAGGTCGCAATCCATGGGCGCTATGCAAGGAGTGATTGTACGAAAGCACAATGTCCGGCAATTTGTCGATATAGTAAGTGCTGACGCGGTAACGGAATAATCGGAAAATGCGGGATTTGATCGTACGAATCACACGCTCAGCCATAGCACATTTTATGTCTTCATTCTGGGATGTGAAAAACTGGACGTTCTGGTCTTTTAAAAACGCACGCACAGTTGAATTCAGCATTTCGGTTCCTTTGTCGTATTGCAACTTTTCCGGTTTACCGAGTTCTTCAAACGATTTCTGAAGGGCATCGCGAGTTTCTTTTCCGGTCTTTGTCTTCAAGGCTTGAACACTCAGCATCTTTGAGAAGCAGTCAATAACAAACAACAAATACTTTATTCCACCATTTTCTTTGGAATATTTTGACAAATCGGCCAAATCAGCCTGATATTGCTGCCGCAGATTGGTAACTATCACTGGATTGCGTGGAAACCGTTTCCGGCTTTCTTTGGTGACAGTGTACGCATCGATCTCCTGCAATATCTCCTCCGCTTTCCGTTTGTTGACTCTGGTCTTTAGCGTTCTTCGCAATCGTTCGACGCCGCCAAAACTTCCGGGATGACGAGGATCGAGGTACCTCTTCATTAGGCGATCCATCGTTGCAGCAATTGGAGACACAGTTAATCTTAAAAAATCGGCACAATCGAATCACAGATGGTAAAAATCCAGACATTACGACAGTGTGATCCAACTAATTTTGCGTTTCATGCCGTGTCCCGTTTGGTGTTTGTGTGATCGTAAGCGGGGCACAGGAACGGGTGCTTCATCCGCTTTCTCTTTGGGGCGACTAGGGCGGGGCTTTTTGGTTAGAGGCGGAGTAGGAGGGACGTATTTGGGAGGTTCAACGGGATTTTCATCGGGCATGGCTTTTTGCTTCAAAACCTGGAAGCGTTCTAAGATATTGGAAAGTTGGCTGGCTTTTTCATATTCGCTTATATCTTTGCGTTGCAAGGTTTCGGCAACTAGGTTGTCTAGTGAGACGACAGCTTTGGCTTCGGGAGGCTCTCGATTGATTTGGATCTTTTCATGTAGTCGCTCCTCCATAACGCGACGAGGAACAATAAAATATTCATCCATTACCAATCAACGATGTAAGCACACCGGCAATAACAGGCAAGATAGCACCCAAAAATCCACCTTGTTGTAAAATCCGCTTCTTGGCTTTCATAGGATCTCTTCGCAAAGCTAACAGCTTTAATGCTTTGCGGTGGCGTTTGCACTTTTTCAGATCGGAAGGTGATAAACTGACGGTATTCTTGATGATGTTGACCGCTATTTCTTCCAAAGCCTTCAACTGCGGTTTATTAGCAAATCCCATCAAGACGCGACGCTGTTTCGGCTTTAGGTGTTTCAAAGTGATCACAAAAAGGGCAAGAGCTTTTACACGTTCCGACATGGCTTCGGTATTTCACTAGAATAGGCTTTCACAAAAATCCGCATCGACTGTTTGGGAAGAGTGTGTGATCTCACTCTTAAATAGTCCGGGCACGTCGATCGCATATCAATTATTAGTGGCTTGTACGGTTCCGCGGTGACTTTGCGGTACGCATCGATCACCTGATTCAGTCCGGTTTGACGAGCAAGCAGTTTAATTTGATTGATATCACGGACGTTTTTAAATAAAACAAGATACTGCGAGTTCAGCGTAATATCTCGCATAGATTTTCCTTGTTTATAAAGGTTCTGTAATAGCAGGATAACGGAAACATTTTTATGATGAATTCCGCGGGTAAACAAATTCGAACAGCGCGCGTCTTTGCAGATATCACTAGCCAGATCATCAATAATTAACAGGGTTTGCTGGTCAGGATCAAAGAAACCTTCTGTTTCAAAAATTCCATTAATGCCCTTGATAAACTCAACAGATTCTTGCAGTTAACCGAATGCTTTTTGCCATTCACCGTAACAGTACACTACTCGATCAGGAGACGGACAGATCATCTGCGCGCGGTTTTTAATCAAAGATAATACA